AAGTGCTGAACCTGGTATTTTCAATTATTGACTAAACTAAACTAAACTGTTGCCCTTTATGTCACTGTATTACAACATACGTTTGCATTTTAACAATATTTATTTGACCTTCCCCCCATCTGTATTCATTAATATTGACTCATAGACCATTGTGATGTCAACTGAAACCCATAAATGGTGACAAACCTCCATTACCATAGCAAATAATCAATGAAGAATATATCTTTTAAATGAGAAATATTAAAAGATCCTTGAAATGAACTCATGAATCAAGCCTGTTAATCAAATTTTAGGGCGCTTGGGACAAGAAGCTTTACATACCCACCCTAATATAAATTAATAGGAAAAGGATCTGCTATAAATACATAAATAAAAGGGTATTGTTTCTCACTCTGGTACATTCTGACTCTGGACAGGTCTAATAGTGATCTAAATATGTAAACAGAGGTGCATGTTCCTCACTCTGCAGGTAGGAGGGCTGGTACTGTGGGGGGGACTCCTCGTGGTACACTACACTCTGGACGATGCCGTGGACGGGGTTCAGGAGGTTTGTGTCCTGGCACATGGACAGCACAGTGTTGATCTTTGAGTCCAGCAGGTTGTGGCTGAAATCAGACAAGATTCATGTTTTAATTTATGGATTAACAAACACGACTGCTAATACAAAATAAAGCAGAGAGAGGAGGTCAATAAAGAGGAACAGAGGAGCTCAATCTCCAACAGGCTCCTACAGCTCCACTCAAACACGGAGAGATACAGGACTACATTCATACTATAATACTCCCTACAACTGTACAACTCACTCTTATGTGATAGATAATACTCCCAACAACTGTACAACAACTCACTTTTATGTAACAGATAATACTCCCTACAAGTGTACAACAACTCGCCTTCATGTAACAGATAATACTCCCTACAACTGTGCAACACATCGCCTTTATGTAACAGATAATACTCCCTACAACTGTGCAACACATCGCCTTTATGTAACAGATAATACTCCCTACAAGTGTACAACTACAATTTATTTTTATTTGATATATATGATTATATTATATTGTTATTATTTATATTTTCTCTCTTTATTATTATATATATTGTGATGTGTGAGCTCCTGTGTCCAAATCATTTCCCTTGTGGTTCAATAAAGTTTGGTTATTATTAAGAAATGGTATTTGCGTGTCAGAGTTGTGTTCTATAATATATAAAATAATATATTTTTTATACTTTACAAGGATATACAGATGGACCATTTCCAATATATATTTCTTCCTATAATGTTAACAGCCAGTTACTCATAATAATGAATATGTTTTTATGGCACTACACTGAATACACTTATTCCTGAAATTCAAAAAAAAAATCTTATATTTGACAAAAGCAAAAAGGTTAACATATACACAAGCATTTGAGATTACTTTTAAGTATAAAATTTGATTGTGAAAAAACGGTGGCAGGCAGATATTGCATGAGTACAGAAAAAAACGTTAAAAACTGAAAAATATAAAGAGAATATATTAAGACTACGGGCTACTTACACAACAGGGAAAACCTTTGGGAAGACGACGCTAGCTTCAGCTAAATATTCATACAAGATCCTCTGGTCAAAATCATCTGTGGTGTACTTCACTTGTGTCGCCTAAAATCACAAACAGAGTTCAACCATAATTTAACCAAGCAGCTCAAAATCACTTTATATGACATGAAAACAATATTAAGGTCTACACAGCAGGAGTGACATTGTATTGTATTTGTGTATTGTATTTCTTCCTCACCAGCACAGTGAGCAGCAGAGCCTGGATCTTGGGATCGGTGAGCACCTCTTCATCCAAAAGTACGTTCGACTCCGAGACGGAAACTTTGCGTAGATGTGAGTTTGCAATTCTCGGCGTTTCTGTAACAAAAAGCGCACCATAGACATACAAATCTGTGTTTAGCCAAAGGTTCAATAAAAAAACGTCAAAACAAAAAAAATAAATAAAAATAATAAAACTGTCAATAAAAAAAATGTCAAAAAACAGTGTCAAAAGTAGTGCAAACAGAACAAGATTTAAAATTAGTTTAAATATGCCAAAAAAATAATATAACTTCTATTTTATCGTCATTCGTTTAGTCTTAGTATCTTTATAATGCCGTTTAGTGGTAAATAAAGTCACATGCTTGTTCTGAGAGTTCATGATTGGTTAATTCTTTAGAGAGGTTGACCTGTAGGAGGAGTGGATGGTAAAAGTTTCAATCTTTATTACTCTATTGCCCAGCCTTAGTTAAATAACACTTCTTCATTTCATCATGTTGGCTTCACTGCAAATCATGGGTCATAGTTTAGGAAGCTCCCTCAGATGTTTAGAGCACAGTTATGAAATAAAAATGGATTTGCACTTGATACAAAGCCTGCTCAAAGTCAGTGGGCTCATTTGGAAGGGACTGACGGGGATTAGGCTGCAAACACTCCGCTGTTGTCGTTTGGATTCTTACCGATCTCGTAGTCGTTCTCCGCCACTCGTCTCATTTTGGGCGGCGTGGTCATCCCCGCCTCCATCTCCGGCCTCTTTGGTGCTTTGGAGTCTGAGATGAGGTGGTCAAAGCTCTTTCTGGTCCCTGAAAAACAACAGTTTACAGTTACACAAACGCTTTATAAGTTCTATCTCATCCACACAAGCAGAGGTGGACTTACCCAGCAGTTTCTTGGTGTTTGCCTGGGAGGGCTGGCCCATGTCCAGACTCATGCTCTTCCTAGTCCTGGGGCTGATCTGTCCCACTGTGGGGTAATGAGCCGAGAGGTACCGCTCCGACACCTGCGGAGACGTCCAAGGCTGCGTCTCTCGAAGTGTCCTGGAAATACAATACAATTTATTTAATATATTTGAGTGCTTTAAGCATCGCCCTCTGGTGGTCAGGAGGGATGAAATAGAACCACACAGTCGCTCTATATGTATGCGTTGTGCTGTATCCAATTTTTACTTTCTCAAAAACGTGAAATCAAGAAAATTTGAGATGGTGGGTGTCGTGAACCCCCCCTCGGCTACAGGAGAGCTCACCCGGGTCGGTTAAAGATGAAGGTTTTGGCATAAATTCCATTGAGGGGCTCCTGACATTCAGATGAAGATGTTCATAATGCTTTATTTCATTAAACGAATAGCTGTTAGAGCATTAGAGATTAAGAATGATTGATTTAGATGATAGAGGCATTTTTGTGATCTATATTAGCATAAGTTACTTGTTTTATTTTGATTTAACCTGACTTGTTTCTTTTAAATTGATTTATTTGATTCATCCAACTTAATTTCCAGGTTGTGTTGTTTGGCATTAATTTTTGTAACTACTATGTTTGTGTGCAGTAAAAATGCAAACAAGAGTTTCCTGTTCTTTTGACAGTTCACCCTTGTTTGACATTGGTTTTTGTAACATTATATACTATGCTGTGTGCAGGAAACCTGCAAACAGACCGGGTGCGAGCTTCCTGCTCTTTCGACAGTTGGACAATTGAACCTTGCACCTGGGCTCGGAAGAGGCCCTTGCCTGTGGTGCGACATTTGCGGTTTCCAAAGTGTTGTCTGCACTTAGAAAATGTGTGCTATATGTGATGTCCTAATCACTTTGCATGTACCTGGGTGGAGTCCTGTGACCTTAGATAAATACTGAAAAAATCTGCGTAGAAATGTGATCCTGATTCGGTTGGCATTGACCCCTCTGGCGTAACTTTGCTAAGGAGGTCAGCTCTCCAATTTTGGACTAGGCAGCGCTTTATAGCTTACCTGGTCACAGGGTAATTTCTCCAAAAGGGTACTTGCATAGTGATTTGTCCTAATTGTTTTTGTATGAGCTTTTAAGTAAAATAGCAGCTACCGAGTGAGCTGGTCATAGTCATCCTGTTGTGAGCTTTCCAGGCCTAAAAACCTTGAGTAAGCGAGCTTTTTTCTCTGCCTAACAGGTGGCAGAGAGAAGAAAGAGGAAGCTTAAGATGAGGGGAGGAGACACCAGACGTACCGCAGGAGGGGGAGCATAGCTAGTGAAAATAGACACACACAATCAGACTTCTATGTATTTCTTCTTGCTGCAGCTAAATGGCAGACGTTTGTGCCTGCGGGACCCCTCACTGCGGCGTGACTGGGGACGCTACAAATAAAAACGATGACGAAAGGGTAAGAAAGACTTCTGCCTCTCATACTGATTTTATTGATTACCTCCACGAAAACTAGAAATCGAAATTCAGATATAATGGGCAAAATTATGATTCTGTTTATCGCTTACTGCTTACAGTCCGAACTCTTGTGTTAGCAAAATAGCATGTATATAAGTTATATTAAATGCAATTCTTCGTAGCCGCTGTAGTTCAGTTCACAGACACAATCGCGCTTTCGGAGTGTTACAGTGTTTCACTAAATAGATCAATTAACATGACCAAATTGAAATCTATTTGCTGTCTGAAATAATAACAAGCACTTAAGTTGCCAAGGCAAGCGTGCACTGTGCGTTAATTCTAACTGTACGGAAAAAAAAAAAAAATTTAATTAAATACAAAAAAAAATATATATATATATGTGTGTGTATATGTGTGTATATATATATATATATATATATGGCTGAATTTATTCTTAAGGAAGTGGGCCGTCACTTTTACATAATGCTTACTCTGACGGTCTCAGATTGGTTGCTGGAGGAAATTTTTACACTTTTGAAATTTATGTCGTAGAAAGGAAAATGGATGATCATTATGTATGTGTACTATGTCCTAGGACGACTTGTGGGATCGGATAGAAGTCAGAGAATTCATTCCTGGTCCTGACGAAAGTTTCAGCCCGGTTAGCGCTGGGGAAAGAGAAACCAGCCCTAGCCCACCAACGAAGAGGATACTTGGAGAGGTTAGACCGCAGAGGCCCACGATTAGCCCTGAGCCCGTAGTGCTATCCGTGCCTGGGACCATCCAGGGGGACGCTAAGGGTTGCAAACTAGGTAAAGGGGTTATGTGCCTTAGTTGTCTTATCACAAAAAGAGACCGTACGTATGTGCCTCCTGGTACGGTTTATTTAGGAAAACTGAAGGGCTTCAATACTGATATAAAAATAGAGATCAAGACATGGGGACCACCACAGAGCTTAAAAAATACCACATTCATAGACTATGAGGAAGAGGCCATAGATCCTCTGACTCACTTTTCCTGCCGTGGAGAGAGAGAAAAAAAAACAAACAAACAAGGGGGGGAGCTGCTGGGCTTACAGTGGAAGATGAACCGGAGCTCGGGATAAGTGATCTATGGGAAGATGAGGTATTTGCAGTTTCATCAAACCAAAATCAAAATGAGCAGGACTTACAATCATTAGGGGAGATGCTACAAGGTTCTGTAATATCAGAAGTGGGAGAGGGTCAAAGCACGGTCCTTGACCTATGTTCTTCAGTGGTGCAGTGCAAATATCAACCGAAATGTAAGACTTTCAGGGAAGTCCATCGTACTCGTCCATGGCCTACTTTTTACAATAAAAAATTAAGTCCGATTTTAAATCGTTCAATGAAAAGTAATCATATTATTAAGAGGGTGTGTTTTGTGCGATGGGGAGAGCATTTGGGCAAATTTGTAATTCCAGAAGAGAATTTGGACTTAGAAATGCCCAATGTTTATAGAGAAAAACGACAAATTTTGGCCTTCTCCGGTGCCACTCCTCCAGGAATGTCCAAAGTCGTCTGTGGTTCTATAGTTTGGAATCCTAGTAGAGGAGGGACTTCTACTCTTCTAAAATTTTGTGATGAACATTCTGGGAGGATGTTTTACACGGGTAATAGACAGGCTATTCTCACCCTCATGATGGACTTCTCTAAAGATCGTAGAACCAAATGAAAAGTTTTGTTTCTTTTTGTTATTGTTTTTGCTTGCTAAGACTTAGAAAACTCATATATATTCCATTTAGAGAGCAATTTAGCACTTATCTTTGTATTTTGATATTAAAGTTTGTATTTTGACCAGCACCTGGCGGTTCAACAATCAGCGACTGATATTTGTGATGAATTCTGGTTATACAAAGCCCGTAAATGGAGATATTCTGATGGGGTTGGTGAGCCTTCTTACTGTACTTCGGCATATCCAGATTACAATGGCATTCTTTGGCGTGATACTCAAGCCATGGATCAAAATTCTCGCGAGCTACTTAGCATGCTGTGGACGAGCAAATATAACTCAATTGTGGCCTATAATGAGCAACTTGGTACTGGGGATAGGTGCTACATGTTAAAAGAATGCATAGTTCAATACACATGTACACAGTTGGTAAGAACAACTGATGAGGCAATGGCGTAGATCGCCTCCCAGTGCTTTAACGGATGGGCAGCATATTTCTGTCCAGAGATCTTTTATCCTAGAACAATGGACCCGAAACTGCTGGCCCCTGCACGGACGGAAGAAAAGGGGCCCAAGTCAGCTGCACACGGCATCCAGAACATCCCGCCCAACTACATCGTCCTTAGACGCCCGCCAAAACCTTCACAGGGGGATGTTGTGAACCCCCCTCGGCTACAGGAGAGCTCACCCGGGTCGGTTAAAGATGAAGGTTTTGGCGTAAATTCCATTGAGGGGCTCCTGACATTCAGATGAAGATGTTCATAATGCTTTATTTCATTAAACGAATAGCTGTTAGAGCATTAGAGATTAAGAATGATTGATTTAGATGATAGAGGCATTTTTGTGATCTATATTAGCATAAGTTACTTGTTTTATTTTGATTTAAACTGACTTGTTTCTTTTAAATTGATTTATTTGATTCATCCAAATTAATTTCCAGGTTGGGTTGTTTGGCATTAATTTTTGTAACTACTATGTTTGTGTGCAGTAAAAATGCAAACAAGAGTTTCCTGTTCTTTTGACAGTTCACCCTTGTTTGACATTGGTTTTTGTAACATTATATACTATGCTGTGTGGTGAGGCGCCTTGCCTGTGGAGTGATGTTTCAAGTAAAATAGCAGCTACCGAGTGACCGAACGAACGATGGTATCAGCCACATGAGTAGCGCATAAAATTAAAATAATAAATAATAAAAAGCCGAAAAATCAGACAAAGACAAATCACCTGTTGGAATCTTTTGTTGAACCACGGGCAAGTCCAGTCATCCTAGCTGAGGTGTCTGATAAAACGCAATGTTTTTGATGCAATGCTGAATTTGGATAAATGTTTTAAGGCACTGCTAAGGATAAGTGAATATTTGCATTGTTTGGTGTAAAGCTAAATCTGGATAAATGTTTTGAGGCACTGCTGAAAATAAGTGAATATCTGCAAGGTTTTGAATGCTTTGAGGTACTGTTAAAAATAAGTAAGTGTCTGGCAAGTGTTATGAGATAGGGTAAGAAGGGGTATGAATTTAATCTAATATATATATGGGTATGTTATATGGTGTTTTCTAAAGCTAAGTGATATTTTAAGTGTTGTCTAAGTGATATTTTCAGTGTTGTTAGAGTTATTTGAAAAGAAGTGAGACTCAGGCCGCATAGTACTGGCCTGGCTTCTTAACAGTGGGTGAGCAAGATGGCCGACCTGCAGCTGGGGTCAGGGGCGTGGCTTGAGTACGTCTCCATGGGAACAGGATCCATGGACAGGTCTGAGATCAGCAAAGACTTCCTGTGTTTGAGACTACAGCGACTGCGCACCTCCTCAGATACTGTGAGCAGAGCTGAGGGGGGAGGAGAAAAGAAAGAGGGAGAGAAGGGGAGAGGGCGAGAGAGGGGAGAGAGGGGGAGAGAGGGGAGAGGGGGAGAGAGACTTTTTTAGTGCATATAAGAACAAAATGGCACAAAATGTTGCAAGGCAAGGCAAGTTTATTTATATAGCTCACACAAAGTCATTCAAAGTGCTTTATAGAATAAGACAGGCATTAAAATCACAAAACAAACAATAATAAAGAAAACAAACAAAAAAATCATCATCATCATCATAAAATGAACATGAGAAGAGAAGAATGATGAGTGCAGAATAAACCTTTACACACAGCTAAACAGAAGTGTTTTGAGTCTGGTTTTAAACATAGAGCAGAGGCCTGTCTCACATGTTCAGGAAGACTAGTTTAGCTGCTCAAACTGAAATGCTGATTGTTATTGCCCAAATGTCCATGTCTAGTCTATGGACTGAATTACACCAAACAAACTCAACTTCGTAGCAAAATCAAACTTTGAGAAACTTACTCATACAGAGAAACCCACCACCACTCTGAGTTAGAGTTCTTAATTTATAATTTATAGTTTATTTTATATAACTCTGTTATAAATTAAGAACTCTCAACCTTTTTCAGTCGCCCATTAACAACAACCATCAACAATCATTACCTCCCAGACTATACAATAGGCTACCCAGCAAACAATAAAGTAGATACATTCATTTGACAACCCAACACAAGGGAATCTGCATCTATCACTGCATTTAAAGGATCATTCTTCATTTCGCGACCTCCAGGTTGAGAATCACTGGTTTATATTATACGTGGGATTCACAGTGATGAAAATATAGCGCTGTTGTCATAGATATTAGCTACTCAAATGAATAAATCTTCAGAATGAGTAAAAATCTAAGTAGGCAAAGAAGGCAAAATGTCACCTAAAAACAAAAGGTTGAAACCCATGTTTTTAAAAAGGCTTGATTAAATCAAATTCACTATTCCAGTCTTGTGCATAGATTTATAAAAAGCACTTACCTGCCAGATAGGCCACGCTCTGAGTGTTCACCTCAAACTTGTCACATTTGAGGTTTTTACTGATGAGAGACAGAAGAGTGTGGAGGATCCTCACTGTCCGAGCCACCGTGGTGGGAGACGGGTGTCTGTAGCCTGTAACAAAAACACAAAGAAAACTTCAACTTGGGCTAAAAAAAAAAGTATCCTAAATCATATATTATTGTAAAATGTGTAGCAACATCAATGTTTCATTTCATGTGGATGGGCTACATAATTACAAAGATATTAACCATAAAAAAGTCACCAAATCTGACAAATTATCTCACCAAATTCTGATGTGTCCTTCAACTCAATGTTTAAATATGGGCAGTTTTGAATGTAGTGACGTCATTTAACATTTGAACTACCTTACTACTCTGATCTGGACCTAACTAGAAGATAAAAAAACTCACAAGCTGGACTTTTGCAAGTTTATAAACCAAAACACTGCAACAACACACTTCAATTCAAGATTTCAGACGAACCTTTAAGTAAATGTCCCACAAGAGCGAAGTTGAAGTTTGCGCCGAAGTTGAGTCCGACAAAATGATCCATCTGTTTACAGTGCCACTCCAGGGGGCGCCGTATCTCCATAAACACCTCCTCTGGACTCTGCCAATGAAACACATTTAACCAGATATTAGAGATATTATTAGACTCATTATAATCACATCAAAATAGTTTAATCCATCCATTTTCTGTGTTTCCCTTGTTTTTCTATTTACAGAAATGTACTTCTTGGCTTTTGAAATGATTATAATTAGTAACTTTGTGAGGCAAAATTTTAAGTTTTCCAACCTAAATACTGATTGGAATACATAAATTGTAAATCTAATCGATATACTCAAAATTTCAGTTTCCCCAAAGTTGTTCATGCCTTTTAACAGAAAGGGCTAACCCAACCTCCCGGCTGAATGTCTCTTCTCCCTTTTTCACCCCTGTCCAAACAGCCTTCAGGCAACAAAATCTTTAAAAACCTTTGTACCTTATCATTGAAAACCCTCATAGAATCAAGTGTGTGGAGGTTCTGTTCTAGCAGTGCTGTCCCGGCTGAATACAGGTTCACTTCATCCAACTGTAACACGGCCACTGCCACCCAGAACAGGGCTTTGTGCATCGGAGACTCCTGAGAGGAAAAACAAATGGATATTTACACAAACAATCATCTTGGTTAGAGAATTTCAGTAATTTATCATCCTTCTTGGGCTTGAACACTCAAAGATCATACTATGTTCACTTTCACGTCCACACGGGACTGTATTATTGATGGTAAATAAACGTCTACTGCTTAAGACATCTCGTTTAAAAAACTTCTGAGCTGAAAACTTCTACAACAGCTACTTGTTCCCAATGTTGCCCACAAGATGGCGACACTGTAACAGCTAGCAAATGCAACAATTGTTACAAAATGCATCACACAGAAGTTAGTTAGAAGAGTTCCTATATAGTTCCTCTAGTTCCTCAATCTTTAACTAGCATTTTTTCAGTTCAATTTATTTGATTAAAATATTATTGTACACATTGTGTGGTAGTACAGCTCTTTTGAAATGTCATGTGAACTGTTTAACTGGTATCCTAGGGACACACTTGTAGTCATTTACCTTGCTCAGAAGAGGCTGCAGTTTGGTCAGAGCGATCACAGTGGCTTCTATCAAAACTTGGCTGTTGTAATTGTCTGGTCCTTTCAGACAACTCTCCAAACCCTGAAAACATCATGAGCATAAGGAATAAATAACCAACTGAACACAGCCATGTTACTTGAGTAAAGCAACAGTTGGAAATGTAACTTTCTTTGTATGGAATGTTTCACAGTATGGCATTAAAGTTTTCTATCTTTATGGAGACCAAGTTATTTTTGAGCTATAAAACCGCTTGTAATTTAAGGTAGAACTGTTTAATATCACACTGTGGAACATTCCAGACTAATCTATAGTCATAGAAACATGCAGTTGACGGATCCCCAACCAAAAAGTGACACACTGCACATTTAAACCAACTTTATAATAGAGTGTGTTACCCGGTCGATGCTGAGCAGAGGACTGGCTTTGCTCAGGATCCTGATGATCTGTCGGATCTGTCCATGAGTGACTCTTTTACTGATGCAGCCGAACACCACCAGAGCGCGAGGCTGCAGGGACGGGTTATACTGGAACGCAAACCTGCACACAGATACACACACAGACACACACATTAGACATACGCACACATACACATACAGAGAACAGTGTTTTAATGCCATGAGATTAGAGTTTAGATCAGGTCCGTGTGGAATGCAAGTCAGTATCAAGTAGGACTTTAAAATGGAAAAATTATGAAAGTAAAGTTGAACAGATTTGCTATAGGAAGGAAGAATAGAATATTTTTAATGCATCAAAGCAGATTTGGCTCCACAGTGCAAAACACTAATTTGCGAGCAACAACTTTTTTTTTTTTTTTTTAAACTGACCATGTCCTTTGCCTTTGTCTCCCCAGATAAAGTTTAACTTAAAGCTCAGTATGCAACTTTCTGGAGGTGACATGTCACCTGCATAATTCCATGGAAATAGAAAGTTAAATCATACTTCAGAATATTCTCCATGGAGACAGAGGTGTTTTAGGATTAGAGCTAAAGGAACAACATTTCCATAAAAACAAGCAGGTGTCCCCCCTACTGGCCGAGTAAGAGTGAGGTCTGTGGAGATGCAAGCTCGTTCAGGCTTGTAGGACGCATGTTTTTAGAAAGTTTTCAGCACTATTAACCAAATTAAAAAACAAACATGCTTTTTATTTTGGTCTAATTTTTGGCTCAAATGTTCCATACTGTGGCTTTAAATAATATTGATATAGTGCTATGAGAAATCAGCATACTTCTGTGCGAGCTCTGTCCACTGGTCCAGCCACTTGCAGGACGGGATGTCTCTCATACACGCCTGGAACAACAACACACCCATAAGAGGAGAAAAGATTTTGATAGTGAATTTAATCCAAACGGCAGCAGATGTACCTCCATGATCTCCAGCAGAGCTTCGGTGACTGTTTCCAGGGAGGAGAGGGCAAAAGTCTCTCTCTCGTAAGACCCCGGGGAGAAGGAACGGTCTCTGTAGCTGGAGCGAAAGGCGATGACTGCGGCCGACTTGACTTTACTGATGCCGAACAAGAGGTAAAACTTTGGCAACGAAAACTCGGTCAAACTCAGCCTCAGCACCTGCTTGGTCTCCTCTGAAAAACACAACAGACAATTCTTTAAATGCAACAGTCAATTAGAACAGTTCTATTTGCATCTGACTGTAGGTGTACAAAACTTTTCCCTCACCAGGCCAAAGAAAAAAATATGACATTTGGCTTTAAACAGAAATGTCCTGTTCTTCTTCCTCTAAAGTAACACTGCTCCAAACCACAAGCATGAATCAAATTTCATTATTATTAAACAGATATTACACCTCTACATAACATTCAGATCACCATGTTACCCCAGCCCCCACACCTCTGCTCTCTGCATTAAGGCACTCCCCCTTCTGAGCACTATCTCAACACAATCAGTTGCTGGGTACAGTTTTGTATCAAGTTTTTTGTATATTTCTCAAAAATTGTCGTGTAGGAGCATGAGTGACGCAGGTTTGAACAGGGTCAAGGAGAGGTCAAACCTGCATGGATGACATCTAAACCTCTCCAGGCATGTTTTGAATAAAGTTATAACATGGTAGAAAGCTCCAAAAAGTAAATTTTGCATAATACTCCCTCTTTAAAAAAAAACTTTGCAAAATATAATATGAATGGAACAGAGACTAAAAGATCCTGTTACACAAAATGGATTGAGATTTAGGGCAATGCATAAAAGACTAATACAAATCTTTACCTTGCAAAAAAAAACAACAACAAAAAACAATAGAGCAATCACATTATCAACAATGCATTATTTATAAAGCTTCAAACTAGGGCTGCTCGATTATGGAAAAAAATCATTATTACGATTATTCAAACGATTATTTTTAGTAACACAATGCATTTATTCAGCAATTCTCTCTCTCAAAAAAACAACTCTGTTATTGATATATGAAAATAAATATAAGCTACAAATATGTACCTCTGAGCAATTTTGCAATGTATAAAACATAAAATGAATAGAATATACTTGAAACATGAAATAACACATAGAAAAAATAAATGTATCCAAAATATATATATCCTGCTGTTCTACAATCTCTATATTTAAAAAATTAAATAAATACACTTATTTATATAAAAATATCTCAAAATAAACTTTGTTAAGCTTTAATCGCTTCAACTTGATTATTTGAGTTTGGAGATTTGACACACAAAAAGAAATCGCAATCAAAATTTAATTAATTGCACAGCCTTCAAACTCTGAACATGATTTTCAAAGTGTAAAGGTCGACTAAATTGTAAAAATTTCAAAGTAAACAGCAATTTCTTGTGAAAATCATTACAGAATATGTTGAAAATCCCAAATAGCCAATATGCTGTACTGCCACGTTTATCAAAAAAATCAGAACAAATATTATGAAATTGTGTATGTATATAAGTGGTGGAGCTCTGGGACAACTGTACAGAAAAACTAAAACTCTGCACCACTCTCTTCCATTTTATAAAGAGCGCGGTTTAAGAGCACGTCTAATAGCCCGGAAAATACGGTAGTGGTAGTTGTCAGGTTAACAGCTCCTTTTACCTTTAGTTCAGTAGATTGGCAGTTCCAGGGCTGAAAATCATCCAAATGATTTAGTAAAAGTGTGCAGAGTTTTCTATTTCAAAGAAGAACTTTGCCTAAATCTGCAGGGTTTGTGTGTTAACAAATGTTGTGAATGAAACAAAACTACAGAAGCCGAGAGGCGTCACAACAAACGCAAATGCCGCAACAAATACAAATGCGACAACACAACAAAAAGCCACAACACACCAAAAAAAGCCACAACACACCAAAAAAAGCCACAACACACCAAAAAAAGCCACAACACACCAAAAAAGCCACAACGGAAATGACCGCGGGACTCTATTTTAATGCAAACGCCACAACAAATACAAATGCCACAACACATTAAAAAGCCACAGCGTAAGTGACCGTGGGACTATTTTCCGACGGACCGATCAAGCGGCAAGTGAAGAAGAAGAACTACAACGTGAAAAGTAAAGGAACGAAGAAGTTGGAAACGTAAGTAAAAGTAATTTATGGTTTTATCATTATTCATTTCACTTTTCATGTGTTGTGGCTTTTTAATGTGTTGTAGCATTTGGGTTTGTGTTGTGGCGTTTGTATTTGTTGTGGCGTTTGCATTAAAATAGAGTCCCGCGGTCATTTCCGTTGTGGCTTTTTTTGGTTTGTTGTGGCTTTTTGTTGTGTTGTCGCATTTGTATTTGTTGCGGCGTTTGCGTTTGTTGTGACCCCTCTCGGTGTGTTTGTGATGAGGCCGTAACATTCTAACACTGTCCTCACCGCTGAAGTTGAGCTGCGAGCACGTGCAGAGGGAGTGTATGATGTTGATGACGAGTCCGTGCGTGGAGGCCCGCAGCGACAGAGGACCTGTGGCCACGAGCAGAGTGACCACGTGGAACAGGTACGGCAGGTGAGCGGCTACGTCCAGAGAGTTGTTAAAGGACAGCATGAGCATGTAGCGGGCCAGGATGGCGATGTCGTCCCACATGAGGTGCTGCTCCAGAGTGGGCGTGGGAGAGAGGCACGTCTTGTCGATGATCTTACACATGCGGCCAATCACCTGTGAGGAAAGACGGAGTAAAGGTCACGTATGAACTGACCAATAGAGCTGTGCAGTCTGGTTTAAACACTGCGATACTAGACATTGTACACTATCAGTCAAGTTTGGTCAAGCCAATTTAATCTTTTTGTTTTTACATTGTAGATTCTCATTGAAGGTATCTGAACATATATGGAGTGTAGTAAAACAAAAAAGAAACTCAACACAAACTCAAACCCTATTTGCATGGGATTAGTATGACCTATGGACATGTTGTGATTTGTAATATTTGCAGAGGACGCCTCAGATCTTAATCCTGTGCGAATGCGACATGTTTGTAATTTGTAAAGTAAAATTTCCGTCGCAAATGATATACAACATATTTCGCCAAACACAGACGTCCGGTGATAATACTAGTCCAGGTGAAGCTGCGTTTCAGTGTTTGTTGTTGTAACTGCGCCTTTTCTGTCTTTCTTTTCCTTCTACGTTCTTTTCTCTTTCAATCTCAGTGTGTCAGTAAAATAGAATAATTTACAGACTTTGCTTATCCTGTGTGAATGTGCTGCAAGTAACACAGAGGTGGGGCAGTAATTTGCAAATGACCAGACGGCCCCTTCTGGACTTGTCTCGCGAATAGAGCTTTTGACTTTATTTCTTTATTTGTGGATAGCCAGCCTTTAGCCTAATTTATGAGCCGATTTCACTTCGTGGAAACCGTCTGATCTCACAGCATTTTGTTTGTTCGACGGGAGGCTGGTACTTTTTTATTTAACCAATTGCTGCTGTTTGGTCGTGACGTATGTAATGTGCCAGATCCCATAGGAAGAAGGGCAATAACGTCTTTCCCCTTGATAAAATTCACTAAACGTGTTCTAGCTTTAAATCCTCGATCTCGAGAATCATTGCCAATATAGAATGTTGGCCGGTGCTCGGTCTACAACTTCCAGGGTTCTTCCAAACCGTCTAGTGCATTCTGATTCCTGACCTAGTTGCTCAAGAGAAATTAAACTGAGCGAAGGCACTAGGTGGCGCCAGCCTGGCTGGCCAGCCTTTGCTTTGATAACTATATTTAGAAAATTAATTTTGTCTTATTATATAGAAGCTTTGTTTGACCTCTGACAAAGACGGAAGTGCTACTGCCGAAACACGTCAGCACAATAATTTACTTAACTTTTTACAATTTGTCTTATTATAAAAAAACTAAACACAAAGTTCTTTCATATCTGCTTTGCACTTTTGGCACAGCTGTGAAGTGAAAACCATTTCATGCATGCATTGAGGATTTTAATCTAAAATACTGATACTTTACAGGTGATGTCATCAACATTCCCTGGGGGTGTGCTGCCAGCTGTAGGCACTGCTGTGTCTGAAGCTCACTTACTCAAATTAGACTTTAATCTGAACAAAACCATGAACACTTGTATTGATCACAGGCTCCTGAAAATGTGTTCATTAAAACCATTTATATTGTACATATTAAGGAGAAATGGGAATTAGAAATGAACATAATAATTAAGGATGAGGATTGGGATCGGACACCTCGAGAGGGATATAAAATCACAAACAGCCCAGTACTAAGTGAATTTGAATGGAAAACTAAAATTAGATTCTTTAGAACTGCTTTTATTACATGTCAGTTTGGTGGAACCTCAGATAAATGTTGGAGGGGCTGTGGTCTGGTGGGGGATCATTCCCATATATTCTGGGATTGTCCTAAACTGACAACATTTTGGAGGGACGTGCAATGTGAAATTGAAAACTGTTTGGGGATCAAAATTATATTAGAGTCATGTATTGTGCTGTTGGGAATTTTTCCAAATGACTTAAGAGCAAATAGCCATTTTCATTTGCTAAAAATTTTACTTTTAATTGCCAAAAAAATGATACGGTCTCCTGGCTCAGGCTGCTGCCCCCCACATTGACCCAGTGGAAAAATAAAATAAAGGATGTGTATCATATGGAGCAAATAACTGCAAGGTTACAAAATAAGACAGATTTATTCATGGACAAATGGTCTTCAATTCAGGCCTATATGTCAAAAGGATGACTATCTTTTGTAGGATTTTTTTCTGTTATGTTGTAGTGTGTGTGTAGTGTATATTATAAATGATAAATGAGGAGACAATGTGTATGACTGTATCTACACTGTAACTTTATTGTCATTTTACTTGTATTGCAGCTTTACTGCTGTTTCATAATTATGTGGCTTGCACCAAAATTATTTAATAAGAATAAGTAAAAAAAAACAACAAAACAAAAAACATTTATATTGCATATATACATACATACAGGCCTGTCGACAGAAATCTGGGGGTCTGGGGCAAGAAGACTTACATGGGCCCCCCTCTAATATAAACTGGTGGTTTTCACATTCTAGAATCTAATGTCATATGCCCAGATGGGGGGTAAGAGACAGATTTCCCTACTTTGTACTTTGTCATGAAATATCCAAAAAGTTTATTCACAATCTTTAATGTAATATTTTCTATCTGTGACTAAACCCATTAACTTGCTGTGTTCTAACAAAAAACATTTTAACTGCATTTCCTTTAGCGGCCCCCCTCCATCTGTATTAACTATTATTGTCATGTCATCTGAAAAGCAGCAGTTTACTAATGTGTGCATTGCGTCACTGTCACAACTACTGAACATTCTGCCGTACACATATATTTAGAACTCCCCTAGCATGACCTGAAGGCTTTACTGAACAGAGCAGTGTGTGAGAAACAAAAAACCACAAACTGCATCTTCTCTTGCACCTACTGCCCCTTTCATTTCATTTCATTTGTGTTTCTATCTATTTTAAACTGCGTGAACCGTCTTTGAGTATTATAAAAAAAACTCTATAAAAGTCTTATGCAGAATGATTACTATAAAATGCTGCTCCATCTTCTCGTACAGGGGGTCAGACAAGCTTGGCTCTTAGCTCCTTCACTGCTCTGTCCCATAACAAAGGCCTGTATTCAGACTGGGAGTTATAATCGGAGCCAGGGCCTGCGTTTCTATTGAGCCTCTGTGTGCTTGTTTAGACAGCGACCGACCAGAGAGCAGCACCAAGACCCTTCTGCACTACTCGTAAGTACTAAATCATTACTACTATTGAGTTTAAGTGCGTACGGCATGTTTTGATGATTCTCAAATTTTCACTTGATTTGGTGGGATAATGCCTGTTGTAAATGTAAATTATAGTTTATTACCAATTAGAAATCAATTAGGCAAGAAAAGCTGAAAAATATGTTAGAATTACAGGAAGTGAAAAGTGTGATTTTTAAGAGTTCGAGACTGATAATGTTATTCAAAAGTTAGGAACAATTTAATTTATGCTTAAACACATTTTTACAAAATCTTGAAATGAAATTTCAACAAAATAAAGTGTTTTCCTATTTTATTTATTTGTGAAATATTAAATGCTGTATATATTTTATTAGTTTGAACCCAGTGTACTACTTGGTTGCTAGGTAACAGTTATGAAATTGCCAGAGTTATATCATGCTTCACAATAAGGAAGTAAAATGCAGTGACATTTTCTTAACCAAATCTTAGATACAATTGTTTTGGTAAAGTGAGCAGTGTAAGTGGGCCCAGGAACTTTAAGATGTACTAGGATGCAACACTGAGTACATCGTGCTTTTGTTATATCTGAGAACATTTGTTCTTATTATTTACAGAAGAGAAAAGTGAATTGATTTTACTACAAATGTTATACTGATATCTCCTGTACAAACAATAATCAGGGTTATTGAATGTTTGTGCATATATGAGTGAGTTTTTTTTTAGAATAGTGTTTGAATGATGTGACCTTGTGTAAAGTCTGTTTATATTCATTTGTGATGAATTTATCTGTATACATTTAATATGTATTTCCAGCCTGCTCAGGGACTACAGGAGTAAATGATGGTTTATACTATAACCTGGCACCAGCATTTCTCCTGTGACTGACTGTTGTACACTTTATGTACAAATGAAAGGATACCATAATATAGGACATAACAGTGAGTTATATATCGGACTAGTCTGAAAACTAGCACCATGCCTTGTAACACTCATTCATATTGTTTAAGGGTTGTGTTTTAAGAATCATACATTTTTAATAACAAAATGTGACATTTTAATGCAAAACCAACAATATAATATTATAGTGGTCCACTTAAATCCTTGGATATTTAAACAAAAGGGCCCAGCACAGAATCTACTATATACAGTAGAAATTTTGGAATATTTCATTCTTAGCTCTTGACAAATGTCATTAGGTGAGCCTGTGTGTTAAAGAAACTCTGACCGCGTGGGAAGTTCTGGTGAAACACTGTTGTCTCATCACAAATGTTCATTGCATAATTTATTTTCCGCTGTTGCAATGGAACATATAGTACACACTTTCAGAATAATGCCCACACTGCTGACCTTAAATGAGCCCTCAGTAATGAGTCTTTATGCAAACGAGGGGACAGTCTATTTTTATACACAGGCCAGGAAAAGGCCAACAGATATCTGATTTTAATTTAATTATAATTTAAATATCCCTAATACAAATCATTTTAAGTATTTAAAAGGTAGTAATTTCTGAAATGAATGTTATAAAATAAGCTTACGTCTATTTATAATATATAATATAAAATATCTTTGTTACAAATCTGATCATAGAGTGCCATATTAAAGCATGTCAAAGTGAAGGTTATCATGACCCTGTAGGTGGAGTTAGAAGTTTATTCATGGCTTGGGAACCCATATATACTACACTTGGACTTTGTTCTTATCACATTTACTTTCTTGCAATTCACAAATAATGAGGAAACATGATTACAATGTACGCAGGATTAGACATTACATATAAGTAATAAGCTGTTTGCTGGAGTGTTGCAATGAAATTGAAGTGGAACTAAACACTAAATCTACTTTTTTGCCACTACAGTGTATGTGGTGTTTTAATAGCATTATCTGCTGTTGTTTCTAGTATTTATTTTATTTTTTTGCAAATGAGCAGCTTTGCGTTCAAAAACAGCCAAAACAGAGAGTGTGCTGCCTCCAGTGGATCCCTGACAGACCAATCGTACTGTTCCTTTTACCTTCAGTCCACCTCCTCCTCCCTCACCATTTTCCAACTACTTCCCACTTTAACCATTGCAGTGTGCGGTTGTGGGCAAAATGTGGGTGTTTAGTCCTACTTTAATGTGGTAGTTTTGTGCAGTGTATATTAAAGATGCATTGTGTAACTTTTCTGGTAGAGGCTCCATCAAATGCTTTTCTCTCTGGAGATGTTATTGCTTTGTTTGGAATGTTTCACAGTAAGGTATTAAACCTGAATACATGTTTTCTAGGTATTTTTGAGCTCTAAAACCACCTGTAAATGAATAAATGTAAAGTAGAGCTGTTTAATGTCACACTGCGGAACCTTACAAGCAGAGCAATGACAGGTAACAGCCCCTCCAACAGAAACGTTACTCAGTGCACCTTTAAATGAAACATATTAGCTCTTTTTAAAGTGCATATGACAGGTTTTTATGTTTTTCTAATTCTAACTTGATTTGTTGGGATAAATATAAGGTAGAGTTGTTTAATGTCACACCGTGGAACATTTCACGTACCTCAAAAAAAGCATTTGACGGGCCCTACACCAGAAAAGTCACCACAGATATCTAGGTTCCGTCCAGACAGCCCTGTGTGTATTCTGACCTTGCTGGACACCAGTTTGACGTTGCCGGACGCCAGAGCCACTGCAGTGTCGGCCATGACCTCGGCTTTGATGGAGCCCAGACCTCCAGTGGCGCTCGTCTTAATGAAACTGTCCAGCACCACGTCCAGAAGGTCTGTGATCTGAGGGACAAGCACAGGCAATCAAACGCATGACAAACCCGAACAGAAGAGGGAGCTGCACTTTGTGAACTGCTGTGTTTACAGTGGAACTAGATCAGGCCTGGAGTCGACTAAAGAAATTCTTGATCCTATCTTGTATCTCTATCAGTGGTAGAAGTACAAAAGTTAAAGTACAATACTTAAGTACACTTTTTAGGTATCTATAGTTTACTTCAGGTCAGTTTTACAGTCGATACTTTTTACTTCATGTGAGACCAGGTATCAGTACGTTCTACTCCACAACATTTTAGATCTGGACTGAAAAGTAAAAGTACGTTTCTTTACGGTTTGAGACCTGCTGAAATGGCTGAGACTTTTTTTTTTAAAGCACATTTCATTTGAGTTAATGCTCCAATTCTGCGCAAACCAAATAAACAAAAAAAACGGTTAGAAAAATTAAGAAGTCAATTGAAATCAGCTAAATTCTTGTTCTACATTTCTACATTCTAGGTCTACATTTCATCCGTTAATTGTTCTAAAAAAAAACTTAAACTTTTTACTCTTTAAGTACATTTTAAACAGGTACTTTAATACTTTTACATAAGGAGATTTTTTCAGGCAATCTTTTACTTTTACTTGAGTAACCTTCTGCCCCTGTATTTGTACTTTTACTAAACAAAACAGAGTACTTCATCCACCACTGATCTCTAAGTATCTGACATTCACAAGACGACACCTGCACACGATTTCATGCAAAAACAAAAGGGACGTAACGATATCCAACTCCCTCAGTACGATATTATCACGATATGCATCTCACGATACGATATTTACTGCGATATTTTGGAGAGGCTGATATAATTGTAGATGGAACACTTTTGTGCTTTTAAAATACCTTCACAAGATTTTAGTGTGAATTATTTCCATCATAATCCCAAGAATTCAAGTAAAAAACATATTTCTTCATATTGTTTGGACTGAAATGAATCATGGGATATGTAGTTCCCTATGTTTATAAGCTACTGCTCCTATAAAACCATGCATTTAAACAAAGGAACTTGTAATTCGATATTTTGTGATAGTCCACGATATTATTATGAGACTTCTGACAGCAAAACAGCAAAACAACTGATGTGGTAAAATCCTCATAGATCTCGTGGTCTGACCTGTCCCAGGCTGCCCCAGATCTTGGCCTGGATGGAGGGGTACATCTGCTTCTCGTTGATCGTCATGGTGATGAGTTTGTCCAAAATGGCGGTGACTCGTTGGCGTTTGGCGTCGTCCGTGTGTTTGCAGAAGCGCACCAGGTTGAGCAGCCACGGCGTCATGTACTCCAGACACAAGTGCTTCAGCTCGATACCTGGAAATATGGACAGCAGTGAATGTTATAGTTCACAGGAATTTGGGGATCCGGGCAAGAAGTATCACATGCCCCCCCCCCTAATATCTTATATCTTGGATAAGAGGAGGGTCCAATTCTGGGCCACTAAAACCCTGGGACCCCCGTCTACTGCCCTGTAATAGATAGCGTTAATTCAACCAGTCAACTGATATGGCTTTTTTCATGGTAGATGTTGAAACTGATTGCTTAGAATCTAAAGTAACCAAGGGCAATAAACTCAGGAAATATTTTTGGGCTGATATGTAGGCCTGATTTTGAAATAATGTATTATGTAATTCTGTAATTTAAAGGTGCATTGTGTAACTTTTCTAGTGGAGGGTGAGTCAAATGCTTTTCGTCTTTGAGATATTTTTGCTTTGTCTGGAATGTTTCACAGTATGGCATTAAACCCTTTTATCTTCATGAAGACCAAACCAGACCAAGTTACAGATCAGATCTGTGGAGAGGCGACCACGCTCACAGTCAGAATTCTGTTTTTACAGATAGTTTTGAGCTATAAAACCATCTGTAATTGAGTAAATGTAAAAGTAGAGCTGTTTAATGTCATATTGTGGAACCTTCCAGGCAGAGCCATGACATCTCCATAGAAACAAGCAGGTGACGGATGCTAAAAGTTACATAGTGCACCTTTAAATCTAAAGAACATTACTTGATTTGCTGAATCCGGAGATGCACTCCTCCAGAAACTCCAGTGTGAGGTGGGGTTCGTTGGCGGCGAGAGTTTTGCTGATGGACACGATGAAGAGCGTGTTGTTGGCGGGGATACAGAGGCCTGAGGTCTCCAGCAGCTGGCCCTCGATCTTCAGGTTAAACGTACACGTCAGAGCGCACAGGAGGTTATACGCCGCTGATCTGCACAGGGACAAACAAGAGGAGAAATGTAATACACTTATGTGAAAGAAAAAGAAATGCATTGAAATTATCGTATTTTTCGGACTATAAGGTGCACTTAAAATATTTTATTTTCTCAAAAATCAACAGTGCACCTTATGTATTAATTGTGGTTGAGTTTACTGACCTCAAACCAATTTTATGTGGTACACGGTGCTCAAAAATCTGTGAGAATGTTTCAGTACGACTACGACAATCTGCTTGGTGGATTATTGGAGCATTACGGCTACTGTAGTCAGTAGCCTCGCGCAGTTGTGTCCTTTAGTCCGACAGAAGCTGAACCGCATCAGGACACAAAAATCTTATTTTTTCAGATCTTATAATTTATGCAAATTAGTCATGTGGCTTTTAAGTTTTGTTTCTGTAAAACATAAACAAATGTGCACAAAGCAGCATTAAACACATTATTACTCCATGTATATTTGAGTCGTCCTTGTAGGAAATAAAAAACTAAAATAATCCACCCACTTTCACATTCATAATCCACATTCACCAAGACAGGGAGACAACACCAGGCGAATTACACCACGATCTGCCGATGGATCGTGGACGCCTGGGATAAGGATCAGTCTCACGTCCTGTCCGTTTGTTTCTTAATGTGCCTTATAATCCGGTGCACTTTATAGTCCAAAAAACACAGAATATTGGAGGTTTTCAGATTCTATAATGCAAGAGCTAAAGTTCCCTACTGATTACATTGTACTCTGCCCTGAAACATCCAAAAGGTAAATTCACAAATGCTGAACCTGATTATTTCTATTAGTGACTAAACCCATTAGCGTCTCGAATTACAACAAAAATCAACACTTCAACCATATTCATTTTACTTGCCCCCATCTGTATTAAATGTTATTGGACTATAGAAAGTGAGGTCATCTGAAACCCGGCAGTATGCAGAATGAAACAGTGGCTACATAAAGATGAAGACTATTGGAGTTAATGGAGCGTTATGTTACGTATAGGTCAGAGCGCACAGGGAGGAATAATAAGAGAAATTTAATATACTACGGTAAAAGAAAAGGAGATTTATTGAAAGTATGACCCCGTGGTTACGCAAAGATGAAGAGTAGTGGAGTTAAATACAGTCTTATGAGAGGTCAGAGTGCTCAACAGTTTATACATGTTATATAAAGAGAGAAATGAATAATTCTTGTGTAAAAAAATTGAATCTTTACAGAATCTATACGCGAAGAATATTTGTTAATCTGATGTAAACAGACCCTGTGGCAATGTAAAGATGAGGAGGAAGAGTGGAGTTAAATAGAGGTTTATTTTATGCACAGGTCAGAGCGCACAGCAGATTATACACCGAGAGGTTTAATAAGGGGCACTTAAAATACTTGTGTAAAACAATTGAATCGTTTATTGGATGGTTATACGCAGAACGACCCAGTGGCTATGAAAAGATATTTGTACTCTAAGATATTTGTATTTGAAAATTACACTATTACGCTATTGCACTATTTTCTGATCCATGATATACTGTTGTAAAAAGGTAGCGGTTTACTTGAAAACTGCTACTTCATGACATCACAAGGTGGAAGAGAAGATTTTGAGCTTTAGAGATGTAGACAGACTAATAAAAGGATTACTCAAACGCGTGAATGAAACAAACCACAACAAAAAGTGAATTTTGTGCAATACAGGAGCTTTAAATGTGCATTGTGTAACTTTTCTGAAGGAGGGCCTGTCAAATTCTTCTTTTCTTGTTATTGTTTTGTGTGGAATGTAATGTTTCACAGTGTGGAATTAAACCTTTCTATCTTCACGGAGACCAAACCAGACCAAGTTACAAGTCAGATCTGTGGAGAGGCGACTCCGCTCACAGTCAGAATGTTTGTTTTTCTAGGGATTTTTGAGCTATAAAACCAGCTGTAATTGAATAAATGTAAAGTATTAGTATTAGTATAAGTACAGTGTTTAATGTCACACTGTGGAACATTCCAGGCAGAGCAATGACATCTCCATAGAAACAAGCAGGTGACGGACCTACAACCAAAAAGGTATATACCATATTTTTTGGACTATAAGTCAGACTTTTTTTCATGGTTTGGGTGTTTCTTGTGACTTCTATATTAAAATGTTCACACTGAAGCGGCGAGAGGCTCTAGTCTTGTGTGTGAGTATCTGCTGCTCCTGTTCCTCCTGTACCACTGTCACTTGACTCTACTGCGCATGTCTCCTGCAGAAAGAGCCTCTGTCCTGTCTGGATCATGTCAGTCAATTGCACCATTACATCTGTATTTAAAATGAAACAAACTTATGATATAAAGACGACTGAGAAGATAGAACATAAATGCCCCCAAAAACAAAATCATACTTTGCAGATTACAAGCTGCAAGTAGTGAAATCTGCATCTGAAAACGGTAATCGAGCAGCAGAAAGAAAGTTTGGAGTGAGAGAGAAACTTGTGACACCAGGAGGATGCACCATGAAACTTTCCTGTAGTAACTGGATGGATGGACAAAGCCTGGACTTCAGTGACACTGAAACCATCCTGTCGGGATTCAGAAAGACCCGAATAATTCTAACTGGAACTGATGCCGAGTCTGACAGCGACACAGAAGAGGAAGCGATGCTCTGTTTACCTCTGGAGGTCGAGGCCAAGGGCTCAGAAGTGCCAACGGGGATGAAGAATTGAATGGATTTAGTGATGTGGATTGAGATGGAGAGTTTGGTAAACTTGTTCTGTTCTGTTGTTTATGTTATAGTTTATCTGAAGAACTGTTCATATGTGACGTTAACAGTCTGTTCTTCTCTCTTCTATTGTTTTTACTACAACTTCACTTTACACAGGAAATGTCAGTTCCTGGTCTGATTTTATAAAATACATTTCCCCCAAAAAGTCAGACTTATATGTTTTTGTTTTTTTTTCTTCATTACACATTTTTTTGGCTGGTGCGACTTATACTCTGAAAAATAGAGTAGTGGACTTCTAATAGTAACAACCTTTACATCTGCTGGCTTCATGGTGTAAATGTGAAACCTAAAAACTTTGATGACCATGAAGGCACTTAAGGTAAAGAGGCAGGTGCATGTTCTTGACTGTAAAAAACAGCTTGTTCTAATACTTACACTTACTCCATTTAAAACAGAAGTCTGTAGCCCACACTGACCTGAGGCTGGGGTCGGAGCTGCCCAGGTTGAGCAGTGCGATGTTGAGCAGGGTCCCGGGCACGTCTTTGGGTCTGATCTTTGTGTGCTGCGGTATGGAGTCGGGCTGAGACAGTTCCCAGCGCGTCCGGATGTGGATTATGGACTGGACTATGGCGTCACACTCCTGGTGCATGAAGGTCAGAGGCGTGCCCTGGTTGGCCATGGTCAGGGTGAACTGGCTCTCGTCCACCAAACAGATCTCCTCTATCTCCGAGGCGTAGTACACGTCGTTCAGAAACACGGGCTGCCCCAGGACACGGGTGCGCTCGGCTGAAGTCACCTGGACCGCTGTGGAGCCCACCTGAGACGAGAGGAGACAGTTAGAATTAAGAGACTGACTACGATCATGCTGAAAATGAAGCAAACGAAGCCTAGACTTTGTTTTGTATCAATATCATATTCTAGTCAGTGGTGGAACGTAAGAAAGTAGTAGTAAAGTACTGTATTTAAGTATAAATTTTAGGTATCTGTACTTTACTGCAGTAGATTTTACAGTGGATACTTACTATTTACTTTTACTTCACTACACTTGAGAGCAGGTATCTGTACTTTCTACTCTACTACATTTTGAACAGAACAAAGTAAAAGTATTTTTTATTGTACTTTGAGTCCTGCTGAAAAGGCTGAAGGTGTAATTTTAACACATTTGTAGTTTGAGCAAACACAAATATACAAATAAAAACAGCTAGTGAAAAAAAAAACATTGATTCAATTGTTTCTGTTAAACAATTCCACACAAATCTTTATTAAAATCATGAAATTTTAAGCTTTATTAGATCTCAAAATAAAATACTATAATAATAAAATTAAGTGAAATACTTTTACTTTTTAAATTAGTGCTTTAATACTTTAATATTTTAATACTAAGTAGATTTTTCATGTGATACTTTTACTTGAGCATTTTTTGGGTCCTTTTTTGGTCCTTTTACTTGACTAACAAAACTGAGTACTTCTTCCACCAGTGACTCTAGTATTAGAGTAAAGAGTAGTATTAGTAACATTTTATGATAACAACCATACTGCCCTACCCTCCTGCCTTAACAAAGCCTAAAGCCTAAAATTCATAATTACCAAAAGATTTATTAAGAGCTCAGTAACTACTTCAAAAAGGGATTAGAGTTAGGTTATTAATGAAGTAGTTACTAACCCCGAGTCATTCTTATTTATCATTCTTAAACAATTTGTCCATTATGAATTACATCTATATTTATGCTTTACTAAGGCTAATTAAGGTTCCCGTAGTATCCTCTATTTTGTAGATTCAGATACCGTATTTTCCGGGTTATTAGATGTGGTCTTAAGCCTCCAGATCCAGAGCGCCCCATACACGAATCCACTCGGGTGTCCCAGCACGACTTCAGTAAACTACAAAGCCGCACCACCCGCAGAACACGCAAACATGCAAACACGCACGGAGCAGACAGCGACCACGCAGCGACAAACACCCACAGACACACTCATCACTCCATGTCAACGAGGAACGGAACAGAGGAACAAACCAAAAAAGCGAGTCCAATGTGCCTTTCTGAGTCACAACTGAACAACTGAGTCACTGCGAACACGTCGACAATCCGTTGGTCCCAGACAGCCCCCTCCCTACACGCCACAACTGAACAAAGCCCAGAGTCACTGTGAACGCCACAAACAAACAAAACCACTCACCCATCCAACTGTTGGTTTCCTTTAAAGTCTGGTGCAGTTTATTTGTGATAAAAGTTTGAAAATAGACCATTTAATGACAGTGCGCCTTATAATCCAGAGTGCCTAATAGCCTGGAACATATGGTAATACAGTATATTCTAAAGGCCTGGAGTAACTAAAGGTGCTCTTTGTAGTTTTTCTAGTAGAGTGTCTGCCACCTATTTGTCTCCATGGAGATATCACAATGTGATATATTGACTGATGTTCCACAGTATGAGTTAGTTCAGTTAACCCAACTTGCATTTATCGAGTTACTAGACAAAAAAAAAACAACAACATTTTTATTGCCAAAATAAAATGCATTTTAAAGACACAAAGACACATTACTGTAAATGGGATCGTTTCACCACAAATCCAATGACGTCTCCTACTTGTCTCCATGGAGAATGATGACTATAATGCCATACTGTGGAATTTCCCAGACCAGGCCACAACAAGAGACAAGCAGAAACCATTCCATGTCACTGTTTTTAGAAGTCAAATAGCGAATGATAATTTTTTCCAATTCATCCTCTCGAGAGAATACTTAGAAACAAAGTCAATGATTGCTGACATTTTGATCTAATAATACCATGACCTTTGTTAGAAAAGGTCTTTAGTCATGAGTTTTAGAGTCTGCAGAGGCTTCAGATTCATTATTGCAGCATTGGTTTTTCACTCACCTTAATAGAAACTTTGGTGTCTTTGTGCGCTAGCTTGAGTGCGTTGTGGAACACTTTCAGGTCCTCCTCCAGCGTGAGGGTGGCCGCTGGGAGCTTTTGTTGGTCTGGCTCGATGTGTTCTGCCAATTTCGCCGGAGAATCGATGAACTGCAGCTTCTTACTCCCCTTCAAGCCGGTCAGCAGCCTCTCGTGATACTTGGTGTACTCCCTCACCCACGTGTTGCAGTTGTAAACGTACACAGCCGCTACGTTTTCATATGCAAACCCGGGGAAGACCACAAACCATTTGGACAGGAAGTCTGTTTTGAAGCGGTTGCTAGGGCCGACGTGAGTCAAGTCCACCACGATCTCGTAGGGTTTGGCGTAGTACGGTTTTAGAGTGAGGAGCACGTGGTAGATGAGAAGATCTCCGTTAATTTGACCGGTTTTGAATCTGTTAAAAGACAAACACACAAAAGGGAACATGGTAAGCTTATGGTCAAGAAGTTAGACCACGACAATAATCTGTTTCTTGTTAAAGGTGACAATTTGAGGACTTTTCGCCATTCAAAACACAGAATATTTAGTTTTGTGTTTGAACTGCAATGCCAACAGTCCTTTTTTCATCATTTTGAAAGCCATAGATAGGATGACTGAAATTTACATTGTCTTCTTTTAACTGGATTAAATGACTCCCAATAAAAGACGTATTCCTAGGATAAAACAAGGATTAAACCGAAATTAAACTTAATAGCTGGACAGCAGGACAAAACAAGGTCAGAACCAGGACTAAACCAGGCCTAGACTAGGTCTAAACCAGGACTAAACCACAACTAAACAAGGTCAAAACCAGGACCAAACCTGATCAAAACCAAACAAAAAAACAGGTCTCCACCAGGACTAAACAAAGTCAAAACCAGGACTTCATGATTCAAAACTAATGAAACTTGGTTCTAACCAGGCCTAAAGGTCTGAATCTGGACTAAATTGGGTCTGAACTAACTGTCTCAGCAAGAACTAAACTAGGTCTACTTCAAAACTAAAAAAACAAACCAGTTCTAAGCCAGGACTCACCATGCTATAAACCTAGAGACATTTCTTAACAATGAAAACACAAGCAGATATGGTATACTTTGTGCTCTGCAATATGCAAAGAAAAGCCGTGTTCTTAACTTGAAGTAATCCAGTAAGAGTTTTTATAATGTTTCTACCATTCAAACATCACACAACTTCATGTAGTGCAATAGAAAAGTCTTTATAGTTCTGATAAGGGGAATGGTAAATATAACTGGGTCATATATGTGTGTCTTGTTTTAGATCTAAGACTGCATGGTTTCAACCACAACCTAAATAATCTGAGAAGAAACGTTTGTTGCACTCCTCACAACCCTCTACACTCTCACAGAGACCAGCCAGGCAAGTCAAGGTGAGTTTGTATTCAAATGTTGAAATGCCTGAAAAATATAGATTCACTTTTAAAGATGCATTGTGTAACTTTTCTGGTAAAGTGTATAAAAAATCTTCATGGAGACCAAACCAAGTTACCAGTCAGATCGCCTGTTTTTCTAGCTATTTTTGAGCTATACAACCACCTCTGACTGAATAAATGTTCAAGTCAAACTGTGGAACATTCCAGGCAGAGCAACGGCATATCCATACAAACAAGAAAGTGATGGACCCAACCAAAAAGTTACACAGTGCAACTTTAAGATGGTATACTTGTAGAGGGCTGCACAATGTATCTGTATCAGTATTGTAGTATTGGTTCATGGACTAGTGCACTGAACTAAAAAGTATGACAGTAACACCAAGGCTCACCATTTGACAGAATGAATTTGCATTGTTTTATATATAAAAGGAAATATACATATTATAAAAGCTGAGCCACAAAAATATTGTTCTATAATTTCTTGAAGTCCATATATTGTAATTACGGTGACAGGCGTACAATTTTGGAACTTCCTTTGTGGATTAATGCAGGTTTTTTTTTCTAAATCTACGTTTGCAAATGAATTTAGATTTCAGATGATGTCACAATATTCTATAGATCATTTAATACAGATGAAGACAGCTCATACAGTATAGTTAAAAAGAATTGAGTCACTAATAAAAATGATCAGGTTCAATATTTGTGCATTGAAGTTTCCTTAAGTCAAATCTTTAGGTATCTGTACTTAAGTCATTTTACAGTGGATACTTTTTTTTTTAACTTTTACTTCACTACAGTTGAGTGCTTGTATCTGTACTTTCTCCTCCACTGCATTTTTGATCAGTCAAAACTAAAAAGTCTTTTTCTTTAAGGCTTGAGACCTGCTGAAATAAAATAGGAGAGACTTAATTTTAGCACCTTTCATTTATCTTAATGTCCCAATTTTGAGCATTTCACATAATCCCTTAACCTAAGATATTTTCTAGGGATGTAAGGATATTTAAATCTCATGGTACAATATTATCAGAATTTGCCTCTCATGGTTGTGATATTTTGGAGACGTTAACAGAATTGTACATACTCATACTCATATTTTTTTCCTTTTTAAATATTTTGACCAGTCTTCAGTGTGAATCATTACTGCCATATTCCAAAGAAATAAGTAAGTAAAGGGTCATGGCCTATGCACTTCCCCTTTCGTAATACTTTTAAGTGAAAAACATTGTAATTCGGTATATTTTGATGGACCACAATATTATTGTGAGAGTTCCACCGATACAATATCAAGATATTTTGGTTATTGTTACATCCCTACGAATTTCTAATCAAAATCACTACATTTCATGCATTCATTGTCTTAAAAATCTCTATCTCTATCTCAAAAATCTGCTAAATACTTTACTTTTTATTCTTAAAGTACATTTGTACTTCAATAGAGGCTTTGCACCGTCACGTGACCCTATAGCAACAGTACCTACACTGCCATGACACCGGGCAACACTATGCCATTGACTTCAGCAGCATCGGAGAAACATGGGCAGGTTTTGTTGTGTATTTGGTTGTTCTAGACGCTCTGAAAGGGATAAAACAATTCATTTCTTCACTGTTCCTCTGGAAATGACTCATCAGGATCAAACAAGGGAATTATTGAAAAAAAGACGTGAATTATGTCTAGAGAACATAAACCACGAAGAGATTTCCAATGGTACCATCAAGACACACTCAGGTCACTTTCATCAAGGTATTTGCTATTTAAATAGTTTCATAGTTTATTTAATGAGAGAAGCACATTTACTGAACTAAAATGTAAAAAGAAAACATTTGCAGTGTGAGTGGCAGTAGAAACTGGATCTTCCAGCACATATAAACATGTCACTCGTCGTAGGACCCATGTTTTCTTTATTGTCTTGCTTATCCACAACTATGTCTTCTAGAATTAATTGCTTTTTGTGAGCGGATCTCTAATCTCTAATGTTCGCGAGGATCTTTTCATGGCCGATTCTTTCGAGGTTCGGCTCACAGACTCTTCGACTCGTGCGTCATGTTGATCACAGGAGCCCAGTGTGGGTTTGTTGAATCGTAAACTAGTGCGGGTTTTCCTGGATAAATTAATGAAATTTTAGTTCAGTAAATGTGCTTCTTTCATTTAATAAGCTATGAAACTATTTAAATAGCAAATACCTTGATGCAACTTCAGGTGTCTTGATGGTACCATAGGAAATCTCTTCATGGTTTATGTACTCTAGTCATAATCCGTGTCTTTTTTTCAATAATTCTCTTGTTTGTGCTCTCTGATGAGTCATTTCCAGAGGAACAGTGAAGAAACGAATCGTTTTATCCCTTTCAGAGCGTCTAGAACAACCAAATACACAACAAAACCTGCCCATGTTTCTCCGATGCTGCTGAAGTCAATGACATAGTGTGCCCAGTGTCATGGCGGCGTAGGTACCGTTGCTATAGGGTCACGTGACGGTGCAAAGCCTCTATACAGATACTTCAATACTTTTACTAGTAGATTTTTTCAAGTGATACTTTTATTTCTACTTAAATAATTTTTTGCCCATGTATCTTTACTTCTACTTAAGTAACAACATTGTGTGCTTAATCCACCACTGACATTGACCTTTGGATATTTCTTTTGTCTCCATCTGGAAGTATGAGAAACTGAAAACCATCAAAAGTTGATATATTCTCATGAAAGGCGTACAACTGTGTAACTTCCCTTGTGATCAGTATCGTGTATTTATTAATTTTTTTTGCAAATCTCTTTTACGTCTTTTGTCAGATCAGAAGATGGCGCTGTCTGGACTGCCCCCTCCTTCCCTCCGCCTGCTCCTGTTCATCTGTCTTTTGTCTCCGAGTCGCCCTGAAACCTCTACCTCTCCTAACCCGACCTCGGAGCCCACCACAGAGAGCCCCAACGCGAACACGACCTTTGTGACCTCCGCACCCTCCGCGGAGCAGAACACGACAGGAGCGGAGTGCCTCATCGATAATCAGATGGGTCTGATCGCCATCGGGTCGGCGGGGGGGCTCATCGTGTGTCTGCTGTTCACGGTGATCACTCTGGCCTGTCAGGTGAGAGCAGATATTTCGAGGAAAGCAGATTTCATTTTTTCCCTTGTATTTAGTATTAAAAGGTGCATTGTGTACTAGAGATGGAACGATCATAGATATAGAACATTAGATCTCACGTTCAGCTGCTTGGCGAGTGTTAGTACCGTCGCCATCTAAGGTAAAGTTTTTCACAGTATCAGCGAGCGAAGATGCTGGACTTTTGCGTATATACGGCTGTGCGAACCAGCAGAATAAGAAGACAAAAGAGCAAGGCACAGCATTTCATAGGTAAGATTTTATTTTATATAGTCAGGCTGGCGCCACCTAGTGCCTCCGCTCAATTTCATTTCTCTCCAGCGACTAGTTCAGGAATCAAAATACACTAGATGGTTCGCAAAAACCCCAGAAGTGCAAGTTCGGGCACCAGCCAATCAGTGCAGAGACATACATTCTGTGTTGGCAACAATTCCCGAGATCGAGGATTTAAAGCCGGAACAAAAAGAATGTTTGGTGAATTTTATCAAGGGGAAAGAGGTTATTGCCCTTCTTCCTATGGGATTTGGGAAAAGCTTAATATACCAGTTAGCCCCGTTAGCGGCGCATTACAGACGTCACGACCAAATAGCAGAGATTGGTTAAATGATAAAAAGTACCCGCCTACCGACGAGCGAACAAATCCTAACGGTTTCCATGAAGTGAAAACGGCTGACGAATCAGGCTATATTTTGTAGGCCTATGATACTAAATGTTGTGTTTTGAAACCAGGACTAAACCACAATTAAAATAGGATTAAACCAGGATTAAACCAGGACTGAACCAGGACTGAACCAGCACTGAAACCCAGCACTGAAACCCAGCACTGAAACCCAGCACTGAAACCCAGCACTGAACCTAGGACTGAACCTAGGACAAAACCAGGACTAAACCAGGACTAAACCAGGACAAAACCAGGACTAAACCCAGAGCTGAATCATGACTGAACCCAGGAGTGAACCCAGGAGTGAACCCAGGAGTGAACCAGAACTAAACCAGGACTAAACCAGGACTAAACCAGGACTAATCTTGGACTTGTTCGGCGCAGTCCGTTTCCAGACCCCATGCTGCTCTTCGCGCTCCCCCTGCCGCCTCTGCAGCAACTTATACCAGGCGCCGCCATCCTGATCCCCACTGTCTGAGCAAAATGATGAGTCTGAACCAAGCGGAACCGTGCAGAAACGTGCACCGAGCAGAGAGGGCCCGAACCATGCAAAACAACAGCCGACGAAGCACTGGAGGGACACGGGCACAAGATAAACGAATATATACCTCTTCTCTATCACTTTATTTGGGGCGTGGTTGTAAATAAACGTCTGACATTTGTAACGAACCAAGAAAATAAAACTTGCCAATTAAAGTTAGGCTACTTTACTTATGTATAAAGTTCTATATCTATGTGGAACGATATCTAAAAACAACATACCGTAACGTAGATTAGAAATTAGCATAATATGGGACCCTTTTTTATTTATCCATCTCTGAATCTATTTCCTTGTTCTGTGTCGTTTCCAGGTTCACCAACTGCGCAGGAGAGTGTACATTCCGCGGAGCTCTCGTTCAAACCTGGACATAGCCGGGAGCGCTGGGTACTGGGCCAACGCCGCCGCCGCCATGGAGAGAGCGGGAGACGCCAGCGTGATGATGGACGAGATGAAGACAGCCGAGGGAGCGGAGGAGAGGGAGGGGGAGGAGTTAGGAGAGATCCGAGAGGAGGAGGAGGATGAGGAGGAAGAGGAAGAGGAGGAGGGAGGAGCGGGGGTCAGTCCAGAGGAAAAGCCCCTGATGCACACCTCCGAGTCCAGAGAGTCAGATCTGCCCCAAGACCTGGAGAACATACCCCTCGTGGTGTAACAGCAGAGGGCGATAGAGAGGCTACAGCACACCTACTTAAAAGTGATTTTGATGAGGTTGGTAGCGCTGTCACGATATTAAAACTTCAAACTCGATTTCAATTCTAAGGAATAGACGCGATACTCAATACTGATTCTGATACCACGATCATTACAAACGTTCTTTAAACCAGTGTTTCCCCAATTTTTTTTTCTGGGGACCTATATTTTAAAAGTCACAAATCTTCACGACCCAAGTCAATAAACATTACCCGTAAATCACAAAATAAAGGTGGATTTGACCATTATTGAACATTCATGAGGATATTTTATTGCTGACTGCGTGATCTTGTCTCTGAACAATTAGTATTATTCAGTAACTGAACAAGCAATAAAAGGTCTCCATCCATTAGTATCCTGAATTGGACCAACTTTTTGCTCATTTACCCTTCTTTTTGGACAACCAAGCTGCATTTCTCTAGGCAGGCTGGCGTCACCTAGTGCCTCCGCTCAATTTAATTTCTCTCCAGCGACTAGATCATGAATCAAAATACACTAGATGGTTCGCAAAACCCCGGAAGTGCAAGTTCGGGCACCAGCCAATCAGTGAAGGGCCATATATTCAGTGTTGTCAACGATTCCAGAGATCAAGGATGTTGATGATGAAAGAGAATGTTTGGTGAATTTTATCAAGGGGAAAGACGTTATTGTCCTTCTTCCTACGGGATTTGGGAAAAGCTTAATATACCAGTTAGCCCCATTAGCGGCGCATTACATACGTCACAATCAAATAGCAGCGATTGGTTAAATGATTAAAAAAGTACCCACCTACTGTCGAGCAAACAAATTCTAACACTGCGAGGTCAGACGGTTTCTACAAAGTGAAACCTGCTGATGAATCAGGCTACCATTTCTCAACTTTAGCTGCAGGAACACTCGTTCAGGGCAGGCAGATAGGATACTTTGACTCACTAGCTCCCTCGTGTGCCAGAGCTGTATATTGTAGATCTATATGCAGATCATATGTGACAAGGCGACCCAAAAAAAAAAAATCTCCTGCGATCCACCTGAGGGTCACAACCCAGTCTTTGGGAAACAATGCTTTGAACAACTGTAACGTGTGGTATGTGTTTATAGTTTTACATTAGTTAAATGGCAAAAAAAGTTGAGAAGCAAAGTACAAAAATACAGAATGTAGCAACAAGAGCTAAAAACCTCTACCAATGTCTCCAACATCGAAAGTTCCCTACAAAATACAGAGACAATTTACATACAAAAAATGTATTTTTTAAGAAGCTTAAACCCTCATTTAGCAAAAACAGTGTATCCCGAGGTTTCACTACCCCAAATTTAAGACTTTTTAAAGACCTTTTTAAGGCCACTTAAATGAAAACTAAGACCAACATCGCACCCATTATGCGGGTGAAAAACACCAGATCCAATTCTAATAAAGACCAACCAACTACCGGTACTATATCTAGAATCTAAGAGCCACTGTGGATTAAACCTGCACTTCCCCATGATCCATCCAGCTTCTTCCTCCACTCCATTGATTGTTTACTCTTTGCCGGTGCCAAAAACCAAAGTATTGTTCGCGCATACTCCAAATAACGTTTATTCACTCATGTTATTGAGTACACAGAAAAAGTTGAGTCTACAAAAAAACAGGCTAATGAAATTTAAGCCCTTTGTGAAAAAATAAGACTTGGACAACATAATTTAAGACTTTTTAAGGCCTTAATTTAGAAACAAACAAAAAAAAAAAGGTTATTTGTCATATCATCACTAGAGTGAAATGAGTCATCTGACCTGCAGCAGCACACACTCTTATTTCCATGTTCTAAAGTTAAGAGTGCCTTGCCTCAGTACAGACATATTGTATAAGCAACTTTTAAAGGTGTATTGTGTAACTTTTCTGGTGGAGGATCTGTCAGAGATATACTTGCTTTGTCTGGAATGTTTCACAGTATGGTAACCGGACCAAGTTACAGGTCAGATCTGTGGAGAGGCGACTCTGTTTTTTTTAGGTATTTTTGAGCTATAAAACCACCTGTAATAGAACAAATGTAAGGTAGAGCTGTTTAATGTCACACTGTGGAACATTCCAGACAGAGCAGTCACATATCCACAGAAACCAAAAAGTGACACGGCGCACCTTTTAAGTTCCCTGTGCTGTAGCCTCTCCTCCATCTTTGGTTCATTTACGTCTCCAACACCAGCAAACAGGAGGTCAGCAAGAACAGCGCACTTCCCATTTGATTTTTTTTAACCAGCAATTACTTTAAATCTCTTCCACTGTCTTTGTTTTTTCAGATCATTAAAAACTTCAAGCTTTGTTCTGGCTTTTTTTTTTTCATCAATACAATAAGACAACTGGCTTTTAAATCTGTTTTTACACAAATGTCAACTTTATCAAATTAAAATCAATGAATAAAGTAAAGTATACACAAAACCCCATGCAGCATTATTCTTATGAGAGTGTTGTCATATCATGTGGATTGAAAAGTGCCATAGCTGCAAGAGCCTCATTATTCCATACGTGTCATGAACCTGGAGCCACTAGGGGGCAGGATTGAGGGCAAAGGCCAGGAAAGGAAAGGAAAATGTGTATTATTAAATGGAACTCTTCACTGTTACACTCACTGACACATGACACATCTGGGAACATGCAAAAGAAAACTGTATTGAGAACGTTTATGGCATTTTGCTGTTCCATGTCTCTTTAGTATTTTTTTTTATAATTGTCTTCTCTATTACCTGCTTAAAGGTGCACTGCGGAACATTTCTAGGGTCCGCCACCTGATGTCTCCATGGAAATGTTATTGCTTTGTCTAGAATGTTCCACAGTATAGCTTAAACTTATCAATCTATTACATTACAGGTATTGTTTATATTACAGGATTGTATTTTTGCGCAATAGAAACACCCATAATGAATAAACGCAAGATGAACATTTCAGCCAAAGCAATGACATCTCCATGGAGACAATTCAACCATAAAAGTTGCACAGTGCACCTTTAAGGGCAACAGATGGAAATGGGTATATATAAATCTGCAGTAATCTCGCACATTTACCTTGTAATTGCAAATGTTCATTAAAGACGCACTGCGCAACTTTTCTGGTGGAGGGTCCGTCACCTGCTTGTCTCCATGGAGATGTTATTGCTTTGCATGGAATGTTCCGTGGTGTGACATTAAACATATCCATCTAGCCTTTAATCGTTACAAAAAACTGCTCAAAAATACAATAATTCTCTTTGTGAACAGGTGCACCTCTCCACAGATCTGACCTGTAATGTAATCTATCGTTGTCTCTATGTTGTAGATAGGTTTAATCTATACTGTGGAACATTCTAGACAAATAGACAAAGCAATAACATCTCCATGGAGACAAGCAGGTGACAGACTCTCCACCACAAAAGTTGCGCAATGCACCTTCAATATGCACTGTCTATCAAATAAATAAATAAAAGTAAAAATATTTATGAGCTCAGACTGACACATTTCAAACTCAAGCATCATAAATTCTGCAGAAATAAAGATTCTTAAAATTGATCCATTATTTATTGCAAGTAAATTTCTAAATTGAGTGCAAACTTTAAGCTTTGTGACTTGAATGAAAACCGTTTCAGAACCACTCCCTCTTAACCCTCTGTAGGATAGGTGTGAAACTGTACTTGCTATTAATACAGTGAACAGTCATTTTGCTTCCTGTCAATGAGCCAACAACTGACGTGAATTTAAAAAAAAAAAAAAAAAAAAAAAGCAGTTCCTGATTTTAAATGTTTCAAACTTGACAAGCGCCTCTGCCTAAACCCACAATCACGCAGCAACGGCAGACCATGCACAGCGCTGAAGACACCGGAGCAACACCTGAACCAAACAAGGTAAGAAAATGCAGCATTAAATAATCAAGTTTTAGAGAAGATGCAAAACTGTGCAAAACTGTGTAAAGAATGATGATAATCCAAAACAAAACGTAATATATGGAATTGTGTAATCTCTCAGTCTATTGCAAAATTAAGATGTTCAGAGTTAAAATCCAAAAATATGACTTATAATAAAAAATTTGAATCATCCAGTTTGGCAAATGTTACAAATATTTACAAATTAGATACATTTCAATTGCAATTTCAAAGCCGAAAGACAGAATTTAGTTTGAAACAGACAGAAGTCTTTCATCACTCAAAATAAAAACAGAAAAAAACTAAATAGGGCAACTAAAAATCAAGCTTTATAATCTAAATGTCTTATATTTCTTCAGAATAAAATACAGGATAATAATATTAGTTTGGTCCATGTGTAGCAAAGAGACAAAAACTGTCCATATGTAAATCACAAAAATGTAATTCCTTATTAAATCATTTGCATTTTCCAGAATTCAAACCATCAAATCAATGAAGTTCTATGTTAAAGCTGCATTGTGTAACTTTTCTGTTGGGGGATCTGTTACCTGCTTGCTGCTATGGATACGTCATTGCTTAGATAGTTCCACAGTATGACATTAAACAGCTCTACTTTACATTTATTCAATTACAGATGGTTTTAGAGCTCAAAAATACCTAGAAAAACAGAATTCTGATTGTGAGCGGGGTCGCCTCTCCGCAGATCTGAGCTGTAACTCGGTCTGGTTTGGCCTACGTGAAGATACAAAAGGTTCAATACTGTACTGTGAAACGTCCATCAGAAAAGTTACACAATGCACCTTTAAATACAGACTTGCGTAATGTAGCTACTAAAAAGGCTACTTTAAAAAAACGACTGCAGCAAGTTAGTATCCTTATTTCTGTTCCTCAATCAGACCTAAAATTAACCAGCTCACAGCTCACTTCGCACTAGGCCAAAAGACTAAACAAGATTTGTGATTAAGCAATTTGTATTTTAATTACAGGTTGAGCTTCCAAGTTCAGATTGTAAACACGTCCAGGAGGGTTGACGAAAAGACTGACATTTGGAGTTACAAACTAATACAAGAATGACACTTCAGAACGTTGTTTTTATGCGGAATAAGTCTTAGTGGAGGAATAAGTGGAGGAAATTCTAGTTCTTCAAAAAAAATGCAGGGTTTGGGATTTGCTAAATGCTTCCACTCAAACTCTATTAACTCTCGATTAATCTGGTTTTAAGAAAATTGGGTCACTTCAAACTACGCAGTGCATTGTGGGATTCTCTCCAAATGATGCGGTTTTCAACTGGTGGGTGAGGATCTAAAAGGCGGTCGTGGGGAGATAGAATACATTTGAAATTACTAATGACTTTATTCTTAGAACGGAGTGTTAGAGAGTAGGAAGTTGAGAGTGAATCCAGTTTGATACTTATCTTTGGTAGTGACTTGCAGAAGGTGGTTAAGAATGCAGTAGTTAAGAATTGTAGGATTGAAACTGTTAAATCTACTACGACTAAATCCGGCCCTCAGACCTATTTTTGATCCTGCTGAATTGGCCTAAATGATCTTAAGCAGCACTTCTATCACTATTTTGATCACTGCAACCTCAATAAACATCTTGTTACAGTGTGACACAGGCCTAAACTTTGTGCTCCAAGGCTTTAATCTTGTTGTGGATGTCAAATATATGTAAAAAAGCGAAAAAAGTTTGGACCACCCCGAGGCAGAGCTGTGGTCATGAATAGTAATATTACCCAAAAGCTTAAAAAAGTGCACTATGTAACTTTTTTGCTGCCTGCTTGTCTCCATGGAGATGTTCCTGCATTGCCTGGAATGTTTCACGGCATGCCACTGAACTTGTCAACCAAGCACGCATTCAATTACAGATATCGCTAATACTACTTCCCATGATGATAAACACATTTAATTTCACTCTGCGGAACGCTCCAGCAGCATCCAGATCGGGGTTTGGTCAAGAGTACCTAGCTGGGGGTAACTCCTGAACAAACCCAAATCTGGATGCTGCCAACCCACTTTGCCGCTTTGCAAAAGATACAAAATAAGACATACTAAAACTATGCAAATATAAGAGATCTATACAATGTTAAGTAAGTCAAATATTGTATAGTGTAGTGTGTAGTGTGTAGTGTATAGTGTACAGTGTGTAGTGTACAGTGTAATGTATAGTGTAGTCTATAGTGTACAGTGTAAAGTGTATAGTGTAGTGTGTATAGTGTATAATGTAGATGTGTATAGTGTATAGTGTATAATGTAGTGTGTATAGTGTAGTGTGTATAGTATAGTGTGTAGTGTATAGTGTGTAGTGTATAGTGTATAGTGTATAATGTAGTGTGTATAGTGTAGTGTGTATAGTGTATAGTGTGTAGTGTATAGTGTAGTGTGTATAGTGTAGTGTGTATAGTGTGTGTATAGTGTATAGTGTATAGTGTAGTGTGTATAGTGTAGTGTATAGTACATAGTGTATAGTACAGTGTATAGTGTAGTGTGTATAATGTAGTGTGTATAGTGTAGTGTATAGTGTATAGTGTGTAGTCATGTGTATAGTGTGTAGTATAGTGTGTAGTGTGTAGTGTGTAGTCATGTGTATAGTGTGTAGTGTGTTGTATAGTGTGTAGTATAGTGTTTTTGTAGTATAGTGTGTAGTGTGTAGTGTGTAGTATAGTGTATAGTGTGTAGTGTGTAGTATAGTGTGTAGTGTGTAGTATAGTGTATAGTGTGTAGTGTGTAGTATAGTGTGTAGTAGTGTGTATAGTGTGTAGTGTGTAGTGTGTAGTATGTGTATAGTGTGTGTGTAGTGTGTAGTATAGTGTGTAGTGTGTGTAGTGTAGTATAGTGTAGTGTGTAGTGTGTAGTGTGTGTAGTGTGTAGTATAGTGTATAGTGTGTGTGTGTAGTAATAGTGTGTAGTGTGTATAGTGTGTAGTATGTGTATAGTTGTGTAGTAGTGTGTATAGTGTGTGTAGTGTGTGTATAGTGTATAGTGTGTAGTGTGTAGTATAGTGTGTAGTATATGTGTATAGTGTGTGTGTGTGTGTGTATAGTGTATAGTGTGTATGTGTGTATAGTGTGTAGTGTGTAGTGTATAGTGTGTAGTGTGTAGTATAGTGTGTAGTGTGTATAGTGTGTAGTATAGTGTATAGTGTGTAGTGTGTAGTATAGTGTGTGTATAGTGTGTATAGTGTGTATAGTGTGTAGTGTGTAGTATAGTGTATAGTGTGTAGTGTGTAGTATAGTGTATAGTGTGTAGTGTGTAGTATAGTGTGTAGTGTGTAGTGTGTAGTGTATAGTGTAGTATACTGTAGTGTATAGTGTAGTGTGTAGTGTGTAGTGTGTAGTGTGTAGTGTGTAGTGTATAGTGTGTATAGTGTGTGTAGTGTATAGTGTAGTGTGTAGTGTGTAGTGTGTATAGTATACTGTAGTGTATAGTGTATTGTGTAGTGTATAGTGTAGTGTGTAGTGTAGTGTATAGTGTAGTGTGTAGTGTGTAGTGTATAGTGTGTAGTGTATAGTATACTGTAGTGTATAGTGTATAGTGTATAGTATACTGTAGTGTAGTGTATAGTGTGTAGTGTATAGTATACTGTAGTGTATAGTGTAGTGTGTAGTGTGTAGTGTGTAGTCTAGTACATGCACTTTACGGTTAAACCCCATAAACCACAAAACCAAACCAAAGGGAAACTTGAGTTAGAAGGAAGCAGAGCTCGAACATTAATCACACTTTAATCAAAATCTGAAGGGGCACATTTAGCAAATCGCAAAGACTGCAGTTTTTGAAGTGCCATCGTTTCCTCCACAACTAAATCTAATCCTGTACTTTAGATCTGCACAAACATGTTCTGAAATGGGAGTCTTCAGTTCAGATTTCAGTCTTTTTGTTAATTCTTCTGGATGTGTTTAAAATGTGAACTAAATGTAAACAAAATCCTACTTTTAAATAATAAATTGCAAATCCAATCACAGTCACAAATTGCTTCAGTACTAATACAACTAGTAGAAGTAGGTAGCAAAAGCAGGTGGTAGTAGGTAGTCTGTAGTAGGTAGCAGCATATAGTAGTAGTAGTTTTAAAATTAGGTAAAATATTGTAGTTTAGTAAGTACACAGTTTGTCATGTCATTTGTGTATTCACTTCAGAGGAGAGGAAGTCACACGTTTCACAACAGCATCCCTCCCCTCCAGTGTTCAGCTCATTTCCTCCAGTGTTACAACGATCAAACCCAAGACCACACTGTCAGTTAGAGTAACCATGGTAACTACATACCATTTATTACAAATTGAAGATTGCATTAGCAAATTTGTGCATTTGAAATAAGCCCGATAGCACTAACTTTTAAAGAGAAACTTGTTATATCAATCGGGATCTGATAAAAAAAAATAACAGACAGATATCAGTTTTCATAAGTTCATCAGTTCAAAAAAAGGCCATATCCAAAGAACCTGAATTTTCTTTTTTATACAATGCAATTTTATCACTTATTCAAACTGAAAACAGAATTGTGCTGCTAAAACATTTCAAAATTGATACTTTGCATTGACCTCACTGTTGGGGTTTTCTGCATGTATCTCTGTAACAGAATGTCCAGCAGTTACCATGGTGACACAATACATACACATGCATACATCAGCAAGTGAATGCCGTCAAAAAAGGTTTAAAATAGTGTGAAAAGAAAACAACTAAAACAAAAATGTATTTAAACAGCACATTTTCACGAGTCTGATCAGTCTGAGAGTTTATGGTGCTGTTCAGGAGTTTGATTTTCAACTAAAAAAGATGCGAGCGATTAAACAGAAAAATGAGCTTGTGACTAATTTTATGTGTTTAAGCGCACATATCATCTCACCTGTAACAGTTCCACATTAAGTAAGTTCTTTATGTTTGGATTGTATTAAAATAAAGATCAGGTTATAGCTTTCTGCAGCCTTTCTGATGTCTAATGATTCCAATTTTGAATTTGTGTCCACAGACGATTTCCTGAAACAAGCAACAATGAAGGAATATAAAATGCTGTTCCACCTATTGGTCACTTGTTTATTGACGATGACGGAGGCGCAAACCCCCACGCCTGATCCACTTATGCCCGATCTCGCTCACAAGGAAACAACTCCGCATGCTCAATACCACACAGAAAGCAAAACGTCCGTATTTCCAGTGACTGAAACACCTCGACCCGTTTTAAGCGCAGCCCTCAACAGCAGGCAAACAACTTCAAGCACACATTTGAGATCAACTTCTCCAGGAATGAAAATTGATACACACAAAATGCAAATTGAACGCCAAATAACGACAGAAGAACCAACCAGTATACATACAGAACAAGTGACAACTAAATCAGTTAATACCGATTTTGGAACGCAATCCCCAACAATGCAACTTCCAACAACAGTTCTACACAAAACGACAAACCCACCAACTCTTCGACAAGTTGTTCCCACTACAAAATCATCCGGAACAACTGAGATTAATACTGAAAAACCGCCAACAAAATCAGTCACAGCTAAATCAGCTACCAGTTCTGGAAGCAACGCAATAGCAAACGCTAAAAATGTAGTGACAAACCCGGCAACTACTACCCAAGAAGCAAAGGTACTGACAACCGCAAAAATGTCTACCGAAAAAATGACAATGAAACCAGATGGGACGGATAAGACTACGACATCTTCTCAAAATGTAGTGACCTAAAAAAACGACTACTCCACTTGTTCCCACTGCTAAATTATCCGCGACGACTGAAACGACTTTATCTGCAACAACACAAGCGACAACAAAAGTTCAAAAACCTACCACCAAGCTTGCGAAGACCGACTATCCACCTGTGATCACGAAATTGCGAACCACAACCCCTACCGTATATGATGAAGATTACAGAAAGAAGTCAGTGAAACATGGTAAAATCGTAGCTGGAATAATTGGAACTGCACTGTTACTGATGATGGTTGGATTCCTGGTGATTTTGTACAAGAAACACAAACTTAAAAAGCATCAAATCGCCACCACAGATTGGGCAGGTCCGACGCCATTTTTGGAAACGGGATCCGAGAATAACGGTCACGTGACTTTGCGATCGGCCAACAGGATTTCTCTGACCAGTTTCTTGCCGCAAAGACTGTCCAAACGGCTGTCCCTTTTGGCCGAGTCCGGGGAGGAGATGCAGGAGATGACGACCTCATCTACTTTTGCGGGGAAAGTGGAGAAAAAAGTCGAGGAAAATGGCCCAAAAGCGAATAAAACTGAGAAAGCTCAAATGAACAAACCTGAGAAATTGGAAGTTGATAAAACCGAGAAATCTGAAATCTCAACAAAAACCGACGATGTGGTAGTAGTCAACGAGACGGACAAAAATGGCGAGATTAAAAACAATGACGGTCAAACTGAGAATGCTAAAACTGAAAAAGAGGAGGACAAAGCATCGGAAAATACACCGGCCGAACCTGCGACACCTGAAAACCCACCAACAGATACGAATAACGAAAACAAAGAAGAAACTGGAAAAGACGGAATGTAAAATATACTGGGAGATTCGTGAGTTTCAGTAACAGGACTTTTGACATTTTGAGGACTGTTTAGGACTGTTGGCTGAAATAACCGCATTGTTTTTAAGTGTTTATCGCTATGGAAACTGTGCTCATTTTAAAATCACTTGAAACCCACAATTAGCCAGAAATGGTGGAAGCTATGTAAAGAAAACAACAACAACAACAACAGCTACTACTAAATGGGTTATTTCAAAGTTCTAGCGATGGAGTAAATCTGTGCATGTAAATAAACAATTTTTCTATAATAAATGTTAGAAGCACATGTTCGCTTGGTTTTAAAAGGAAGGATTACATATTTATATAAAACCCCAAAGAACTGTGATAATTGGTATGCTAATTAACTGTTATTTACCTATTAGTATTTTTTAAACACTTTTTTGTGCTTATTATGATTTCAGTGAATGTACAAAAACATCTATTGTAATCCCACAACTTTAATGGGAAGAAAATCGTTAAGGGCTTCATACTTGTACTAATATTTAATACGGCCTTAGACAAAAATGCGTTGAAAGTATTTTATAAATACTAAAAAAAAAAAAACACGTATTATCCGTTCTACTATTTGCTGGCTATTAATAAGTGTTACAGAACTTTTATTTTTACAAAGCTGTTTTGTAGTTAGATTAAAAGGTGCACTATGTAACTTTTTCATTGAGAGTCCGTTAGTCGCTTGGAGATGTCATTGCTCTGCCCGGAATGTTCCACAGTACGAAGTTAAACAGCTATAGCTCAAAAATAATAAACTAAAAAGGCATTCTGGTTGTGAGCATGTTCGCCTCTCCACAGATCTGACCTGTAACTTGGTCTGGTTTGGTTTCCATGAAGATAGAAAGGTTTAATACTGTATCATGAAACATTTGGATGAGTGTTGTCTTTTTTTTTTTTTTTGTTCCAAGGAAATAAATGCTGTTTTCTGTCTCTGCGCTGGTATCGGTTCATATTGGGTATCGGCAGGTATTTAAAACTATAGTATCGAAAATGGTATCAGAACTGAAATAACTAGATCAGATCCCTAATTTCTGTACTAAAGCATTTTTGTTTGTCATCTTGACTGAAAACCTTATATAAATGTATTTATTCAACTCAAAGCATTCATTGTTTTAATATGTACATTTTATATTTTAGCATCATTTGAAATGTTCTTTTGACTAACTTCCCCATTTTTTTTGTTGAACATACTTTTGCAGATTTTTTTTTTAACCCTATGAGACACGATGACTGTATTTTCCTTATCTGTAGCTGTAAATAATAAGAATAATAAATTATGAATGCATTTGAATACATGGCGTTGCTGTCTTTGTGATGCACGGTTGAACTGAGAACAGAGTTAGAAAGTGAAAACAGGAACAGGAACCTTTAATTGTCTAAAACCATGATAAGAGAGTCTTTTAAACCAGGCTTGTGATTTTAAATAATACATATATACATAGATACAGGTCCGTCGACAGAAATCTGGGGGCCAAGAAGCCTCACATGGGCCCCCCTCTAATATAAATTAATATGGTGGTTTTTCAGATTCTAGAGACACTTTTCTCTATTGAGCACATTGTATTTTGCCATGAAATATCCAAAAAGTAAATCCATAAATGCTGAACCTATTTTCAATTTGTGACTAAAGCCAAGAACTCACGATATTACAACATAATTTTACATTTAAACTATTTTCATTTTAGCCACCCCCCCCATCTGTATTAAATAAGATTGTCCTGTAGAATGTTATGATGTCATCTATAACCCAGCAATAGGAAGAGGGTCCAATTTGGGGCCCCTAAAACAGATCCCAGTTGCCCCCAACCTGTTGCATACATGCATACGTACATACATACATACGTACATACGTACGTATGTATGTATGTACGTACGTACGTATGTATGCATACATGCATGCATGCATACAATAATTCACAGAAATGTAACCCAGGAGCTGGTCTAGATGCTTTAGTGTCAATATAGACTGAATGAAGCTTAGAAATGTTATGATATTTGTTTTTTTTACTTACTATACATACATTTATATAATTTATGTCTTAATGATGTCAGTCTCTTACCATTTTTAAATTGCTACTTATTTCGAAGTTAATTACATTTTTATTTATTTTTTTTGCTATTTGTTATTGTAATATAATGTGGATACTGTGTCCAAGTCATTTCCCTTGTGGATCAGTAAAGTTTGTTTAAGTCCAAGTCTTAAGTTTAAATATTTGAGTTAGTGGCCAAAATTAAATTCATGTTAAATCTAATGTTACTCAAAATAATATCACTAAAAAAAGGTCAGATTTAGGTTACTGAATTGATTATGAGACAGAAATGTAAACATTTCCAATAATATCACAGATGCAATATTTGAAGCTGCATTACCTGTAAAGTATGGGGGGTGGATCTTTGTTGGGTGGGAACACTATGGACAGACTCCGGTTAGAGAATCTTTATCAGCTTTATTCAATGCAAGTTCAAACAAGTGTGTGTGGTCTGAACATCAATAACGCACACGGAACAAATACAAATGTCCAATCTCCCCCACGTCTGCATCGGAGTGAAGCAGAGCCGAATTAATTGAGAGCACAGCGCTGACTGACTGTGCACTCCCTGCGCGCATGAAGGGGCCCTCGCAGGGGCTCCGCAAAACTCACTAAGCGCATGATGGGACCCTCGCGAGGGGGGGCTCTGCAAAGTCACTTTCGACCCATAGGCTTTCGGACATTACCCACTTTTCAAAAGGAAGGAAGTATGTATTTAAATGAGCTATTCATTCATAGCTCTCAAAACTCAGTCAACCATGACATTTTACATTATTTTAAGCCAAAATCTAGATGTATTTGAAATTGTCGTACAGCAGATGTCAAGCTTGAGAATTTGACCATTTTAAAGAGCATATATAACTCTATTTTCTGATCTATGTTCTAATGTAGTTTCCTAATCACAAACACATCTGGAGTTATGTTTTGTTCCATTCAAACATGTTTAGCACAAAAACCCTGCACATTTAGGCTGAGTTCTTCTCCCAAACAGAAAACACGCTGTTCCACTTTGTGATGTCATGTGGTAATACAAGAGGTGCTCCACTGTGTTTTTAAACTCTATACACCTTCACTAGAATCATTTGGTTTTGGATTTCAGGCCTGGACTTGAGAATCTCTACTGAACAAAAGGTAAAAAAGAGCTGTTCACTTGAAAACTACAACTTCATGACATCACAAGGAGGAAAAGAGCATTTTGAGCTTTGGGGATGTAGACAGATTAATAATAAAGAGTTACTCAAACATGTATGAATAAAACAAAACACAACTCCAGGTCCGTCCTTGATGAGGTAACAACATTATAACATGGCTTAAAGCTCACAAGAGTCTGTTTTGTGTAATACAGGACTTTTACAAACACTAATACCTGCATTAGTCATATAAAGTGCTTTCCAGATGCTTTACAAATTTGGTGCATTATTCATTCTTACCACCACCAACTCACACACACACCTCACTCTTACAGGACACTGTTGGGGACATGTTTTGCCTGAGGACCATAGACTGTACATATAAATGGACATAGCTAACCTGCTAGCTGCTATCAACTCCAGCTCCAATTCAGATTGTATTGAAAAAAACGTCTCCACTCTCTCTGTAACTGCTGCTGTCAGGTTCCTCATTTTGGTCTTAAAATGTTCATATTAACCTGCTCTACATGATCCTGTTTTTATTTCACAATTTTGTCTGTAAAATAATTGCTTGTCCTAATACAGAACTGTGTTCTAAATTCGACACAAAGACAGTTTGCCACAGACGCCCCGTGTGGCACCTGGTCTCTCATCCAACTACTAACCAGGTCCAGCCCTGCTCAGCAACAGAGATCAAGCAGGTTTTAGCAGATTAGCAGAAGCCCTACATTGCTTCATCAGTCACTGGGCCTCATTAATGAAATGTTCTTAAGAATAGATTTGTATTTAAGGTCTTCTTTTTGGCATTTTTGGCATTCACAAAACTTTCTTAACTGAAAATGTTTTTCTGGAAGAACAAATCCAACAAACTGTAAGAAGCACTCGTAAGAACAAAAATTCTACTGTTTTAGATTATTATTATTATTATTCTGATAATGCAACAAAAAATTCAAATTTGTGATTGTAAATTATATATTTTCTTAGATTATTTCCTATAAACATATGACTATGTGATCTATTAACATTTATGTTTTCTAGAGTCTGTCTATTGGGTCTAACAGACTTTCTCCAGGCTGCAGTGGGCCTCAGTCTGTCCCAGCCCCAGTGCCTCCATATGGGCTATTCACCGCAGGTCCAATCACAGAAAGCGCAATAAATACGACAAAAGCGGCTGTTTATTTCAATAAGTTTATGACTTAAGTATTTCTTCACTGAGTGTGTTCATGTGAGTTTGGACATTTGAAATCGGCGCTGATGCGGTAAAACAGCATTTTTGTTCACCCTCCCTTGTACTTTCATGTGTCATAATACTAAACCCATACTGGTCATATTTGGAAGTTCAGAGCGTTCCTAACCAAATATATTCATCTTCTTTGTAAATGAAATGTAAATGTTCTTGGTGGTGTTTGTAACTGGGTGTTGGTGAATTAGGCGTAACTGTCACTTAAGAAGGAATTTGCAATCTTAAGAACGCTTTGTGAATCTGGTGCAGTGTTCTCTCAGCATCTTCTTAAAAAGGAAGTTACAAAAACATGTTTTAAAAAAGATTTATGAAAGAGGCCTGTTGTTATCAGGATAGTTCAAATCTCTGTCTACATGATTTTGTCTTGTAGCTTAGTTAGAGCCCTGAACAAACCATTGAAAACAAAGAGCATTTAGGCCCCTTTAAAGAGCACTACACCCAGACACAGAGGATCACCTTGTTTTCCTCGCCTGAGTTATTGTTGCCCATTGAACCTAAACACAAAATGGATTTTCTTTACTGCTGAGTAAAAACCTCCCTTAGATCTACGCCCATCGATCGTAAAAGTCCTTTCACTTCTGTGGCCTTGAGTAAGACTGAAGTGGTTAAGAAAATATTATAAAACTGTGCAATTATTTAGTCGAGGTTTAAAATGTGTAATGTGGAAAATGTGAACTTTAAATGTGCACTGTGTAACTTTCCTGGTGGAGGCTCTGTCAAATACTCTTCTCCATGGAGATGTTATTGCTTTGTGAGGAATGTTTCACAGTATGGCATTAAACCTTTCTATCATCATGGAGACTAAACCAGACCAAGTTACAGGTCAGATCTGCGGAGAGGCGACCCCGCTCACAGTCACAATGTCTTTTTAAGTAGGTATTTTCATGCTGCAAAATCACCTGTAATTGAATAAATGTAAGATAGAGCTGTGTAATGTCATACTGTGGAACATTTCAGGCAGAGCAGTGAAATATCCATAGAAACAAACAGGTGATGGACCCCCAAGCAAAAAGTTACACAATGCACCTTTAACCTTGTCAGCATTATGAAAATAATATATAGATTAGAAACTCAAACTTATCTCAGTGTGCACTCATTTGTCAGTCTGAAAGCCAGAGGATCAGTTCCAGGTCAGACCAGATTAGGGGTGGGCAATATCTTGATATTTCAAATATATCGAGATATTTTTTTAACAAAATGGATTATGACATTTCGTATATATATTGATATAATGCTTATATTTAATTCTGATTTCGCCGTTTTGCTCGTTTGCCTTCTCTGTGCTCACCCCCACGCTGTGTGGTTTCAAGTTTCGTTTCTGTAAAATGTAAACAACTGTACACAAAACTGCATTAAACACATTATAATATCAAACAAACATGTGGATCCATTGTGGTTATGGGTTATATGTTGTAGAGTTTATTTATGCAGAAGATTTTGATTAATAATCTGCTGCAGTGTAGAATTTTTATAACAGTATTCAAAAATGTTGTGTTTGATCTACACAATGGCTTGTGGGATACCTCAAAGCTACTTACCACTGGTTAGGAACTTTCTGAGCTTCCTCTGCTAAAGGAGCTCATGGTTATTGTTATCGTATGGTTAACAGAGTTAATGCAAAGATGAGCTTGAGTCATTTTATTCTTGAATGAAAAGAAGGCAATAATATTTTACAGTTAAATTATTATTTTTGTAATGCATTTTGTTACTGTCGCAGAAAACACTTTGTTGCTCCATGAACTGTCTCCCTCTTTGCACTTCAATCAAAAAAGACCTTGTGGAATTTGGCAGTTTTGTTTTTGCAGAAGCTTTAGGGGGGTTATTTTTCCTGTACAGATAGAGATATATATCACATATCGAGATATAGCAATATATAGCAAAATATATTCAAATAAATTTTGCTCCATATCACCCAGCCTTAGGCCAGATCATGCTGCTGTTGTGTCATTAGACAAGACACGTCACCCAAATTGCCCAATCTGAATGTCGTGTGAGATTGAGAAGTCTAAAGGTCAATGGTGTAGATTGACGCCATAATTGTTCAGAAAACCAAAAAGTCAGAGAAATATATGAACTTGTTAACAAATCTGAGTATTTAAAAATATTATAACTTGAACTCATCAGTCATGTGTGTAAATAAAACATGTTTTGTCCTGTGTCTGCTAATGTTTCTTACCTGCATGTTTGAATGTATGCACTGTACTTTCTGTAAATGAATAAATCAGTAAACAAAAATATTTAAAACTGTGATAAAGCTTGTGCATCACATTTTTCACAAACAAGACAGACCTAGAGGATCCAAATAAACCTAAAATCTTACCAAAGACAAGATGATATATATATTTTTTTTTTTCCAAAACTCTCCTCACATACCCCCTAGGTCATTAAGTGTACTCATATGTGGTGGATCCGTACCACAGTTTGCATTCTAGTGTTAATAAATCTATACATTTGGCTCTGTGATATTTTGTTTTGAACAGCACCTCACTTTGTTCTTGGCATCTGTTACTTCTGAGCTGTGTGTAAGAATGAGAGGAAGTGGCCCAGGGCTGAGTCAGTGTCACGTCTTGACATCGCACTTAATATTCTGCCTGTTTAGGGGTTTTGGGTTAAACGTGTGAAAACTCTCCCTGCCTATTGTGGTTTCTCTGACATAGACAGAGGAGGAATGACTAACGTATAGAGGGGACATTGAGATGTACAAAACACCACCAGGGGACACAATGGCTGAAGAGAGAGGTGGAGTAAATGTTAAGTGTTGTTGCTGCCACCTGCTGTCATTAAACTGACTGAACGTTTCATGATAATGTGTCTTTTAAATAGAAGTCTGTAACAGTAAAGTGTTTTTGAGGAGGAAAACAGGAGTCGATACACTGCAAATTTCTCTGATCCTGCCAAGATTTTACAACTTATATGAACTTATTCATCTTGTTTTCAGATTTATTATCAACTTACTGGTTCTGAGACGCTTTATTCTAGTCTAGAGGTCGTCTATTTTACGATAACTTGTCAAGTAAAATTATTTTGCTGCCTCGACAGATAATTTCACTACTTTATTGTCATTTCCTGGTAGATTTAAGTGTTTATAACTTAAATTTTGGCCATGCTTTTTTCACTGTATATGTGTTCAGAATAGAATTAAAAGGCAACAGTTAAATTGCCAATTGTGTAGTTTTGTTATTTCACATTGTTCAGACAAAGCACCACTGTTGTAGACAAAAAAAGAGCTCTTTCTGGATGCTCACTGGAGGAAGATGACATGATTACTACAACTACAGTCAACATAGGATCTTTAAAAGAACTATACGCAAGATTTAGATTTTAAATGTCATAAATATGCCCCACATGTCCCTAGAAATTAGGTAAACATTTTCAAATCAAACACACCGTGGCTCCTATTGACTTTACATTAGGATCTTTTTGCCCCTCTCTCTGTTCGTGCAGCTGTGAGCCTCGTCATTTTGATCTTAAATGTTCGTATTAACCCACGACACATGATCCTGAATTTTTCTTTTCGCTATTTTGTACTTAAATCAAGATATTAACATAAAGACCGGACCAATCAGACGCCTTTATTCCCGCTCTACATGGTCCTGAATTTTTCTTTTCACTATTTTGTCCCTAAATCGAGATATGAACATAAATAACGGACCAATCAGATGCCTTCGTTGCCCGAGGTCGCTCCCACTAGCATTTGCAACAGGTTTGATTGACAGCTCATGCATTTCTTTCCCCTTCCCGCTAAAAGTTACCTTATTATTCTCAAGAACCACCGAAATACCGCGGTCCGTGCAGAATGGTGCAGAGCAGAGTATATGCCGCTCTCCGGTGAGAGGGGCAGGCACATTTAATGACCTCATGACTGGGTGTTGTGGTTGCTATTAGGGCTGGGCGATATGGATTAAAAACATATATCTCGATATATTTTGCTATATCTTGATATACGATATATATCTCGATATCTGTACAGGAAAAAATAATCCCCTAAAACTACTGCAAAAACAAATAGGCCAAAGTCCACAAGGTCTTTTTTTTATTGAAGTGTAAGAGGTCGGCAGATCATATAGGAACATTTAAGATTACAAAAAACCCTAATTACATAAATCATAATTTAACTGTAAAATAAAAGAAATAATACATATTTCCTTCTTTTCATTCATAAATAAAACAACTCAACTCAAGCTCATCTTTGCATTAACTCTGTTATCCAGACCAGAACCATGACCATGAGCTCCTTCAGGAGAAGAAGCTCAGGAGGTTCATTATTTTAACAGATCCATGTTCCTCACCAGCGTCAGGAGCTGTGAGGTTTCCCACAATCCACTGCAGATCAAACCCAACTTTTCCAAACACTATTGTACAAGTGACACTGCAGCAGATTATTTATTAAAATCTTCTGCATAAATAAACTTTACATGACAAAACTTTCCAACATATAAAACATAATGACTACGAGCTACATCAGCCCGTTTGACATTATCATGTGTTTAATGCAGTTTTGTACACATGTGTTTACGTTTTACAGAAACGAAACTTAAAAGCGCATGACTCATTTGAATAAACAGTGCGTTTCTTGTGCCGCTCGTTTGTTTCAACTTCTGTCGTACTAAAGGACAGGATTCAGTGGGATATGAGTGTTCTTCTGTTAGGATGTGCTGCTGATGGTCTAGTCTGTAAATGGTGGAAAATGTTCGTGGTGCTAGAAGTTTTTCACTGGCACCAACTTTCGGGGTTCATGGCGGTAGTGAGGAGTGAGACGCATGCGCGGGCAACGGCAGAGAAGGCAAACAAGCGAAGCATTATAAGCATTATATCGATATATACGATATGTCAGAATCCATATTGAGTTAAAAAAATATCTCGATATATTTAAAATATCGAGATATCGCCCACCCCTAGTTGCTATAATACTCGCGGTCGCTCCTGTAACCGTTAACATCAGAAGCTTCATTTGAGTGGAGCTGAACACTATGGGTGATATCACACTCGCTTAGTCCACTTCTTTAATACAGTCTATGTTCTCAAGACAATTATCCAATCAGAAAGCAGAATGAGCCTCACATGAGCCTCTCATTTGAGTTGCCAGGTTCAGCGCTGAAATCCAGTGTGTTTAAACCTTAAAATTTCTCTCTGATCTGAACGGTCACTCCCTAAACCCCAGCCCCTGCAGTCAATCATGAATCAGTGCTAGTGCAGCCTCTGCAGCTGCAATTCTGGAGGTTCTGAGGTTTCACATGAGACCTGTTCTGTCCATAAACTGAGAATGAGAAACACTTGTCCATGTGTCCTCTATCTGCAGGTGAAGGCTCTGGGGACACAGGTCAGTTGTGATTCTAATACTTTTGTGCAGTGTATTGGTAGAGACTATAAAAGTGGACGCTACATACGGTACCTTTAAGTCAATTAAGATCTATGACTCGTATTGTGTTTTTAGTACTCATCTTGCTCCTTTTAACGCAAATTAAAAACAAAGCAGTCGTCCAGCGAGTCTCAAATCCAAAGACACACAGATGCCTGATCAGCAGAAGAGGTGCACTTTTGCTGCAATTCTCTCCCCTCTCTCCCCCTCCCTCCTCCTCCCTTCTTTCTCTCTCTCTCTCTTCCCTCCCTTTCTCCTCTCCCTCTCTCCTCCTCTCCTCTCTTCTCTCTCTCTCTCCTCCTTCTCCATCCCAGCACATGCACAGCTGCACCGGGACAATGCAGACCCAAAGGCGAACTCCAACAATCCCATAAAAAAACACAAACCCCAAACGCCGCCTTGATCCGACCCCGTGGAGGCGACGGAGCTCTGCCGCATGGAGGGATGACTAAGCAAGGCTGAAGAAACATGAGGTGAGTGATTTTAGCGGCAGCAGCCTTAAATCGCAGGACATTTCAGTATTTCTGCAGGGAGTTGACACCGATATCCACTTCGCGCTTTGCCAAATCTACGGACTACCTTGATTTTAAAGCGCAAACACAACATGAGGTGCTGTTTGGATGAATCAAAAGCAATGAAAAGGAAATAGGTTAATACAAAAGCAGCTTTGAAGCAAGTTTGGCCGGGGCATCTGCAGCTACATTGCATGGAGCTCCACTGCAGTAATAGGGGCCATTAGAAAATAATTGGCTGAACTTCAAAACACGTGACAGGCTTTAAAATAACACTGGCACACATTATAGATACAGTATATAGGGCTGGAGATATTACAGAAAATGCCATTATGTTTTTTTTTTTCTTCATCCTGATTTTGGCTTTTGATTCTATTTTATTTTGTCATATTATAAACAAATAATAAAACTGATTTCAATATTCTGATATCAATTTAATAAGAATTTCCCGAACATAACAAGACTTTTAATAATTGAAATAAAATAGCCAAATTTTTTCCTCTAAAGTCTGAACTGTGCTCCAAATCACAAGCTTTTACATTCAAAAGACCCAAAGCTGAAACTGAAACCGTATTTGTAAGAAAGAATTTGTTCTTAATTTTATGCCTATTAAAAGTAATAAATAAAATAAAATATAATATGAATAAAAATGGTTCTTCAGACAGCAAAAAGCTGCATTTTAAGTTTGTTTGATTAGAAAAATACGCTAAAATATACTCCCAAGCAGGGCCATTGACAGATATTTTGGGGCCCGGGGCAAGAAACCTAACATGGGCCACCCCAGTACAAATTAATAGAGAGAGGTTCCAATTCTAGGCCCCTAAGACTCTGGGGCCCGGGACCTCCTGCTCAACTCCCCTCCTCCCAAGTATATATTAGAAAAATATTTTGTACATGGACAATATCATCTTTTGAAATATGCTAAAAATACTACAGTCAATGTCTTGGTTGAGGTTAAGGTGTAATACAAAGATAATGAACACAAAGTTACAGAACGATCAATTTTGTTTCTTTTCTACATTATACTAAATGTTAATTTCAACTCATTCATATTGATTTGATTTAACAGATGCCAGGAATCTGTCCCAGCTGTTTATATTTTTTTTATAAGCCAATATTAATGAATACAGATGGGGGAAGCTAAAATGAATACTGTTAAAATGCAGTGAGTTGTAAGGCTTAATCACTAATTGAAAATACCAGGTTCAACATTTTGTGAATTTACCTTTTGGATATTTCGTGGCAAAGTACAATGTAATCAATAGGGAAATTTGGCCCTTACCAACCATCTGACATTATCTGTATGACATGATCGCATTCTAGAATCGCAAAACCACCAAGATTCTCTTAAAATACACAAACATGCTCTTATGTATTCAGCAGGGGGGCCAGAGAGAAATGTTTCTGAAGTCAAGTGAAGTTCGTAACCTTACAGGCCCTTTTGTTTATACTGCACATTCCCACACATGTGCTGCATAGACTAAAACACCTCAGTATTATTGGCTCTACAAAGCTCTATTGGAACACACTTCATGAAGGAAATCCTCAGAGACTGGTCCTGGAATTGGTTCAGGTCGATTATTCCCAAATCAAATCCGAGCTGTCCGTTAAATGCACCTCTCCCTGTCGGAGCAGCCTAAACTGGGGCGCTACATGTTAACAAGCGCTGGTCTTTTACTGGAGAGAAGAGACGACAGATCAGTCATATGATCTGATTAACTCATATGTCAACAATAGGGCTAACGGTAAACACACGCTAAATCATACATGTCTTTAACAGGTTAGAACACAATATTTAACCTGTCACAAATGGTCACATTTTTATATAGTTTATATATATAAAGTAGCAATAGTAGTAGTAGTAGTAGTAGTAGTAGTAGTAGTAGTAGCATTAATAGTAGCAACAGTAGTATTAGTACAAGTAGTAATAGTACTAGTACAAGTAGTAGTAGTACTAGTAGAGGTAGAAATGGTAGTAGTAATAGTAGTAGTTTAAGTAGTAGTAGCAGTAGCAGTAGTATAAGTAGCAGTAGTGGTAGTAGTGGTAGTAGTAATAATAGTGGTTTAAGTAGTAGTAGCAGTAGCAGTAGTATAAGTAGTCGTAGTACCAGTAGCAGTAGTAGTAGTAGTAGTAGTAGCAGTAGTAGTAGCAGCACTAGCAGTAGAAGTAGTAGTAGTACTAGTAATAGGAGTAGTAGAAGTAACAGTAGAAGTAGTAGCAGTAACAGAAGCAGAAGAAGAAGTAGTAGCAGTAGTAGGAGTAGTAATAGTAGATGTAGTAGTAGGAGTAGTAATAGTAGTAGTAGTAGATGTAGTAGTAGAAGTGGTAGTAGTAGCAGTAGTAGTAGCATAGCATTAGTAGTAGCATAGTATTAGTAGCAGTATTATAGTAGCAGCAGTAGTAGTAGCAGCAGTAGTAGTAGCAGCAGTAGTAGTAGCAGCAGTAGTAGTAGCAGTAGTAGTAGCAGTAGTAGCAGCAGTAGTAGTAGCAGTAGTAGTAGCAGTAGTAGCAGTAGTAGTAGCAGTAGCAGTAGTAGTAGCAGTAGTAGTAGCAGTAGTAGTAGCAGTAGCAGTAGTAGTAGCAGTAGTAGTAGCCCCCCCCCCCAACATGAGTGTATGTGATGTGGAAAAGTTACATAGAATTGAACAGGAAATAGAAAGTAAATTGTGCATTATATGAGGACTTTAAAAGTGACGCATTTTTACGACTCAAGGGAACTGCACGTTCACACCAGCTCTTCTACTCTTCTCCTCCTCCCCACTTCCCCTTCTCTCTCCCTCTCTCTATCTCTCTGTCTCTCTGTCTCTCTCGCCCCGGTAGAGCGCTGTGGTTGCCCGGCTGCCCTGCTCCGGCCCTGTGCCTGCTCCTCCTGGTTCTCCTGGGGCTCCTGGGGGCCTCGGTGCTGTCCATCTGCCCGGCCGTGTGCCACTGCAGCCGGGGACATCGGGTGGTGGACTGCTCCTCGCGGGGTCTCACCAAACTGCCCCCCGGTCTACAGCACAACATACGATTCCTCAACCTCTCCTTCAACAGGTGACAGACAGATCCAATGTGTTTTTGTAGTTCACGTTTTTTTTTTTTTTTTTTTAGTGCTGTGGAATATTCTAAGTATCTCCATTAAATGTGCACAATGAGTTTAAAAGCGCTTTTCGCAAATCTTTTGCCGTCGTTCAACTGCAACAACTAGCATGCTAACAAAATTGGGCACTGTCCCTTTAATATACAACATGCTATCAATAACTCGAATTACAAAGATTAATATATATTGAAAATCTATTTTATTTGTGTTTAACAGAGAAAAAGTAAAATAAATTAAATTGAAACTCTTAACTGCTGAACCTAGTTTTGTTGCTTTGACACTTTTAACTTTAATACATACACTGGAGTATTTGTTTAACCCTCCAAGCAAATTAAAAGGTGATGTCATATGAAAGTTCATTGTGTAACTTTTCTGGTGGAGGGTCTGTCAAATACTTTTCTCCATGGAGAGTTACTGCTACATCTGGATTGTTTCACAATATTAAAACTTTCTATCGTCATGGAGACCAAACTAGACCAAGTTACAGGTCAGATCTGTGGAGAGAAGGGATGTAACGATATCCAAATCTCTCTATACAATATTATCACGATATGCATCTCCCTGTATAATATTTATTGCGATATTTTGGAGTGGCAAATATAATTCTAGATAGGACACTTGTTTGCTTTTAGAATACCTTGACAAGATTTTTACTGTCAGAATCCCAAGAAAACAAGTAAAAAACATATTTTTTTTACAGCTCTCGAGATTACTGTGATACTTCTGAAGATACGATATCACAATATTTCAGTTATTGTTACATCTGTAGTTCACTCACAGTCAGAATGTCTGTCTTTCTAGATATTTTTGAACTATAAAACCAATGTCATACTGTGGAACATTCCCAGCTGAGCAATGACATATCCAAAGAAGCAAGCAGGTTACACAATGCACCTTAATATTGATCAATTTCGAGTATTTATCAACAACCAAATCAAGTCTCTCAATATTCATAATACAATCTCTCATGTTTCATTCATGCATTCCTGTACAGTCCAAATTACATACATTTACTCTGCATTTCTCTGTATTCACTCCAGTTTACAGTCCTTGGACAGCCAGCTGAGCCACTATGCCCACCTCCGCACCCTGGACCTGTCCTATAACCGCCTCCAGACCCTGCCCTCCGCTCTGCCCCGATCGCTGTGGGACTTCCGGGCCACGGGGAACCACCTGCGCTCCCTGGACAAAAACGACACCGCTTACCACTGGAACCTCAAAACGTTAGACCTATCCGACAACGAGCTGGAGCGAATCGTATTCATAAACAACACTCTACCTGGGCTACAAGTTTTGAACCTTAGCTACAACCGATTTTGGACCGTTCCCACCAACATGCCGCACAATCTGGAGACGATAGACCTATCTCACAACTTCCTCGTTCAAATTCTGCCCGGATCGCTGGATAGACTACCCAAACTGAATCGCTTTTTCTTGCATAACAATAAATTTTCTTGGCTTCACGAGGGAATATTTGACAAGCTGGCCACTTTGGAGATCATGACTTTGGGGGACAATCCTTGGGCGTGCGAAGAGGAAGAAAACATGACAAAACTCTTAAAATGGGCAGAGCAAACCCGCGCCACAGTATTTGGATGCCCGTGTTACACGAAACCGGTTTGCGGGCGCTCGCATCTGTCAACTTCGGACGCAGACTGGCATTCGAATCTCTTCACCGAGCGGCCGTACTGGGTCAGCGAAAGGACTGTGTTGGCGACGCCGAGCTATAGGGTGAAGTCGGCCATGTTCGAAAGCGGGATTTTTCAGGACAAAGCGAATGACTCCACGGAGGTTACGGAGTCTTCAAGTTCAGCCACGCAAACAAGCACAACAGCAAGGCCCAACATGGAGACCAAGAAAATACGCAATTCGAGAAATAGTGGGGATGGACTTGAGGTTCAAAGTGTTAGCATTTTAATGGTACTACTGACAACAATATACAGTTTCAATGGGTGCTAAAAAGAATCAAATAGAATAATAGATCAGCCATAACATTATGATTAAAAGGATTGTTAAAAAAAAAGAAAAAGTTTATTGATCTAAAAACTAGTATTGAAACTAAAAACTAATTTGTGCAGGTATCAATAGTGAAAGTCAGCTTCACAGGGCAGATATGAACCTTTCCTGAATAGTTTTAGAATGATCTTGAGTTCTATCAGAACAAGTTTAATATGCATATGGACCAGAATAGTTATCAAGTATCGAGTCTATTCTTCAGTGTCTCGAAAACTCTACAAGGACCTAACGTACTTCACATTACAAGTGAAATTAAAATCTATTTGATGGATGGTTTCAATAGAGAATCAACAAAACCTGACCAACCGGTAGTTGCCAATTGACCACAATAACATAGAACTGAAAATCTTAACAATGGTTTTTGGTTTGGGAGGTTAACAATGAGAAGTTTGTACTGAGGAGGAGGGCTGAACGCTTTTGGAAAAGTATCTAAATTGTGTTTCTTCAAGCATTGTGTTTAGATTTGTGGATTATGTCTTAAAAATAGGTTTTGTTCAGTGTGCAAATCTTAAGGCGAAGTTCTATAATAACATTAATAGGGCATAACCTGAGTAATCGTGACTAGTCGACAATTAAAACAAACTTTAAATGGACTATACGGACTCTAAAACACAAACAACATTTTATCAAAATATTATCACAATTTTGCATCAATAATACACTTTATTCTTTAATATTTTAAATCTAGAAGCCTTCAAGTCATCATATTTTTACCTAAAATATGTATTACTAAGATGAATGTAGGCTACTATAGACTTTAATATAAGTATATAAGTATAAAATAAGTAAGACTAGCCGACTACTAAAACAATGGCATCCCTAAACATAAACATTTGAGAAATGACCGCGATATGAATTATGATATTATAAAATAACCAAATAACAAAGCATTTTAGAACATGTTTGTATACATATAAAAAAGAAGGAATAGCAGGATATTTTGAGGATAATGATAATAACTGGTTGGCAATCTGTTATTTGCAACCACTATAGGGTGACCAGAATTTCAAAATAAAAAACTTGGTTGGCAATAATAAAATTGTGAAATGAGTGCGTAATTAATAGGGATGTAACATTATCCAAAATGTTGTGATATCGTATCGTCAAAAGTCTCACAATAATATCGAAAGCTGTCACAATATATGGAAAAGTCAAATGCATTATTTTATAGTAGCAACAGCTAAAAACATAGGGAACTACATATCCCATGATTCATTTTAGTGCAGACAACATGAAGAAATATGTTTTTTACTTTCATTTTTGGGATTATTGATGATTCGCATCAGTCTTGTCAAGGTATTTTAAATGCAAAAAGGAAACTATCTACAATTATATTAACCACTCAATAAATATCGTACCGTGAGATTTGGATATTGTTACATCCCTGATAATTAAGAAAAATTGTTCTTTTCTGTATTTTACTGAAACAAATAACAATTTATGCCTCTCTTGACTGTTGGCAGGTCAAATTGGTCAAAAATAGAGACATCTAGGACATTTCTTGTATAAAACTGGGACAAATCACTGGTTTTAGATAAATCTGTTGGGACAGCGGACACAGGGCTCAAAACTAGTATACACAAAAATGCGTAAACAGAGATGTCTGGTCACCCTAAACCACTAAAACTGCCATTTAGTTTCATTTGCGACCAATGACAAAAGACAAAAAAACGATCCCTTTGACTCCAACTTTCTTCTTCTCCCATTTTGACTCGATACGTAATGTTATGGCTGATCTGTTTACAAAAATCTATGTAGCTCCTTTAGCTAATTGTTATGACTGTTACTGCCTTCTGTCACTACCGTACAATACTCCAAGAGGCTGAAAAATAAGAAACCACATTAACAGATATCTATATACACGTTTGAACTGGTGAAATGATGCTAATGCTACCGCTAATGCTACCGCTAATGTTGCTAATGCTACCTTGCTTCATCTGCACTGTCACATTCCATTGGACAAAAGAAGTTGTTGTCTAACCAACTGTAAAAAAAAAAATAATAATAAAATGAAATAAAAAGTAAGCCAGAACAGTTATCAATAAAGGGCTACGTTAATAAAATAGCAAAAATTGTGGGTTTGATTTCCAGGCAAGCGAGCACACATTTTATAGGTGGAGTGTTTCTATGGGTTTAGTAGAGGACACTGCATAGTAATAAAGTCTTAAGGCACAATACGAATAGCAGATGTTATTCCAAAAAGAAGAAGCTGTTTTTCACTTTAATATACCCAAAAGGTGCCCATAAATATTGACAAATTTCCTCCAAATTTCCTCCAAACATTTTGCTGATTTTTCTACCAACTACCAAGGGTTACCAGATTTAACAAGAAACCAACGACCAAGTCACTGACAAAACAAAAACAGGTAACACTTTATATTAACTACACCTTATTTAGCCTTAATAAAGCATGAACAAAGACTTAATTAATAATGATTCACACTTACTAACTAACTTAATTACTAAATGAACTTAACTTAACTTGCACTTAATTCGCCTGTGCTGTAAATAGTAACTCAATACTTCTTAATTACTCATGAACTAACCATTTGCATGTTTACAAATGCATATTTAAGTTCATATTTGAGCATTTATTAATGATTAGTAAACTATGACAGAATGATTTACTAATAATACAATGCAATGATCATTCAGGCAGCTGTTATCTGTTAGTTAAGTCTTTCTGAGAGCTTTTCTAAAGTGAAGACTAATTATGTTTATTAAGCATTTGTTAAGGTTGGTCAAATTTCAGAGAAACAATAATGCATTACTAGTAAATCATTCTCTCATGGCTTACTAATCATTAATAAATGCTCAAATTTGTGCTTAAATATACATTTACAAATGCACACGCAAATGGTTAGTTCATGAGTAATTAAGTAAGAAATACTTATGAGTTACTATTTAAAGCACAGGCAAATTAAGTGCAAGTTAAGTGCTAATTCAGGTAGTAATTAAGTAGTTACTAAGCGTGAATCATTATTAATTAAGTCTTTGTTCATGCTTTATTAAGGCTAAATAAGGTGTAATTACTATAAAGTGTTACCCAAAAACAAAATAAGCCCAAAAAAGAAGCAACTAGAAGAACGCAGATTGTGCATATATCTGATCTTATATTAGACAGAATTATTGTCTTAAAACAGGTGATTTTTTTGGGTTTAAAATGAAAAAAAAAACAAAACAACAACAAAACAACAACAACAGGAGCAAGCCCAAGAAAAAAATCCAAAATTTCCAAGCAGCTTTCCAAAAACAGTATGTCCAAATTTGCTATTAAGAGGCATATTTAGCAACTATGACACAACACACTTAAAATAAACTGGGTAAACACAAGAGAATCTAATAGAATCTTTTTCAAACCTAAGTTGCCACACACAAGATCTCAGCCCTATTTCCTTTGTCACACACAGTCCTTGGTATGTTTTGCATTGTTTTTTAACTTTACAAGCACAACTACTTATACAAACTTATCTTAAATTATAATGCAATAGCAATAAAAAATAGAGCACCCCCTATATTCTGGATCGATCAGTATTGTATCCATATGCTCATTTGGAAAGAAGCAAGAGCCTTTATTCAATCTATAACCCATTAACCCATTTTATGTCATACACACTTCAACACAGAATATTCTAACATAATGCAGCCATCCAGTTGTCCACACTTACCTTCGGGCCACGTAGTAGAAGACTGGGTTGCCTGTTTTTGACGTCCCAGCCTGGTAGAAGATATTTAAAGTCTTCAGCGCTTTGAATTCCTCTTTTTCATGAACCTGGTGTCTGTGGCACAAAAGCAGGCAAGTTTTGAGCATCTATATAAAGAAAAAAAATCCATCTGCCCTCCTCTGCATCATGACTCTCTCTTCTACAGGATCAGTGTCCCTCTGATGCGGCCATTTAACTTTCAGCATTGCATACTGCTGTTGTGTTCTTGAGCAAGGCACTTAAAGGTCCTATATTACACAAAACTGACTCTTGTGATGTTTAATCCAATGTTAGAATGTTGTTACCTCCCCAAAAACATACCTGGAGTTGTGTTTTGTGTTTTCATTCACACAAGTTTGAGTAATCCTTTATTATAAAGATGTATTTCTAAAGTTCAGACTGTTCTGTTCCACCTTGTGATGTCATGTAGTGGTAGTTTTCAGGTTAACCAGGGCTGAAATTATCCAAATTGATTGTAGGGAAGGGGTATGGAGTTTAAAAAAAACAGTTGTGCACTTACTCAGCCTAAATATGCAGGGTTTGTGTGTTCAATATGTGAATGAAACAAAACACAACTCTGGGTATGTTTCTGATAATGAAACGAAAATGAAATGTTATAACATAGATTAAAAAAACATCAATAACTAGCATCCTTCTCCTTGATTCCTCTTCTTGATTCTGTAGGAAATGAGTGAGGAAGTCAAGCCCACAGAGGAGGCACAGGAAGGAAAGAGGAGCAGAGGAGAGAAGAGCAGAAGAGAAGGGGAGGCACCGGGAGGAGAGAGAAGTAGAGAACAGAGGAGCAGAAGAGAGAGGAGAGAAGAGCAGAGGAGACAAAGGGAGGAGAGTGGAGCAAGAGGAGCAGAGTAAACACAGGGAGAAGAGAGGAAGAGGAGAGAGACAAGAAGAGCAGTGGAGATACAGGGAGGAGGAGAGGAGCAGAGGCAGAGGGAAAAGAGAAGAGGAGAGCGAAGCAGAGCAGAGAGTAGCAGAGGTCAGAGGACCAGAGGAGAGAGGACCAGAGGAGAAAGAAGCAGAGGAGAGGAGAAAGAAGCAGAGGAGAGGAGAGAGAAGCAGAGTAGAGGAGCAGAGGAGAGACAGGGAGAAGAGAGGAGCAGAGGAGAGAGGCGCAAAGCACAGGAGCAGAGGAGAGAGAAGCAGAGCAGATTATCAGAGGGGAGAAAGAAGAGGAGAGGAGAGAGAGAGAAGCAGAGCAGAGGAGCAGAAGAGAGGGGAGCAGAGGAGAGAGCAACTGAGGATGAACGGGACAGGCATTTCCTCAGGTGCTGGTTCTGACAAAAATCAAAAATCAAAATGATCCTATACTAAGGATTATTTCAGAACTTCAGATCAGCATCTTTATTTTAAGGTGTGTTCAACATATTTATAAAATTAGTTTTAAAGTCAAATTCGGGATTACGTCAAACGTGCTTTGCTGCTGTCCCTGTACTTGTGTAGTTTTTTTTTATTGATGTGTGTCTGCTGGACCCTCGCTCAGGTTTCCTCTGTGGTTTCCTTCCCTTGTCTCCTCTGAGCTTTGGGACACTGCTGCTTAATATGGAGCATTTGATTGACAGCTGGAAAATGGAGGATCGAGGAGCGGAATCAAGGAGAAGGAAGCGTTGAAAGAGAAATGAGATGAGAGGGTGAGGAGAACACCAGGTGGAACAGGTTTCACAACTGCCATCTACTGGTGAAAAAAAAAACATTTGCAGACGGTAGATTTAAGGGTAGTGCAACTAAGCAACGAATTAACATGCACCAATAAGAGTAAACAGAAGGAAGAGGAGAGTGGTTACCTGGTCATGAACTCCTCAAACTTGGAGCTGGTGAGGTTGAGGCTGGACCAGTGCGTGTCAGCCACTGGTTTGTGTTCGGGAGGTCCCAGATAGGCCAAAAGAGTCGCCATCTTATCAAAGGGACGTCTGCCTACTGCCTTATGGTCCCTGCGGAGAAGTAAAAGTGTTCAATAAAATGCTTCATGAAAACGCCTAAATGCATTTGCAGCGTTGATTACCTGTTGCTGGAGAGGTACTGGCCGATGCGCTCCTGGTTGTTCCACAGTAAACGGTGCAGAGCCAAAACATTCCCGTCGCTGATGAAGGACAGGCTGTGGTTCACCGAGTCAGAGGGAGGCGAGTCTGACGCAATGTCCAAGAAAAACCTCAAGAAAAAGAAGGTAAAAAGTAAGCTGTACGCACACTGGCTTGAGGCGCATTAAAGATGTATAAGTATAAGACATCTGGCCAGCATTGAAATGACTCGTACACTAAAGCTTGGGTTTACAGTGTGTTTTATGACCACCATTGTGATTGTCAATAATATTTAATAATGTATCAACCAGATATTTTATGAGTCCCAGTCTGAAAGGTTTCGGACCCAGCTCTTAAAGGTCCATTATTACACCAAATTGACTTTAGCCATGTTATAATGTTATTTCCTCATCAAAAACATACATGGAGTTCTGTTCCACTTTGTGATGTTATGTAGTTAAACAGGAAGTGCTCTGTTGTGTTTTAAACTCTATACCTTCAGTAGAATCATTTGGATACTTTCAGCTCTGGAATATCAAATCTCTAGTGAACTAAAGGTAAAAGGAGCTGCAAACTTGAAACCTGTCGCTTCTTGGTCGGACAGAACATTTTGAGCTTTGGAGACGTAGAAAGGGTTACTCAAACGTGTGAACTTTGGGTATGTTTTTGAGCAGGTAACAACACTAAAAATAATTTAAAGCGCACAAGAGTCTGTTTGTGTAATACAGAACCTTTAAGCACTCAAAATTCCTAAAAGAGCCAATCTGAAATGTACAAAACCTTTAACCCTGAGAGTACCTTCTGGCCGCGTCAAAGTTGCTCTTCACAAAGTCGTTAAACGGCCTCATGTGCTCCTCCTTTGTAAACAGGACGTGGTTGGCGATGCTCTGGAGAATCTGGACAAGAACAAAAGTTTTGTGAAAACTGGGCGACTGTAGTGGTCGGTAAGAACGTTTGTCCACTGATCTGAAGGTTGGCGAATCCCGCTCTCGACATAAACATCGGTTGAGTGATCAGGTCCTCTAACCCACAGGTTGGCGGTGTGATTCTAGCTCCCACAGATGAATGCTCCCTAGTGTCTGTGTACAGTGGTGTGTGAATGTGTGTGAATGGGTGAGTGGTTACTTGTGAGAGCTTTGAGTGCCTAGAAGGTGGAAAAGCGCTATATAAAAATGTGACCATGAAGTTAGTAATGAAGTAGTTGACAGTTGTAGTTCCCCTCCAGTGTAGAGTCAGTCACTGCATGCTTTTGATATGATTTTCAATTTTTCAGACCCAAAAATTATGTTGTATTTGTTGCACATGTTTAGCAATATCACCTTTGTGTACCCCCCCAACACGGGCCGTGCTGAGGCCACTGGATGCCCAAAGCTCACCCATAACTCTCCTAAAAATGTGGTCATTTTATGGGACTCCAATTTCAACAAAAATGTTTTATTTCTATGTTCATCAGAAAGAGTTCAAAATTATGTTACAATAAAACAAGAAATTACAATATGTTTTGTAAATTACTACAGGATTTTACCTAAATGTAAGCATATTCATAAATAGTGAGGCAAACATGGAAATATTTTAGGTTGTATAGAGGATTTTCCAAGGAAGGAGAAATTCAGAGACTGTTTGTCCTTTTTCAAATGTTGCTCATGCCTGACACCACCCTCCCTCCTCGACAGCTCCCTAAGTAGAAACACCTCCTCCCGCCTCCTACTTACGCTACAAATCATGCTTGTTTACAGCCGCTGCACGCTCAGAATTGCTGAACGAATTGCTGTTGAAGTTACTTAACCAGAAGTAATTTAGAGACCAGCGCGTTAGTCTTTAGACCTTCCTTCTGCTTGAGTGCATGCCATCGCTGGAAGGAATCTCCAAGAATCACCTTGGCAGTTTGGCTTCGCTCCTTTTCTCCTTCTCTTCTTCCTTCAGCGACCTCAAAAACGGACTTTCTATTTGAAGCTAACTGGTAGTGGATTCTTGTCTGCCATTCCAACTGCGAGGAAGCTACAGTTGGAAAAAGCTTCCAAGAACCACCACGTTGTCCGAGTAAACGGCATCTTGTACACACTACCGGTCAAAGGTTTTAGAACACCCACATTTTTCTAGTTATTTAGTGCAATTTAAGTCGTGCAAGTCCAATGAAGAGCTTGAAATGGTACAAAGGTAAGACCTGAACAGACAGAGGTTAAAAAAAAGATAATGACCCAAAACACAAGTCCAAGCTCTGCCAAAACTACCTCAGGAAAAAGAGCAAGATGGTAAAGCTTGAAAACGTGAAGTGTCCAGCACAGTGTCCAGACTTAAAACCCGTCGAGGTGGTTTGGGATGAACTGGACAGAAGAGTGAAGCAGAAGTTCCATAAATGTGTGGCACTTGTCGGTTGCAACAGACTTGGGAAGAACTTTCTGAACAATATTTGATTTCTATTGTAAAAAGAACGAGCCATGAGTGTGTTCAGCTGTTATATCTGCCAAAGGTGGACACTTTCATCAATCAAAAGTTTAGGACACGTTTTGGTCTATAAATTGATTCCATTATTTCTTTTTCAGCTCAAATTACTTATTTATTCTATGCTTTGCCATGTATTGACACAATAAACCGAATAATTTTCAGCAAAAAACTGGACAAAGTGTGGGGTTCTAAAACTTTTGATCAATAGTGTATGTGGAATGCGTGAGGGGCAAACGTAAACGATGTAATCCCAGCACGCCAACGAGTCAATTACGCTAGAAAAGTAGAGGGTTTGACTGACAACCTAACCTCCAATAGATCACGAGGTAGCCTAATATTTAGCTGGCCCTACCACGTCCACAGTTGATTTTCATTCTTTTTTTTTTTTTTTTTTTGGTTATCATAATTATAAGGCTGCTGCATCTCCGTAAGGCTAGTTTGAACTTCCATTGACGATTTGAGCCAAAGAAAAAATCCTTCATACAACCTTTAAATACAATTCAATGTCTCCTTCTCTTCACAATGTCAAATCAAATCATACGTTGGTGAGTGCTTGTGTGCCCCAGCTCCATGTCCCCCTCACCTTGGACATGAGTTTGAGCCCCCGTTCGATCCGAGGATGGGGTTTCTTGTCCAGAATCCCGGCCTCGTACGGTGACACGATGGCTGGATTCACGAACCTCAAAAACATGGCACTGCCCACGGCCCCGATGCTGTTCTGAGGAAACCGCTGACTGACCACCTGCGCAGAGGCACAACGGAAGACAAAGAGACACACAAAAGGACAAACGATGGGAGATTTAGACGAGCTTGGACAAAAGAAGACGGGAATATAGTGTCAGAGACTAAAGGCGCATTGTGTAGCTTTTCTCGTGGAGGGTCCGTCGCCTGCTTGTTTCTATGGATATGTCATTGCTCTGCCTGGAATGTTCCACAGTATGACATTAAACAGCTCTACCTTACATTTATTCAGTTACAGATGGTTTTATAGCTCAAAAATACCTCAGTGTTGGGAAGGTGACTTTTAAAATGTATTCCCCTACAGATTACAGATTACATACACCAAAATGTAGTTTGTAACATAATCCATTAATTTACTTAAAGTGAGTAATGTAATCTGAATACTTTGGATTACTTGTATTGTCAGTTTTTTAAAACAACATGAATGTACCAACCACATCCTGAAAATTCTTGTTTGTTCTCTTCAAATTGTCTGTTGAGCCCAAGTCTCCATGAACAGACTTTTGTTTGTTGCTGAGAAGCAAAGATGAGGATCTTAACAAAAATTGTTTTGTCTGTTAAAAGACACAAAAAGTCCAGTCTTTCCTTAACCGTTTTAAAAAATATTGCTAGAGAAATGTTTTCTATATGAGATCACTGCTGCTTTAAATTATGTCCACCAACTGTTAGCTGTTATATTGTTTAGACCTGGTATAGTCCTGCTTTAGTCCTGGTTTAAGTCCTAGTTTAGTGCCGGTTTAGTCCTGGTTTAGTCCTGAATTTAATCCTGGTTTAAATCCTGGTTTAAATCCTGGTTTAAATCCTAGTTTAGTCCTGGTTTTAGTCCTGGATTTAGTCCCGGATTTAGTCCCGGATTTAGTCCCGGATTTAGTCCCGGATTTATTAGTCCTGGTATTAGTCCTGGTTTAGTCCTGGTTTTAGTCCTAGTTTAGTCCTGGTTTTGGTCCTGGTTTAAGTCCTGGTTTAAGTCCTGGTTTAGTCCTGGTTTAGTCCTGGTTTAGTCCTGGTTTAGTCCTGGTTTAGTCCTGAATTTAATCCTGGTTTTAGTCCTGGATTTAGTCCTGGTTTAAGTCCTGGTTTTACTCCTAGTTTAGTCCTGCTTTTAGTCCTGGTTTAAGTCCTGGTTTAAGTCCTGGTTTAAGTCCTGGTTTAAGTCCTGGTTTAGTGCCGGTTTAGTCTTGGTTTAGTCCTGAATTTAATCCTGGTTTAAGTCCTGGTTTAAATCCTAGTTTAGTCCTGGTTTAGTCCTGGTTTTAGTCCTGGTTTTAGTCTGGTTTAGTCCTGGTTTTAGTCCTGGTTTTAGTCCTGGTTTAGTCCTGGTTTTAGTCCTGGTTTAGTCCTGGTTTTAGTCCTGGTATAGTCCAAAATGTGAAAACGGGAAAATACCGCCATGTAATCCCTTAATTTCAACAAAGTAACTAATCTAATTACCACTAATTGAAACAGTAACTGCAACGGAATACAGTTACTCATAATATGTACTCTGATTACATAAGGCCGGTACATGTAATCTGTTACTCCCCAACACTGAAATACCTAGAAAAACTCTGACCTGTTAGTTGGTCTGGTTTGGTCTCCAGGAAGATCGAAACATTTAAAACCATACTGTGAAACATTCCAGACAAAGCAGTAACATCTCCATGGAGAAAAACATTTAACGAACGCTCCATCAGAAAAGTTCCACAATGCACATTTAAAGGAAAGCTTCGGATAAAAATGTATTGGTGTATGAGTTCTAAGAGCCAAAAATAAGCCATGGAGAAACAGTGAAACAGTATCGACAGTAGAAATGAACGGACCTTGAAATGAAATCTGGGCCATTAAGCAGAATTCTAACTTCAAGCTACACTACATAACTTTTCGAGTGTGTTCCAATTAAATTCCAATGAGCGGTTTCCAATTGACCCCAAAGCTGGAAAGAGATGGTATTAACTGCCAACACATAACACATTTAAATTGACATGTTACCTTTTATTGTTTCGAAAATGCTTTATTCACTTTTGGTTTTGTCATGTAAAACCATTTCAGGCATATTTTTGATGAGGAAATGTTATAACATGTTCGAAAACTCAAAAAAAATTGATTTCGCGCCATACCCTCTTTTTAAATACACTATCTACAGTTTATTAGTGATGCGTTTTGTCCATTCATTTGCACTGTCAATGCGTCAGAGACATTAAATCCCATATATTTGGTTGTAGCCAGAGCTCACGACTCCGGTTACAGCTCGACATGAGAGAGAAGCGACACCAGCGTTTAACCTTCAACGGAAACAAAATGGTGGAGTCGAGAATGGGTCGGTTTTGAAAACGTTCGATGAGTTTATGGATGAAGAGCAAAGCGTGAATCCAGAAATGACCCAAAACCGAAAGAATGTTGTGTCCATGGTGAGACGTCTCGTGTCTCCAATCAGACGGGCCGCACGGGTTTGGCATTGGTTTACACAGAGCGGTCTTCGACTACGTTTTAAATCGGATGCCCTTCCTGACTTTGACAAACTTGAGAAACACAGGTGACATTACTTGGGTACAGTACAGTAGTTTAAAAATACTATAGTGAAGCATTCTTAGTTGCCTGTCACAATAATTACTACAACGACTGTCATTCAGTATATGAAAGCTGGACCAATATATTTTGGGGCTCTGATTTTATTGTGTGTATAATTTTTTTGTAAAAGTTGGGAGATTTGGGGGATTTTTGTTGTAATACAATGAGATTTGAGCCGTTTGAATAAGTGCCTTCTGTGGCTAATTATTTGTACTTTGTTACCTTCTCCACTGCAAATAAATAATAGAATGAACTAAAGTAAAAGTACAACACTTAAGTACTTTACTTAAGCAGATTTTACAGTGAATACTTTTTACTTTGACTTCACTACATTTGAGGACGTGTATCTGTATTTTCTACTCCACTAGACTGAAGAGTAAAAAGTACTTTTCTTTATGGTGTGAGACCTGCTGAAATGGCGGAGACTTTATTTTTTAAGCACTTTTAATTTGAGATAACCAAATACACAAAAATGGCAAAAAAAAAACAAAATCAACTGAATCACTTAAAAATTCTTTAAAAATTTTTCAAAATCACTATATTTCATCCTTTAATCTCTGCAAAGTAATTTTACTTTTTACTCTTTAAATACATTTTTAAACAGGTACTTCAATACTTTTACTTAAGTAAACTTTCTCTCTTTTATTTTTTCTTAAGTAATTTTTGCCTTTGTATCTGTACTTTTACTTAATAAAATTGATTTGTAGCAGCTCAGGCCTTTTAATGATACTGTCTATTTAAAATGGTTTAGTGTCAGAGGCATAAAGTAGTTTCAGTATCATTACCATAGTAGTAGTGGGATCTTTATCACAGTATACCTCTGTGGCCATATATCACACTTCAGAACTGTGACAGGGCTACTCCTGCCTCATGCCACCTTTACAAAGACAATGAAATCAGATATAATCAGACTCCATCTGATTGATGTGATTGTTGATGTGTTTCCATGTGTTCCATACACACAAGAGAAATCTGATGAAACACCCAGTGACACGTATGAGTGAATTAGGGGAGTTTTAGAGGGAATTTAAGAGTACCTGTAACCTTTTCAATCTAGAACATTTCCCCTTTCATTTCTGTCAAATTTTCCTGGTACTCTCTCCGAATGTTAGTATTTTTAGATGTTTCGAGTTATAAGAATATTAAAGTGATATATAAGTAGCAAAAATATCTGATTTCTCACATCAGGTTCTGTTGTTTACATGTGATTTAAATAATTTCAATAATCAGATTTTGGTATGCATTTGAACAGATCCACTGTTAATATACAATTTCAATAAACGGACAATAACTCCAGATTCTTGCTTTGCTTATGTGTCTATTGGACCATCGCATTTCAAGTTTGGCCTTAAAATAATAGTTTGTAAATTTTAAGGTAAAAAAAAAATCGGTTTCATGTGTAGATTTGTACCATGACCAAGTCCTGTGTAACGCTCAATGACAAACCCAAGTATCATGACATTATAGCAGCCGAGTGAGTCTGATGTGAAGACTGACGTTCACCAAACCATGAGCATGCAGCAGGACCACAACACCGAGTCCAGCCATCTTCCAGTTCCACTCTTTACAGGAGAGCATTTTCTAAGACAATCGTCAGAGAGAATTACACAGAAATACAGGGAGAATGGAGAGTTCTACTGATGAAACAGCAAAGAAGCTTGTGTGTGGACCTATCACAAAAATACTACGTCTACACTCTACCTACTGTTCATTAAGATGGATAGAGTTACTTTGGGTCCATGTTTATACCTCTATTAGCACGAGAACTATCTCCTTAACATAAGGAAAATATTTGGTTTGAAAAATGTAAAATACAAAACTAATCGTTAAGGAACTATATGTAGCCTGTGCTCTTTTTTATTCTCTTATTTTACATATATCTATCTCTCTATCTATCTCTCTCTATATCTCTCTCTATATCTCTATATCTCTATATCTCTATCTATCTCTATCTATCTCTCTATCTATTATAAAAAATATGTTATAATCTCAGCTGAACATGGGTTGACAGTGCCTTAACTTGTCTGTGTCCTCTATCTTTTTTCCATTGTCAGTCTATGTTCAGGTCTCATGTGAAAGCTCACAAGTCCAGAATTCCCTCCCTGAGCTGCAGAGGCTGCACTAGCACTGACTCATGACTGGTGCAGGTGCCGGGGTTTAGGGAGTGACCATTCATATCAAAGAGGCATTTTAGGTTTAAATACACTGGATTTCAGTAACCAAAAAGAGACACTCATGAGAGGCTCATTCTGCTTTTGATGATTGGATAATCATCTAAAGAACCAAAACACTAAATTAGAACATAAATAAATGGGACATCGTGCACAATGATTTTGCTTTTATTATGAATTATACCTTTTACTGATAACAATTCTAGTGTTGATTTATTCTTATTTAATATATATATTAGTCTATTTTGAACATGTTCACCTCATATCAGGGGACAAAGTTCCATCAGGTTTATGAAATTTAACCTCAAAATCTTACACATGGTTCCTTCAACATAGTGGTGCTTCACAATAGACTTGGGACAGCAGCTTTCAGTAAATTCCTGTAAAATTTCATTAAAACATGTTTTGTTTGTTGTGCTCTTGTATGTATGTCCTAGCTGTGAGTTGAGTCTGTTCTATTCTGAGTGGATCTTTCCTGTGACAGTGTGCAGCTGCCACTGAAGAAGAAGTGAAATGAGAAAATGCACAAAAAATATTAAATAAAAAAGCACAGCAGGAACTGAAACAAACGGATATCTGTGTCACTAAACACTATTTTTGACCTGTCAGAAGTATTGAAAAAAATGTTGTTGTTTTTTTGTTTTGTTTTTTTAAAGGCCCTGTACCCATTGTTTCCTCTTTATTTCAGCAACTTTCAGCATTTAATTCAGCATGTATTTCAGCAAATCTTGCTTCACTTAGGCCTGTCACAATAATTACTACACTGACTTATCGTTCAATACATGATGAATGGAAAAAGGATCTTGGGGGCTCAGATTTATCCTGGGGACTTTCTCTTTGCACTAGTGGGAAGTTTTTGTTATATTTCCTAACTACAATCTGACTGGAACTGTAGAGGGTTTGAATAAATCCCTTCTATGACTCATTAAGTGATTTGTTTATCTATGCTGTTATTGCTGTTCATTTGCTCATTATGAACAATCTGCCTCTCCACTGAGCTATCACTGGAGATTTTTATCTGATCTTAGACACATTTCTTTGCTTTTTAACTTAATTAAATGTTTTTAAGCTAGTATTTTTTTTGAAATATAGATATATTTTTCATATTTATTGTGCTGTATTTTACTTTAGGGTTTTGGCAGCTTGGTTGTTGTAATGTGCACTGGCATAATTGACATGCTTGCTGTTCATTCTCATGAACAATACTGTAGTTATTAGAGCAGTTTTTGAAAATCCTGCTTTAGGGTTTTTGGGTCACTGGCATAATGGCTTTCAATCGTCTGTATTTTCTTCAGCAATATATCGTACTTCAGTACTTCGTACTATATAATGTAAAGATAACGCATCCAATTATAAACTGTTTTATTGCCCCATAATCAGGAAGTGCACAGCAGCATGGTTAGCATGCAAATTGTTGTTAGCATTACGGTCTGAGCTCTAAAAGTTGTGCAAAGCACTTATAAACTCACAGTGACTAACTGGGATGTTCTAAATGCATAAGGTGAGTGAGGAATGACTTTAGACCACTGTAAGCTCTTTCTAATGAATGAGTTGGGTTTTTCATGTTTTTAAGACACTAAAAATCAGGTACAGGGCCTTCAATGTGAAATATGGTGCCATAACATTTGAGAACTTGTCCATATAACTAAATGTGTATTTTTCTTGTCTTACCGTCTTAAATAAAACAGCTTTTTCCAGCACATGCCAAGAGGTGTACACTTAAATCTACAATTACCCAATACTGATTCATAATTATTATTTCATTAATATGTTTATTCTTTTTTATTTATTTACAATTAATATGATTTGTTGCATCTTTAAATGTGATTTACCCATGGACTACATTAAAGGTGCACTAAGTAACTTCATGAGCTATAATTGCTATGCCACATCTATTTTGCATTTACTCTATTAAGGGGTTTTTATTGCTAAAACAATACCCTGAATGGAAAATAAAATAAATTCTCACTGTGAGTGGGCTTGCCTCTCCACAGATGTGACCTGTAACTTGACCTGGAAAGTTAGATAGTGCACCTTTAAATGAAAATGGTCCTTTTTGGACCTAAATGTACAGACTGTTGCGACCGATTCAATCAAAGCAGTGGAATGGTCTGTCCAGGAGAGGGCGACAATGACAGCAGTCATTCAGTCATTACAGAAGGAAATTATTAAAAGAAATACTGTGATAATTTAATGTCACAATTAATTTACATCAACTAAAGTTGTTTTATTAGATTTTTTTTTTAGATGTTCTGAGAAAATGTCTCCTGAGGTGCAAACAGACAGAGGAAGAGACAGAGCCACTGTTCCCACTGTTAATAATGACGCCGATATTAGTACAATGATTTCAAATAATAGGGAATATATGGAAAATTATATAAAAGAATAAAACAGAACCAGATCCAAAAGACACCAAATCAACGCCAATCAAACTTACACGACCGGTCAAAAGTTCGGACACACTTTCATTTATTTGTGTTTCTTTTTTATCTCCATGACTATTTACACTGTAGATTCACACTGAAGACATCAAAATTATGAATGGACACGTAAAGGAAGTAATATTCATCTTGCTTCATGTATTTGGTGTCTTCTGTGTGTATCTAAAATGTAGAAAGTAGTAAACAAAGAAAATAAAAAAGAACACACTGAATGAGAGGGAGTCTGAGCTTTTGATTGGTAGTGTAAATGAAAAAAAAAATGATAAAATTAAAAGTTGCTTGTGAAATTCTCCAAAAACTTACTGCTTTTTTGTTTTCCTTTTTTTCTTTTACTGTAGCTTTATTCAGTAGAGAGTGGCAAGTAGCCTACAGAACAGAGATGGCAAAATGGTCACAGCACCGGCCAACCACAACAACACACACAGACGGGCAGCAGGTGGCGCTGTAGCTCTGCGGAGGGCGATCGGTGGAGAGGAAATAAAGAGTTTTGTAAAGAATCGGTGATGTTAGATTGATATGGCTCACTGCTCGGCGGCAAAGGAGTCCATGCATTGCTGCTGTGTGGTTAGTGTGTAGCTTCAGCGTGTAGCGACTGAGCGGCGGAATAGCGCAGCGGTTAGCAATCTCGTAAGGTCCTGGGGTTTGAATCGAGAGAAACCCTGCGGAGTTCTGCATGTTCTCATCGTGGCTCTCTGTGGTACCACTTACATAAACAAACATCTATTCTTGTTTAGAACCCTGAAAGAACACATAGTGCACATTATTTGTGTTGTTACTGACTTTTCAACATGCTCTTGAGTAACTTTGCTTTGGTATCTCACATTTTTAGAACTAAAAATAGCTTTGTAAAGAATCTATTATGAGGAGAAAATTCAGTTTGTCGACTGGACAAAAGTTAGTTTGGTTGAAGACGTTTCGCAGCTCATCCAAGCTGCTTCATCAGTTCTGGTCAGACGCTGGTGGACACTTCCTTATATCTGCAGGGAGGAGATAACTACACTGAAACTAACACACCTACTTGTTTCTGCTAGTTAGTTTGGCCTATTGACCTGTACAGGGTGTGGGGTAGGGATGGGCATGATTAATCGATTAATCGATAATTGATCATTAAGAATTTCATCGATTAGGTTAAATTTAATCGACAAACCGAATGTAGGTTCCTGTGCATAGCCTGACCAAACAGGGGTCCGTACATGTAGCTCTCTGCACTCAGAAGGAGCGAGACACAGTCGGTCAGTCTGCAGTGTACCAAAGCACAAATGTGTGTTTAACGATGACTTGTACAAGAAATTCCAGGCTTTCCGTTGCGTTCGGGACAAGTGTGAAGCCATGTGCACAGTGTATAAAGCAGGAACATATGTTTCAGTGTCCAGTGGGAAAAAGTTTTACCAGGTGAGAGTCGCACAATGTCAATGACGAGTCCCCACCTCCCTTCCCCCGTACGGTGTCCTGGTTTTGACAAACACAAATCTGGTCACACTAACTTGTATTCACCTGAGTCATGTCTTTTAATCCGACAGAAATTGACCGCATCAGTGCACAAGAACTGTAGTTTTATCTTCGCTTAGTTTATGCAAAATAGCAATGCGGTTTTAAGTTTCGTTTCTGTGAGAGTTGAACAAAACTGAATTAAACATTATAATGTCAAACAGATTGATGTGGCTCTAGAGTGGTTACGGTTTATATGTGGTCAAGTTGAATTTATTTATGCAGATTAGGAGTGCAGATAGTAATAATAATGATGATCATTTTAATATAAAAACGTTAATGATTAATCGATAATCGATCATTAATTCTTCCGACGATCGATTAAGAAAATTTCATCAAATGCCCATCCCTAGTGTGGGGTCTAATTAGAGGATATAAGGAAGTGTCCACCAGCATTCTGACCAGAACTGAGGCAGCAGCTTGGATGAGCTGCGAAACATCTTCAACCAAATTAACTTTTGTCCAGTCGACAAACAGAATTTTCTCCTCGCCGTGGATTCTACCTGGACGACTGAGGGATTCTTCACACATCACAAATCAAATATTATGTTTCAGTCTGGAATCTGGAGTTTGGGCTCCACCTTTTGGCAGCAGAGTGAATTACCACGTGGAAAAACTAGTGTTGGCTCATGAACTTTTACTTATAACGTAACAATCCTGAGAAAATTAAAAACAAGTATTTAGCGACGGCTCAGAGCAAACAGACCTGCAGCAAAAAATTCATAAAGCAAGTGTCACTGAAGCAAAATAGAACTCCAGGAATGCTGCCCTACAAAGGCAGAACACCGTAACATCATGTGAGTTTGTGTCATTTTGTTTGTATTTGAGATCTCCTTTATCATGTGAATAAATATGGTGAAAAATATTGAGCTCAAAATTGACCTTTGACCCTTATTTGTCAGTTCCTGTTCTCTGCCTGTGTGTCATGAGCCAAAAATACAGGGTCATGCAAAGACAAAAGGCAGAAACAGTATATGTTTTGTTTGTGATTTAGTTCATAAATATATTTTAAAATCCAACCTCTTGCCTCCTTTTTGTTGCAGCCTTGACACAGGGTCCTAACACATTAAATAAATAAACCTTTGTATTCAATTATACTTAAATGATCTTTAATGTGGAAGTATTTGGTGTATTTATACTGTACATACTATCCTGCAGGGGTCGCCAAACTGTTTTCTCTGGGGGCCACATTATCGCTCCTAACTGTGATGGGAGGCCAGGGTTGAGTAGCCAGACGAAGGAATACATGCTGTTGAGCAGCCAGTCCACCTTTCATTGGTCGAATCCTATCCTCTCTCGTTTGCCTACATACCGTATTTTCCGGGCTATTAGGCGCTCTCAATTATAAGACGCACTGTCATTAAATGGTCTATTTTCGAACTTTTTTCACAAATAAATTGCACCAGACTTTAAATGAAACACAACAGTGTGATGGGTGAGTGGTTTTGTTTGTTTGTGGTGTTCACGGTGACTCTGGGCTTTGTTCAGTTGTGGCGTGTAGGGAGGGTGTTGTCTGGGACCAACGGATTGTCGGTGTGTTCACAGTGACTCAGTTGTTCAGTTGTGTCTAGAAGTGGCACATTGCACTCGCTTTTTCGGTTCGTTCCTCCGTTCCGTTCCTCATCAGCGTGGAGTGATGAGTGTGGCTGTGGGTGGTGCAGCTTTGTAGTTTACTGAAGTCGTGCTGGGCCACCCAAGTGGATTCGTGTATAGGGTGCTCTGGATTGCGGGACGCACAGTCGTTTTTTGATTCGGTTGGAGGCTTAAGAGTGCGCCCTATAGCCCGGAAAATACGGTACTCTTTGTGGCGAGTTTCATAGTAACGACACAGATTATATTCTTTGAAAACCGCCACACTTCTCTTCTATATCATTTCAAACACACACCATGATGACTCGACATTGGTGAGGTGTTTTTCTTATCATGGATGGAAGTCTGGAGAAAATCAAGCAAATAATGATCATGTCAGTTTCTGCCTTTAGTCTTTGCACGAAAACTTATTTCTGGTTCATGATACAAAAGGTAGAGAACACGAACTGACAAATAAGGGTCAATAAAGGCCAATTTTGAGCTCAGTATTTTTCACATACAAATATTTTTTTTAACAGCTAGTTGTCAAATTTTAGGAGCCTGACCTATTATACTTTTGTCTGGACTAGGGATGGGCATTTGATGAAATTTTCTTAATCGATCGTCGGAAGAATTAACGATCGATTATCGATTAATCATTAACGTTTTTATATTAAAATGATCATCATTATTATTACTATCTGCACTACTAATCTGCATAAATAAATTCAACTTTACGACATATAAACTGTAACCACTCTAGAGCCACATCAGCCCGTTTGACATTATAATGTGTTTAATTCAGTTTTGCGCAACTCTCACAGAAACAAAACTTAAAACCACATCGCAAATTTGCATAAACTCACTGAAGATAAATTACAGCTCTTGTGTCGCTGATGCGGTTCAACTTCTGTCAGATTAAAAGACATGACTCAGTGGAATACAGGTTAGTGTGACCAGATTTGCGTTTGTCAAAACCAGGACACCGTACGGGGGGAGGGAGGTGGGGACTCGTCATCGACATTGCGCGACTCTCACCTGGTAAAACTTTTTCCCACTGAACACCGAAACATATGTTCCTGCTTTGTACACTGTGCACATGGACTCCCACTTGTCCCGAACGCAACAGAAAGCATGGAATTTCTTGTAGAAATCATCGTTAAATACACATTTGTGCTTCGGTACGCTGCAGACTCACCGAATGTTTGTGTCTCGCTCCTTCTGAGTGCAGAGAGACACATGTACAGACCCCTGTTCGGTCAGGCTACGCACAACAACCTACATTCGGTTTGTCGATTAAAATTAATGTAATCAACGAAATTCTTAATGATCAATTATCGATTAATCGATTAATCATGCCCATCCCTAGTCTGGACAAAACAAACTTTGAAGTCATTTTTCTCAGTTTCACACTCTGACAAGTTAAGCTCTTTCGTTTTCGTAGGACAGCATGTTTTCTCATAAAGCTCAAAAAGTTCATTTAGCATAATATGTGTTCTTTCATTTCTTTTACTATTCTGTACTGTATTTAAGAATCCATGTTGTACGGCTCCAGGCTGATCAGAGTGCGGACATTTTCCAGGAAAGCATTTGATTATTATATTTGTTTCATTATTGCCGCTGCTGAAAATTATTCTTTAGTATTTATCTATCTATCTAGTGAGAGAACATGGTAGGTATGGTGTTACACTTTCATTTGGATGAAAAATACTGTTTTATCTTGTCAATTGATCCAGTGACTGGCTAAAACTCAGCTTCAACATCACCAGGAGCCGTTCCAGAACGATTTTACAGAGCTGACCTTTATTTGGGCCGTAATATATCAAGCTCAGAGAAGCCCCTTTGTGACCGGGAACTTCTAACGAGAGCAGCACTAAACCAGACGGCAGTACAGATATATCGCATGAGCAGCTCTTGAAGTGAAAACAAGTCCACTGTGTGCTGTCTGCATCTAATAATAATGAAGTGTATTATTATTTTTCCATCATCAGGAAGTGCGCTGTTAACATGCTAGCTTTTCCGTGACCGCACAACTCCGCTCTGCTCTCTGAAATCTGGGAGAAGCGCCTCTAATCCCATAGCGGTGAATAATTAGAATGCAGGAGGAGGTAAGTGAAGAATAACTCTGGACCACTGCAAACCATATAAAATGAAGTACGTAGCTGTGTTTTTCACGGTTTTCAGCAAGTAAAAATCAGGTAGAGCGTCTTTAAAACAAGCACGTGACTCTGCTCTGCGTCCTCGGCTCTCAAACCCACTCACTGAAAGTCCCTCTGTCACTTCATTCCTCCTGTGTGCTGGCAGCCAACAGAACAGTTGGTGAGAAGCATGAAGCAGCTTTAAGAGTAAGAAAATGCCCCATAGAGTTTATTGTGAATGGAATGAAAGCAATGGAGCGATGTGCACAGAACTCAATTCAAACCTTTGTACGATTCTTTAAGAGGGGGTATTAACTGCTAACACTTACCATATTTACATCACCGTGTTACCATCTATTGTTCTATTCTATTGAAAGTGCTATGTTGGACAAAAGCAACATTAAAACGTACAAATATTTTCATTTTTGAAGGTCTGATTCCGCCTCCCTTTGCTCTCTAACTCTTCAGACAACTGTCACAAATCAATCAGCGTGCATCCCACTACTGAAACACAGATTTGTCAATTTGTTGTGTACAGTTTTGTGTCATGCTTTTGTATATTTCTGGAAAAATGACAGGTAACTGTAAAGAGTGTTGGAACAGGGCCAGGGAGAGATCGCTAAATTACTCAGATATCCACGGATGACATCTAAAACCTCTTGAAGGAACATTATAACATGTTAGAAAGCTCCAAAAAGTCGATTTAGCACAATACCCTCTCTTTAAAGAAAAAACACAAAGGATTGAATTAGGTTAAACTTTTAAATCCATGTATCATTTGTTCATTAGCTTTTTTTCTAAATAAAACCAAGAATAGGAAAACGAAAAAACTGAAAAACTAATTGTAAAACCAGATAAGATTAGTTTTTTTAGTTTTAGATTTTGTGTTTAAATGAATAATGAAAAAACGGATAATGGCCGTTTCCAGTTTCCGTGACTTAAACTGCGATGCCGGACTTTTGTGCAACATACGGACTGAACCAGGACTGAACCAGGACTGAACCAGGACTGAACCAGGACTGAACCAGGACTGAACCAGGACTGAACCAGGACTGAACCAGGACTAATCTTGGTTAGAGAAAGAGGGAGAACCCCGAGCTCGTGGAGCAGAGTGTCCGCACCTCCAGGCCCGTTCAGTCCTGGTTCAGTTCAGTCCTGGTTCAGTCCTGGTTCAGTCCTGGTTCAGTCCTGGTTCAGTCCTAGGATCAGTCCTAGGATCAGTCCTAGGATCAGTCCTGATTTAGACCTGGTTTTAGACCTGGTTTAGTCCTTAAGGGTCAAACTTGGATGAAATGGGAAACGGCCATTATCTGTTTTTTCCATTATTCATTTAAACACAAAATTGAAAACTGAAAAGAAAAAAAAGAATCTTTATCCAGTTTTTTCGTTTTCTTTTTTTTTTTTTTTTTTTTGGTTTTATTTTGAAAAATGAATGAACGAATGATACACAGATTGTTTAAAGCCCAGTATTAGCCTGCTCAAATGTTTACTGAGCTCTCCTCGAGCTGCTGACATTACAGTATCAAGGGGCAGAAACTCGACTTATTTGTAAAGAACAGGGAAAGAAGTTAAGCCACTCCCCATGTATATGACTGAATAATTACTTTTGTGCAAATACAACAGTAAAAGCTTATAAACGTATAATTACTACCAACTTTAGAATAAAATACTGATAAAATGCTGGAAAAATGAGAAATATCTTTGAGTTAAATTGCGCAACATTTAGTGGACAGTGTGCAGAGCAGTGAGCAGAGATTGGCTGTGAGTGAGCAGTGGGGTCGCGGTGAGGTCATGGAGGGGTCACACAGGGGTCATTAGGGGTCGGGGCGAGGTCAGGGGGCAGGGCTTGTACCTGGTAGAGACAGTGGCAGACGCTGCGGAGTTGAGGTGGGAACTCGCTGGAAGATCCGATTATCGCCTGAAAGAAACGCTCCGTGATCTGCAGAAGGTTCCTTTGGTTTTCCTCCAAGTTCTCCCCCTGCTCCAGTCTGAAGAAATAATTATAAATATTTAGCTTAATAATGTATCATTTAAATTAGGGCTGCACAATAGCTTGAAAACAAATCATAAATTGTTATTTGAGTTGAAGAGTCTTATACCTGTAGTGCATTCTGAGATTTTTCAGTGCAATCAACATTAAGAACATGATTTTATTTTGGTCAATTTTTTGCTAAAATGTTACATACTGTGGCTTTAACCAAGTGACCACTGTTTCTCTATTAATAATCAATGGTTTTATTTCAATTATACATGTAAGGTAGAGTGAATTGCCAAATGAAACAGCACAGCTCCCCCCAGTGGACAAGAGCAGTGGCACATTCAGTTGAGTCAAACAGAATCCATATATTTGGTCCATCTTGTTTTTCTCTCTCCCTCACTGACCTGGTAGGGTCCACCTCAAAGCTGATATGTTCAGGTGTCGTGATCACGCCTCGTAAAAGTGGCTCCAACAGTTTCTGCAGATACGCTGCTCCATAGACCTTTGAACGCAACACACAGAATATCAAATACACACATCTCCACCATGTCATTATTATTTCATGTATTTATGTCCCATAATCTCAAATCTTCAGGTTTTTTAAAGATGTACCATGTAACATTTCTGTTAGAAGGTACGCCATCTGCATCTGAAATGTCACAACTTATGGAATTTAAAAAATATATATATTTTAATGAAAAGTTATTGTTCCAATTTACTCACAGCAGAAAAATTACATAGTGCACCTTTAAAATACTTAGCCTTGTTATTGTTTTTTTATACATTAGAATAAATGAAGTATGAAAAACAAGTAAAAGTCTGTCCACACAAAAAGCCATTATACCCAGTAACAAACAGTAATGGAGCTTTTATATTCAGCCATTGCTTTAGATTTCTATTGCATTATCTTACTTATATGTAGGATTTATGCCCTTCTTAATTTGTACAATACTTTGTAGATGGTTTTAAATGAGCAGTTTTACCCTTGACAGTAGTGAGGCAGTTTAAATCGGGTTCAAAACAGTAGCTGCTGTCTGTTAGTGTTGTGTACCTTAAAACAGAAGGTCATGATCTTGCTGGCCAGGCTGTTTCCTCTGAACAGCGTCTGCATGGAGTCAGCGAGCTCCACCTCTTTAGAAAACATGTTCCAGAGCAGCTGATAGAGCAGGTGACGGGAGTCGAATAAAGTCACCAAAACACGTGCCAACTCGTCCTACACAGAGAGAAAACAAAACTAGAGTTTAAACTACGACAACATCTACCCTCAAAACAGGTCAATTCAACACTGTTATAATTCAAACACATGCAAACTGCAAGATTAGACGTGAGTTATCTGAGGAACGATAATCAGAATGAAATCAGATTGCTCTCCTCATATTTGCCGTTTGTATTTTAATAATCTTTCAACTCAAAAAATCTGAAATCTGAATCACATTTTGAGTGTGCAGGTAACTGCAGCCACTGTCTAAACTGATGTTTGTTGTTTTGTTCTTTAGACTACATGTTTATACAATATTCATCAACCATTTTCTTCTGCTTTATCTGGGGACAGGTCACAGAGGCAGCAATCTAAGAAGGAAGACCCAGACTTCCTTCACCCCAGGCACTTCCTCCAGCTCTTCCACTGGGATCCCGAGGTGTTCCCAGGCCACAGAGACAGCGTGTCCTGGGTCTTCCTCTGGGCCTTTTCTCAGTGGGACATGAATACCTCCCCAAAGGAGGTGTCCAGGAGACCTCCACAACAGATGCACCATATTATGATACGTTTCAAAATGGAGCATTAGCTTCCCTAAATGCTTTTTACATGAGTAATTTCATGGAGAACAATTTATTTTTTTAAGGAAAAGTGTATAACTTAGCTTGGCAGGATCAAAGCATTTGTTGTAGTAACAGTGACTACACTGACCCATTGTGACCCGGGCACCACATTGGCCAGAGCCATGGCGATGGGCAGCTCGCCCTGGTCTCCCATCATCGTGACCAGCTCCACCAGACGCTCAAAGCGATCGGCCAAAACCGTCTCAGCCAAAGTGTCAAACTCTGTCCCCTGCTGGAGGATCTTTGTGAGGACCTCCATGAACGTGGCTCTGGTCTGCAGGTCTTTGTGGTAACCCAGACCTGCAAGACAACATGTGCACTTAGTTTAATCTGTTTTAGAGTGATTTCAAACTAATTATTTTTAACCACAACCAAAAAAATAAAATAAAACTACAATGTTGAATTTTCAATGTACAAATATCACACCAATACATTTCTGGTCTCAAAATTGTATCTGAGCTTCATAAAATGTATCATATGACTTTAGACACAATACAAAACTAAATCTTTTGTGTGTTATTCTTCCGTAAAGCCTATAAAATAAACTGTTTGTTTTTTTGGTTTTTTTTTCAAACTAGGCTGTGATGTTACTCATATAATTTCCCCCCCAGAGATTGATCTTTGTGTCAGTTTTAGTTTCTTGTGGATAAGCCCAATAATCATAATAATAAAAGAGCACATTAGCACTGGAGTGAGATGTTACCGATGGAGTGCATGAGTCCGCTGTCCACGTTGGCGTTGAGCAGGTTGGACATGGCGAGGACGGTGCAGTGTCTCAGGGAGGCCAGACGCCGAGACATGCCCCTTTTACGCCCGCCCACCGCCTGCCCATCATCCTCCACCTCCGAACAGTCATTCAGGAGGTTCATAAAGAGAGTGAAGTACCTGCAAAACACAGAAGAGGGATTCTATTTGTACGGCAACAGGTAACGAGGAGCCAAAGGAGTAATGAGTAAACAACGCATGACCAAATTATAGGTGACATTTTCAGGCCGAGGTAGTTTTTAAAGAGGAGGGAGAGTTCATCTATATGGGACGGAGGAGGAGAGAGGGAATATGAGGAAGAGAAAATGTGTGGTACAGACGTAGGATGAACATGTGGTAGTAGAAAGGAAGGAGAGAAAATATATGGGTAGAATAATGCAGAGTTTAGAGCAAGATGTCTAGAGGAAGACAAAAGGAGATGTATGAATGCAGAAGGAAAAGACAGGAGAGTGTCAGATGGAGCAGAGGATGCAGAGGATGCAGAGGGTCAGATGGAGCAAAGGATGCAGAGGAAGAGGGTCAGATGGAGTAAAGGATGCAGAGGAGAGGGTCAGATGGAGTAAAGGATGCAGAGGAGAGGGTCAGATGGAGTAAAGGATGCAGAGGAGAGGGTCAGATGGAGTAAAGGATGCAGAGGAGAGGGTCAGATGGAGTAAAGGATGCAGAGGAAAGGGGCAGATGGAGCAGGGGATGCAGAGAGGAGGGTCAGACGGAGCAGAGGAGGCAGAGAGGAGGGTCAGACGGAGCAGAGGATGCAGAGGAGAGGGGCAGATGGAGCAGATTTCAGTTTCTTACTTGAGGAAGAGCTGAGATTTGGCCTCCATGAGTTCGACTCCGTCTCCCTCTTCGGGCTGCAGCGGTAAACCAGCCAAAAGAGACACCACAGCTTCCATACTCGCCTGGTCCAGATCTCTGCAAAAAAACAAAAGCAGTTTTCTAGGTTTCCAGATTCTAGAATGTGATGATGAGAGGACAGGGGCAAGAGACAAATTTCCCTTTGCCATGAAATAGTAAAGGGTGCATTGTGTAACTTTTCTGGTGAAGGCTCCATCAAATCCTTTTCTCCGTAGAGAGGTTATTGCTTTGTTTGAAGTGTTTCACAGTATGGAATTAAACCTTTCCCTCTTCATGGAGACCAAAGCAGACCAAGCTACAGGTTTTTATAGGTATTTTTGAGCTATAAAATAACCTGTAAAGTGCACCACACACTACAGGAGAATTTGCCCGATTTTGGCTGCTATTTGCTTCTCCACAAGTTCTGGGAGGCCCGACTTTGTGTCTTTGTGTGCAATTTTGAAGCCTCTGCCCTCCTCGTGTGTGTGTGTGTGTCTCTGAGCTGGTCTGTCAGATCATAACCACCAAACATCAGCAACACTACGGTAACAGCCAATAAAACATAGTGTCGGGGCAGAGGAGTGATGGACACAGAGATGCGAGATACAAAAATTCCTCGCCTCTCATAAAGTGGTGAATTTAAAGTGCAGCATCTCATCCACATTATCCATACAAATTGTCCTCCGCAAAAAAATGACCCCAGTCCACAAAACTGCACTGTTAATCCAGTTTGAGGTGTTCTTTAGAAGTAAAAATATTTGACGGAAAAAACTGTTTACATCCACATAGCGCACGGAAGCTGCAGATTAGCGATAGTGACTTTACTTCCTGTGGACTTTATCACCAATCTTTTATACTTTAAAAATCCTGTATCTGAAGTATTGCACCACATTTCACAAAAAATAATAACACAGTTTTGTATCTAAATTAGAAGAGCCCTGATCTTTTCAACAGTCTCAAAGTAAGAGGTTTTACTGTAGAAAGGAAAAACCTGACACGATTGCACTCACAACTTTACCATATTTTCCAGGCTACAGGATGCGCTCTTAAGCCTCCAACCCCATCAATAAACGGCCGCGCACCCCGCAATCCAGAGCGCCCTATACACGAATCCACCCGGGTGTCCCAGTACGACTTCAGTAAACTACAAAGCCACACCACCCACAGAACACACAAACACGCACACGGCGACCAAGCAGCAAAAAACACCTGCAGCCACACTCATCACTCCACGCCGACGAGGAACGGAAAGGAGGAACGAACCGAAAAAGTGAGTCCAATGTGCCACTTCAAGCCACAATTTGAACAACTGAGTCACTGCGAACACGCCGGCAATCTGTTGGTCCCAGACAGCACCCTCCCTACACGCCACAACTGAACAAAGCCCAGAGTCACCGTGAACAAACAAACAAACAAAACCACTCACCCATCACACTGTTGTGTTTCCTTTAAAGTCCGGTGCGGTTTATTTGTGAAAAAAGTTTGAAAATAGACCATTTAATGATAGTGCGTCTTATAATCCAGAGCGCCTAATAGCCCGGAAAATACGATATATCCTGTGGTCCACACACATATCCCGCTGCAGTCTCTGAGATCAGAGATTTAAAATCTCCTAAGATTCTCCGCATGTCTGTGGTGTGCACTTTTGGATGCACGTTTAAAAATCATTTTAGCAGAGCAACGAGAAGGTGACTGACCCCCAACCGAAGTTACCCAATGCATCTTTAAAATTCTTCAGGGCAATGGCGCAGAGGTCATGTGACTCACCTGGTCAGGCACTTGATGTCATCGTCTGCCGCCTGATTGGACGTCCCCATCACCCAGTCAGTCAAATACTCCACCATCTTGTTCCTACAGAGGACAGGAGGAGATCAGCATCCTCTATATTATGCTTAAATATTTGTTTACATACTCTTACTATAGTTTTTTTATTTTTTTTTTTCGTGTTTTACTGTTAGGTGAAAAAGCAGTTAAACTAGTGGTAGTAATAACAGCAATAGTAGGAATAGTACAAGCAGTAGTAGTAGCTGTAGTAATAATAGCAATAGTAGTAGAAATGGTAGCAGTAGTAATAGTAGTAATAGTAGTATTAGTAATAGCAGCAGTAGTAATAGTAATAGTAGTAGTAATAATAGTAATAGCAGCAGTAGTAACTGTAGTAGTAGTAGTAATAGTAGTAGAAGTCGAAATAGTAGTAATAGTAGAAGAAGTAGTAATAATAGTAGTAGGAGTAGTGATAGTAGTAGTAATAGTAGTAGTAGTAATAGCAGCAGTAGTAACAGTAGTAGTAGTAGTAGCAGCAGTAGTAATAGTAATAGTAGTAGTAGTAATAGAAGTAGTAGTAGTAGTAGTACTAACAGTAGTAGTAGTAACAGCAGGAATAGTAGGAATAGTAGTAGTTATAGTAATAGAAGTAATAGTAGTAGTCATAGTAGTAGTAGTAATAGTAGCAGCAGCAATAGTAGTAGTAGTAGTAGTAGTAGTAGTAGTAGTAGTAGTAGTAGTAGTAGTAGCAGTAATAGTAGCAGTAGTAGTAGTAGTAGTAGTAGTAGTAATAGTAGTAGTAGTAGTAGTAGTAGCAGTAATAGTAGCAGTAGTAGTAGCTGTAGTAATAGTAATAGTAGTAGTAGTAGTAGTAGTAGTAGTAAATGTACCTGAATTTCATCTCTTGGCAGAAGGAGAGGTCGTCACGTCGCTCCATCATCACCTCCACCAGTTGGCACAGTTTGGTTTTGATCTGAATGGCATGGACTACATTTCCCAGAATCCTCACATATCTACAATATAAACAATACACACGTTCTTGAGCACGTTTAGTCAAAAGAAGAGCGTTTAAATAGTCCTCATGCGGTGCGGGCTGTGACCTGACGAGGTTGAGCATCATGGTCTCGATGCTGGCCTGGCCCAGGTGCTCGGAGCTGCCCTCTGTGTGGTTGTCCAGCAGGTTTTTCATGATGGCGATGGTCTGCTCCACAAACTGAGTGTTCGTGTCGTTTATGGGAACCTGAACAGAGAGACAGAGAGAGTGAGGGGAAGAGTGGGGGGAAGGTAGGGAAGAAAGGGAGGGTGAGAGGGGAAGAGAGGGAGGGACAGTCAGGGAGAAAGGAAGAGAGAGAATGGAGAAGGGAGGGGGGGAGAGCGCGAGGGACCGAGTGAAAGAGAGAGTGAAGGAGAGAGGGAGGGAGAGAGTAAATAAAAATAATTAAATTCTGAATAAAAATTAATTCCGTGTTAAAAAAGACCATGTAAACACTTTAATTCCTACTGAAAATTATTATTCGGAATTAAACTTAATTCCAAAGTAAGTGGGTGGTTTATTCAGATTTTAAAGCCAAATTGATTTCTTCCTGGATCATGTAAACATTTTTTCGTGTTAAAAATAATTGCAGTCGTTCAGTGCATGCTCGTTGTGTCGCCCTTCTGACGATCCAGCTCCACCAGTCCTGGCTTCGGACTTTCATCCACGTCTCTTTGGATTTGTGAGCAGGATGTGGGAGTGGGCTGAGGTAGAACAGCCTCACACTCAGTTTGTCTTCTTCCTCCTTTCTCTGACACTCTTCCCTTCTCGTCCTCAGCAGACAGACGTAAAGCGTGATGGGAAAATTCTCCAGCTGCTGCACAATTATCATCGAAACCACAGCGGAAAAAGTTTGGATTATGTTTGTGCCCGTGGCGTAACCACAAACCGAGATGACAGAAAAGCCGGTAGCAGCTGAAGTGTGTGTTTTTTTCCCGTCGATGTAAATACGTTGGTGTCCCTGTCCAATCAGAACCCTTGTCATTTTGGTCTTGAAATGTTTGTATGAATCTGTTCTACATGACACTGGTGTTTTTATTTCACTATTTTGCTGCTAAGCCCCCACTACTGATAAACCAGCGCAGAGTGTGGGAAGGGGTCTCACCTTCAGCAGCCTCACTCCGAATTGGATCTTTTTTTGCCATGACACTCGAGGTCGGAATTCCAAATATGGAACTCCGCTCTGATTCGCCACTATAACTGCTAGCCTCGTGAGCCTCATTTGACTGGAGCTGAACAATATGAGCGACCTCACACTCCCTTTGTCCACTTGTTGAAATCCTATATGCCATATTAATTACCAATGCCTCTTCCAACCTCAAAGAGACCTAAGTTTTGAATTTTATTTGGAACTTTTGGAGCTCAAACTCACCGGTCCTTGAGTGTCGAAGAACTTTCCGATGCTGTTCCTGAGTTTATTGAAGAGCATTGGGTACAGAGCCGGACTCAGCTCCAGCCCCAGGAGGTCTTTGACACTGGTCCTGACGTGGAGTCCGACCCGATCGTGTCCGCACACCAACAGGGCCAAGAGTCGGTCCAGAAACCTGCTGACGGGACTCTCGCTGGAGGCGGACGAGGAGCAGGAAGAGCTGATGCCGATGGAGCCGTCGCACAGGCCCATCGAGATCATGGAGTGTTTGCGTTCGGACATGGGGCCCATCGGGGGGCTGTAGGTGGCGGGTCCTGGGGTGCTCCGCTGCTGCAGACACACTCCGCCCAGAGCACACAGGAACCCGGTCATGTTTATCCACTCCTGCTGCAAGAGGGACCAAACAAGGACGCTCAGATACAAGAAAGCACTGGTCAAAACTATGGCTCAAAAATCCAAAATATACATTTGTTTTTTTTCCTTGCATTGTTTTTTATTGATTTAAAAAGTGCATTGTGGAACGTTTCTGGTAGACGGTCCATCAAATGCTTTTCTCTGTGGAGATGCTATTGCTTTGTCTGGAATGTTTCACAGTATGGCAATAAACCTTTCCATCTTCTTCATGGAGAACAAACCAGACCAAGTTACAGGTCAGATCTGTGGAGAGGCGACCCCGCTCACAGTCAGAATGTCTATTTTACTAGGTATTTTTGAGCTATAAAATCATCTGTAACTAAATAAATGTAAAGTGGAGCCCACTTAATAAATTTGTTTTGAATTATTTTACTCTTTTTGTGTTCATTCATAGTTATATTAGAGCTTATTGTCTTCAAGGAGAGTCCACAACGTAAACAGTGTGAAAAGTGTCCAGTGTGTATGGATTTAATCAATCTAAAGAATAATATTTACCTGTCCATCATCCGCTTTGTTTTTGGGGAAGTTCAGGATCTGTTTGGTGACTTGGTCCCATTTGGCGTGAGTGTCTTCCCAGGCCTGGAACAGACACACACAGGAACTGTTCAGACATTGCAAATGCTAAAGGTAAAGACTAAGGACAAAGCACAGTTATTCAGATGTGAGGAAACAGCTAAAGTTGGTACCTCGATGTTTCCAGGAGTGGGGTGCTCTACTCTCCGTAGCAAAGCCATGACTCTCTTCTGTAACGTAGAGCGACCTGAGAAGAGGAAAAAGCATTTAAATAAATCTAAAATTACCTTTCTCAGTACATCAAAACTATTACTATTGAGACTTCTACAGAGAGGCTTTTAAAAGGGACACTATAACTTTTTTTGGTAGAAAGTCTGTCATGTCTCCATGGAAATAATATTGCTTTGTCTGGAATGTTCCACATTAAGACATATCGTATTTTTGTTGAATTCTCTCATCTGTTTTCATAAATTGCACTGGATTATAAGGTGCATTAAGTGAAACAAACAGACGACACTTGAGAGTGATCCTTAGCCCAGGATCCTTACATCCACGATCCTTTGGCAGATCATGGCGTAACTTGGTGTTGTCTCCCAGTCTTGGTGAATGTGTTTCATCATTGTGAGTGTAGGTGGATCATTTAAGTTTTTTTTATTTTTTTATTTCCTACGAGGAGGACTCAAATATACATTGAGTAATAATGTGTTTAATGCAGCTTTGTGCACATTTGTTTATGTTTTACAGAAACAAAACTTAAAACCACACAATTTACATAAACTATAAGCGTGAAAAAAGCAGCTCACTCCTTGTGCTGATGCAGTCAGCCTCTGTTGGACTAAAAGACACAACTCAGTGGAGGTGAGTAAGCACAACCAGAATTAATACATAAGGAGCCCCAGATTATAAGGCGCACATCGATTTTTGATCAAATTAAAGGATTTTAAGTGCGTCTTATAGTCCAAAAAATACAGCATAACTTTTCTATTTCTATAGAAACATGTAGGTAACATTACCAAGTCAAGTTACAGATTAGATTTGTAGTGAGGAAACTGTAAGAACGGATGTTTTCATTGTATTTTTGAGCAATAACAAAACCTTAAATGAATGCAAAGGAGATCAATTAAATGCCGTAGTGCTGGAAATTTCAGGTTAAGGGATAAAATCTCCATGGAGACCAAAAATGAGGTAAAAACAACTGCAGCTGCGTTGATTGTAAACTCTGACCTGTGCCCATCATGTTGCTGACGGAGGCGAGCTCGCTGAAGGTGGCGTAGTTTGGCAGGATGGTCTGGACGGGCACCTCGTCAGCAGCACTGCGGATGTCGGCCTCTTCACACAGGTGTCTGAAGCAGGACATGGCCACGAGCACCGCCTCAGTGTCTGGACTCCACAGAAACATGTAGAGACACACCTCCAGCTTAGTCTGAGCCTGTCTGCACATGGGGATGGCACTGCCCATCGTCGCACACTCCTGAAATCACACACATATCAGCAGATTCATTAGCAAAGTTGAATGGTTCTAACTCCTAGAGACAAACTGGGGAATTCAAGTGTGTTCTGAGGTTTTTACTTTTAAAAGATTTATCCATGTTGTAATGGTTCTCCCTCATCTTTAACGTATTTGTATTTTGAATGATTCATGCATGTTTTGAGTTATCGCTATCATCTGTAAGTTTGTTTAGTTTTATAGTAGATGGCAAATGTGAAGTCTGATCCAATGCCATACTTTTACTCAACTAAGAGTACTGTTACTCTGTAAAAAACATACATTACTGAAGTAAGAGTAAATACTGACTCTTCCCACTGTGAGTACATACATGACAAAAGCTTTATGCTGACAATATTCTATTATTCAGATATTTCTTTATTTAGATATGTGTCCATCCTTAGAAAATACCAGGTTATTTAGTGTTTTGAATAAGTTTTGAATAACTATCTGTAAATGTAAAAAATGTCTTAAACAGATGAAACTGGATTGATCCTCTGGTTTATGGTATAGTTTTGCTGTGGGGGTGGTGGACATTTGCACCTTGTTCTTGAGCAGAAACTTGTTCCTACAGATGAGGATCTCCCTGAGCCACTTGAGCACCTCGGTCCCGTTCACGATCTGCTGACCAATCAGCTTCCGGCAAATCATCGACAGCACCTGAGAACTGTAAGGAAACAAAGAAACCGTCAATGTGGAGTCAAGTCACTGCAACGCAGACAGAGTTCAATGTGCACCACGGATCTAAGAATCGCATGCGGGCTCTTCCGGCTCTTACTGACCCTGGCTCCCATTGACTTACATTGTAATATTGTGTGACCCCTCTCTCTCCAACTGTTGCTGTGAGCCTCGTCAATTTTGGACTTAAAATGTTTGTAACCCACTCTACATGAACCTGGTGGTTTTATTTCCCTATTTTATCCATTAAAAAATCATTCCTAATATGGAGCCTGGCTATAAATTCGGTTCTGTAAGCGCTAGGGATGGGCATTCGATTCAATGTTCTTAACGATCAATTTTCAATCAATTAAAGTTTTTTATATTAAAATTATCACCATTATTATTATTATTATTACTAATCTGCATAAATAAACTCAATTTTACAAAATATAAACATAACCACTATAGAGCCACATCAGCCCATTTGACATTATAATGTGTTTAATGCAGGTTTGACGCATTTGTTTGCATTTTATAGAAACTAAACTTAACACCACATGGCTCATTTGCATTCTATAAGCAACTATAAGCGCTGAAACAACAGCTCTCTCCCTGTGGACTGATGCGGTTCAGCTTCTTTCAGACTAAAGGACATGACTCAGTGGAATATGAGTGTTCTCTCTGTGACAGAGGGATGTTGATGATGCTGATGAGTCTGTTGGTGAGTCTGTTCTGTGTGTGTCGCGTTGGAGATGGTTCATGTTCACTTCACTCACTTTATTTCTGTTGGTCAGTTTATTTTGGCTACTGTTATAATGAAACGACTGAAAAGTGTTTGTCTTTTGGACGCATGTGCACTCAACATTATGTTGCAGTAACTGAGATACTGCGTATACACACACCAGGACGAAACTGGGACACTCAAAAAACCCGATCATACCCGGGACACTGATGTGCTGTAAACACACTCACTGAGTGGTACAGTGATCTTCAAGGAGGTGCGCCATAGTTGAAACGTGGGACTGTGAGGCCGCAACTCCAGTGTTTGTGTCAGATGCAGCCTCATCTCCTTACACTACGCACAGCAACCTACATTCGGTTTTTCAGTTAAAAATGAACCTGATCGATGAAATTCTTAATGATCAATTATCAATTAGTCTAATCATGCCCATCCCTAGTAACCGCTAACATTACAAGCTTCATTTGAGTGGAGCCAGACGCTGTGGGTGACATCACACTCTCTTAGTCTGCTTCTTTATACAGTCTGTGGTCTAACATGATGACTCAAGAGGACTACAGAAATCTAAACAAGAGCAAACCACTATCTCCCTTAATTTGTATCAAACATATGATTTATTTGTGTTTCCCTCGAAACATGGGATCTTTGTTATGCTACAATGTCAACAATGCATGGAGTTTTATTTTGAAATCTACTTAAGATGTGAGCTTAAACTCTGCACTCACCTGATGTCCCAAAAGGTCTCTATGGGGGATTCAGGGTTCCACAGCTCAATGGTCTCAGGCTGATGTAGCACCAACAAGGCCTGGACACAAAACACCTTATTAGACATTTGTTATGATTTATTTTCTTTCAAATTTAGAGGTGGGTGATACCAACTCAAGTAACATTTTAATATCGAAACTACTCAGAAAAATTCAACCACCATCCTTTAACTGCCACTTGAGAAACACTGTAGCAGACTTCTTCAAATCTAGAAGTGACAAAAGCTTCACAGACAATACTGAATGTTTTGAACTTGTGTTTCATCCCCTCATATGATTTAGTTTCTCTCATTTTGCATCTATCCTTTAAATAAAGCTAAAAATTTGGTATTTGTAGTTACATTAAATTCAAAAATAAAATGTTACGTCCTGACAGTTACTCTTGTTGGTAAATGGTCACATATTTATACAGCGCTTTTCCACCTTCAAAGTACTCAAAGCGCTTTACAACAAGAAACCACTCACCCCTCCACACACACATTCATTCACCAGTGTACGTAGACACTGGGAGCAAGGTGGGTTAAGTGTCTTGCACAAGGACACAACAAGGGAGAGCTAAAATCACACCTATAACATATACATCACTGGTTCTGACCACTCAACCAATGATGTTTATGTCAAGAGCAACGATTTGAACAGTCAACCTTCAGATCAGTGGACAAACGCTGTTACAAACTGAGCGACTGCCACCCCAGACATAAGTACTTGAGTAGTTTCCCTGAATACTTTTTTTACTAGTCATTTCTTGGACCTTATTTTGGTGCTTCTACTTGAGTAATATTATTCTGAAGTAACTGTAATGTGACTTGAGTACTCTATCCACAGCCTAAACGATATTAATAGAGATTGAACATACCGTCATTTCCGGACTATTGAGCGCACATGAATATAAGACACATCAACTAAATTTTAAAAGATAAAAAATGTGTACATATGTAGGCCGAGAAAGATTTTTACTATTAATTAAATATATCGGGACATGCTTTTTCTGAACAGTGCCTGTAATAGAACAGTAAAACGACAGAATTACAACAGGATTATCAGACTACGTCACTTGGCCGCTGTCCTGTCTTGTGTCAGGTCAGTGACTCGTAAGATTTCAGCAGATTTCAGACTCTCCCGGGGGAGGGGATAGGTGTATCAATCAGGTATGAGTGGATGTTCAGCTACTGAAGTTTGAGACATTTCTTCTCGTCATTTATGCACTCACCTGCATTTAATGTATACGGGTCATTTAAGACATATCCCACTCACTAATGTTCATTTAACATCATAAGTTGTTTTATCACACGGTAATAAACTGTTTTCGTGCACTGACAACATCACTGGCTAACTTCACATTAACCACAGAGACAGTGGCGCTTCCTGCACTTCTGCCGCTGTGTTCATAAACAAATAATCCGTCTATAAATTAGCTGCATTGTTGTTTAAGCTGCAGAGTTCAAACGTGTGAAAAAAGTAGCGTTTTATAGTCCGGGAATTACGGTAATGCAAGTATAGAGATAGTTCTGACCTCCATGGCCTCCTGGGACAGCTGTGTGGTGTTGGTAAGGGGCACGAGCTGCACCAGGCCTGTGATGAGCTCCGCCGTGCTGCTCTGCATCTCCGCCGTCTGCTTCACCGGATTCTGTGCAAAGAAAAGCACTTCTTTAGAAACCTCTAGACTTTGCTTAAAAACTGTGTACATCCAGAATTACAGGGACATGTAGAGAAATACAATAAATCGTGTAGTTTATTTTATGGATCTTAGAAATTAAAGGTTGTACAGAGGATTTTTTGGGGAGGGGAGGAAGTACAGCGACAGTCCATGTGCACACGTGACACCACCGTCCTCCTCCACAGCTCCCTGAGTAGAAACGCCTCCTCCCGCCTAATTAATCTAGAAATCACGCTTGTTTACAGCCAGTGCGCGTTCAGAATTACTGTTGAGGAGACCTGTCTAGAAGTAATTTAACGACCGATGCATCAATTTTTAGACCCTTTGTCTGCTTCACGGACTTTCTTTTGCGGCGAACTGGTCGTGGATTCTCGTCCGCCATCGCAACAAATTTTGTGCGAAATGCGAGGAAGCTACAGTTTGAAAAAGCCTACAAGAACCGCTGCATAAACCACGTAATCCCTGCGCGCTGGCAAGTAGGTTACACTAGGGAGTTTGATTGACAACCTAACAGCCAACAGAAAATGAGGTAGCCTTTTTTTCTATTGGCTGATGTTTATCTGGCCTCACTACATCCACAGTTGATAGATTTTCATTCTTTCTTTTTTTTTTTGTCATCATAATTACAAGGCTGCTGCGTCTCTGTAATGGTATTTTACACTTTCATTGACAATTTGAAACTTAAAAAAAAAATCCTCTATACAACCTTTAACTACAACTACTAATTTTTTACGAAGTGTCTGTGCATGTGTATGTGTATGATCTGTGTGTGTGTGTGTGTGTATAACAAAGATAAATGAGTAGGTCTTCTTTCCTGCGCTCATAAAATAATGATACGTTGCAGAATGTACACAGGGCTATAGGATGCTGTGTTGTAATCAGAAACCCTGAAATGCCGCCCCCTGCTGGAGACTCACGTGCAGCAGCAGTTTGGGGTCTGCGTGGATGAGTTTGACCAGCGCGAGGAGGAGGCACTTGTAGCTGCGCGTGTCCAGGTCCGTCGCCTTCTCTTTAAACTTCAGGCTCGTCGTCATCTTCCCTTTGAACGTCAGACTCTGCGGAAAACACATGAAAAACAAGTTTGAGCAATAAGATAAAACAATGAAACTACAATGATAAAGGACTCATACTGTGCTTTTTTCTGACTGCTCCTTCATTGAAAACATACATGGAGCTGTGTTTTTTTTTCATTCACACATGTTTAACACAGAAATCAACATGTGTCAATACAGGAAGTGCTTCCTGTTTTTCGGCACCGATATTTCTTCTAAACTTCCACAGTCTGTGTGTGTGTCCGTGTGTCATTCCCAGTTTGTCCTCAGTGCTCAGTGTGTCTTTTTAAGCAGAACAGTGAGTTAAAAGAAGCTACAGAGGTGGCTATAATTTTCCATGAACAAATTGTACTAGATCTGTTTTTAAAAGATTTTTAATTAACCTGGTTTAGAGCGGGTTTAGAGCCGATTTAGACCTGGTTTAGACTTGCTTTTAGTCCTGGTTTATTCCTGGTTTAGTCCTGCTATTAGACCTGGTTTAGTCCTGTTATAGACCTGGTTTAGTCCTGGTTTAGTCCTGGTTTAGTCCTGGTTTAGTCCTGGTTTAGTCCTGGTTTAGACTTACTTTTAGTCCTGGTTTATTCCTGGTTTAGTCCTGGTTTATTCCTGGTTTAGTCCTGTTATAACCTGGTTTAGTCCTGGTTTAGTCCTGTTATAGACCTGGTTTAGACTTGTTTTTAGTCCTGGTTTATTCCTGGTTTAGACTTACTTTTAGTCCTGGTTTATTCCTGGTTTAGTCCTGGTTTATTCCTGGTTTAGTCCTGGTTAATCCTGGTTTACTCTTGCTATTAGACCTGGTTTAGTCTTGCTATTAGACCTGGTTTAGTCCTGTTATAGACCTGGTTTAGTCCTGGTTTAGTCCTGTTATAACCTGGTTTAGACTTGCTTTTAGTCCTGGTTTATTCCTGGTTTAGTCCTGGTTAATCCTGGTTTAGTCTTGCTATTAGACCTGGTTTAGTCCTGGTTTAGTCCTGGTTTAGTCCTGGTTTAGTCCTGGTTTAGTCCTGGGTTAGACCTCCCTCTGACCTGGATTAGACCTAGGGTAGTCCTGTTATAGACCTGGTTTAGTCTTGCTATTAGACCTGGTTTAGACCTGGTTTAGACCTGGTTTAGACCTGGTTTAGACCTGGTTTAGTCCCGGTTTAGTCCCAGTTTAGACCCAGTTTAGACCCAGTTTAGACCCAGTTTAGTCCCAGTTTAGACCCAGTTTAGACCCAGTTTAGACCCAGTTTAGACCCAGTTTAGACCCAGTTTAGTCCCAGTTTAGTCCCAGTTTAGTCCCAGTTTAGTCCCAGTTTAGTCCCAGTTTAGTCCCAGTTTAGACCCAGTTTAGACCCAGTTTAGACCCAGTTTAGACCCAGTTTAGACCCAGTTCAGTCCTGTTATAGACTTGGTTTAGTGATGTTATAGACCTGCTTTAGATCTAGTTTAGTCCTGTTGAAGACCTGGATTAGACCTAGTCACTACTTAAACCTGAGCGTCTGCAAAAATGAGAAAAACTGTAGGCTTAGTTTTAGGCAGTGGTGGAAGAAATACTTATAATAGTTTTGTTACTTAAGTAAAATTACAGATACAAGAGCAAAAAAAAAAAAACTTAAGCAAAAGTATCACATGAAAAATCTACTCAAATGAAAGTATTAAAGTACTGTTTAAAAATGTACTTAAGAGCAAAAGATTTTGAGATTAAATAAAGCTTCAGTTGCAGTGATTTTGATAAAGATTTGTGATGAATTTGTTAAGAAAGAGCCCCCCCCCTTAGGCTCTTCAGCAGGTCTCAAACTATAACGAAAAAAAAAAAACTTAACTGTCCTGTTCAAAAATGTAGTGGAGTAGAAAGTACAGCTACCTGCTCTCAAATGTAGTGGACTAAAAGTTAAAAAGTAAGCATTTTAAAATCTACTTAAGTACAAAAAAAAAAAAAAAATGTAGGTATCTGTACTTTACATAAGTACATTACCACTTTGACTATGACTTTGTTCCCCACAGGGTTGAGTGTGGGGTGTCTTACCGGTGTCATCCTGATGGGTGGGTGGTTGACCAGCCCCTGCATCACTTTGTTGAGTGTGTCTGCGAACATGAAGCGCAGCTCTCCAGAGTAACAGTACACTGTGTCGATCTTGGGCCACCAGTCCAGATGAGACTGTCCAGAGAGGAGGGATATAAGTGTTAGACATCTAAAGAAATACACTTTTACCTGACTTGTGCCATCTAAAGCCCTATTCACACGGGATTAGTTTAACCTCAGGATGTCTGTAAAATTTAAAAGAGTAAAAAATAATAAGTAATAAAAAATTAATAAAAGTTTTTTTTTTTGTACAGTCGCATGAGATAAGACCTGTCAGTAAACTGTCAGTAATCTGTTTTTACACTTTATTCTGGAAATGTTTGGACTCATAAACACACCGAAACAAGCTAAGAACCTTTGAATTCATCATGTCGCCAGCGTTGCTTTTATTTTCAGTTTGTTTTTAGCAGAATGCTCCTGCACTGTAGCGTCAGACACCGTGTTTATAACCACACTAAAGAGATCAGCGATCACAATGACATCCATCAGATTTCTCATGAAGTGGCCGCAGTCTGTCTCTCTTTTAATCTGTTTATGCTGTACTGTACAGCCCCTCCATCCAAACTTTACAAACTTTGCACCGAAAACTCCAAACTTCTCCATCGAAGCTTCATGCTGCTGGTCCTCAGTTGCAACGACAACGGGGTTGTATGTCCAGGTCATGCCTTTACCGCAGTTTGATTTATGTTTTTTACTTTTTTAATTGTAGAAAAATATAATAAGTGGATCAGAGTATAGTCCATGGTGAGTAAACATTGTTGGTTTGGTGTGTATTTGAGACATTTTCAATCACTATTAGGTTCAATGCGCAGACAAAAAACTTGAGCGACAGACATGAGGGTTAGACTCACACGAGGAGCTCTCAGTTTGCAGAAAGAGGTCAATTTTTTACTGACATTTTTACACATGGACGATTCGAACGGGACTAAAAACACAGATGCTGTCCGCAATCATTACAATTTACCTGAGGACCCTGGGAAAATACGTATCCCATGCAGATACCCGGGCTTTAAATACTTGAAAAACACAACTAGTGTATTTAAAACTGTCTACAGCGGTCTCAAATTATTCGTCACTTACCATCACCACCAATTATTCACCGCAATTAGTTTTATGAGCTTTTCACAACTTTCAAGAGGCCAGAGCGAACAACAACACCTAGTTTGTGGATGATAAAAAACCTTAAAAACTAGATTCAGTCTCATTTTGACCCTTTTATGACATATATGTACTGGGGTATGATTCCACTTTTAAAACCAAGGAACAGCACCTTTAAGTTTAGATAAATGGACTTACATTGGTGATTATTCTGTGCAGAGAGTTGACCAGGACAAAGTGAAACGTGGAGGGAGACGAGGAGGCTAAACAGACCTGGAAAAAAGGAACCCAAGAATATGTAAATGTAAAGAAAATGAAAATATATGATAAGATAAAATACACACAAATAAGCAGTTTGTGATTGACAAATTGAAAACCTGAAACTATTTGGCAGATGTCCTGGAAACGTCAGAATAAATAGTCTTTATCGAGTCTCGCAGTGGTACCTTGAACTGCTGATTGTTGTGAGGGTTGATGCGGAAACAGGAGACAAAGCAGTCCATCATCAGCTCCACGTCTGCGTTCTGACTTCCCGTCCCCCTCCAGAACGGTTTGGCCGGGTTAAACAGCAAAGCCTGATGGGAAAAAAAGAAAACATCGTAAAATAAAAGGCAAATACAGGCAATTTTTAGACTTCAGAAGGGCTCAATAACAAGAGATTGTTTGAGGGCTAAACCGAGACTAAAGATGTGTCCAAAGGATCCATATTACACAAATTTCAAGTGTTTTGTTTCATGCACACGCATTTAATACAGAGACCCTGCGTATTTAATTGTAGCTGTAACTTGAAAACTACCATTACGATTATGATATTTTGAGCCTTGGGGATACAGACAGACTAATAAACCAGGATTACTCAAACATGTGTGAATGAAACAAAACACAACATTATAGCATGGCTTAAAGCTCACAAGGGTCAATTTTATGTACCGTATTTTCTGGACTATAGGGTGCACTCTTAAGCCTCCAACTCCATCAAAAAACGCCCTATACATGAATCCACCCGAGTGTCCCAGCACGATTTCAGTAAACTAAAAAGCCGCACCACCCGCAGTGCACACAAACACACACGGAGCAGACAGAGACCGCGCAGCGAAAAACACCCACAGCCACACTCGAGTTGGAACGAACCGAAAAAGCGAGTGCATGTGCCACTACTAGACACAACTGAACAACTGAGTCACTGTGAACACGCCGACAATCCAGCGGTCCCAGACAGCACCCTCCCTACACGCCACAACGTCCCAAACATCTAACTATTGAGTTTCTTTAAAGTCCGATGTGGTTTATTTTTTACATAGACCATTTAATGACAGTGCACCTTATAATCCAGAGCGCCCTATAGTGCGCGAAATACGGTAATACAGGACCTTGAAACAACACATAACATCAAAATTGGGATTAAAGTACTAAAGCACTAAACTTGGACTACACCAACTAGACTAGACCTTGGGTGTTTCTTAATTCCCAGGATCCTTCCTCCAAAAACCACTTTGTAGCACTCCTCCAGAATCAACCAATTTATAGACTAAAATGGTATATCGACTGAACCAATATCTTGGAACCAATAACAAACCTATAAAATTTTTCAACTTTGAGACAGCAATATCTTATGTGTGCATCTCTAAGTAAAATATAGTGTCAAAACTCCCCAAACTGGCCCCACCTTGAGGTCTATGACGATGGACTGCACCAGGAGGAAGATGGTGGAATGGTCTTCCCAGTTGATGTAGGTGGAGGCTTTGCACAGTTTGACGCAGGCCACGGCGGCGCTCTCCGTCAGCTGTTTGTTCCCTCCGCCCAAAGCTTTACGCAGGTTCTCCAAAAATAATTTCTGCAAAAAGATTTTTTTTTTAATCGGAGTAAGAGATACAGGCATGGAAGGATGAGAAAAAACATACTTTAGATTTTAAATCAGGTCTGATCTAGGACAAGAATTTTAAATGAAAAAATACAAAATATTTAGGAATAAAAATCTTATGAGTTAGACCGACAACAATGATCACAATGTGGGGTCTTTTTATGCTCTTCTGCACTAAACCTGGGCTTAATCATATCTAAAGCAGGACTAAAGCAGGACTACACCAGGACTGATCCAGGACCTTGTTGGCCTTGCTGTCCTGCACCATGTCTTTGTAGGCCGTGTGTGTGATTTTGGGGCAGAGGACCTGGACTAAAGCTGGACTAAAGCAGGACTAAAGCAAGACCAAAGCAGGACCAATCTAGGACCAATCTAGGACCAATCCAGGACCAATCCAGGACCAATCCAGGACCAATCCAGGACCAACTTGGCCTTGCTGTCCTCCACCATGTCATTGAAGGTGGTGTGTGATTTCAGGGGAAAGCGACCAGAACTAAAGCAGGAAAAAACTAGGACTAAACCAGACCTTGTTGGCCTTGCTGTCCTCCACTGTGTCTTTGGAGATGGTGTGTGTGATTTCGGGACAGAGGACCAGGAGGATGATCTGAAGGGGCCAGACTGCAGCTTTCCTTTTGGCGCTTTCTGCAAAACTGTCGACCAGATCAAACAACTTCTCTGCAGCTTCTGAACAAAGAGAAGAAGGACAATTGTCAGTTTAAAGATTAAAAATTTGTCAATGAAAATGCTTGTTTCTATTTTCTATTAGGCTTAGTCAGAAGTCTTGAAAATCAGATACGAACTGATACTGAAACTAGTATCAAAATTACAGTAGATACTAAACTGAGTAGATATCGATACTATAAGAAGTCACATTCACAGGACAGAAATGAACCTTTCCTGGACAGCTTCAGAATGATCTGGAGCTGTATCAGAACAAGTACTAGTACACACCCATGGACCACTATGGAACCTACCTGGACCACTGAGGGATTCACACATATACCTTATTTTTCATGGTTTGGGTGTTTGCTGCGACTTATATATTAAAATGTTCACAGACAGTCTCGAGAGGCTCTAGTCTTGTGTGTCTTGTGTGCCTCTGTCCTGTCTGTATCATGTCAGTTGATTGCACCATTACTTCTGTACCACTGAAAATTGAAAACAAACTTATTAAGATGATTGAGCAAACTGAACCCAAACACCCCCAAAAAGAAAATCATATTTTGCAGATTACAAACTGCAAGTAGCGAAATCTGCAGCTGAAAACGATAATCGAGCAGCAGAAAGAAAGTTTGGAGTGAGAGAGAAACTTGTGACACCGGGAGGATGCACCATGAAACTTTCCTGTAGTAACTGGATGGATGGACAAAGTCTGGACTTCAGTGACACTGAAACCATCCTGTCGGGATTCAGAAAGACCCGAACAATTCTAACTGGAACTGATGCTGAGTCTGACGACAGCGACACAGAAGAGGAAGTGGCGCTCTGTTTACCTCCAGAGGTTGTGGAGTTGCTCAGAAGTGACACCGAGGATGAAGACTTGAATGGATTTAGTGATTTGGAGTGAGATGGAGAGTTTGGTAAACTTGTTCTGTTCTGTTGTTTATGTTATAGTTTATCTGAAGAACTGTTCATATGTGACGTTAACAGTCTGTTGTTCTCTCTTCTGTTGTTATTACAACAACTTGACTTTACACAGGAAATGTCAGTTCCTAGTCTCTGATTTTATAAAATAAATTTCCCCGAAAAAAGCGTGACTTATAGTCCAGTGCGACTTGTATATGTTTTTTTCTTCTTGATTACGCATTTTTTGGTTGGTGCGACTTATAGTTCCGAAAATACGGTAAGTGTAATGTCAGACTATGGAACATCCCATAATGTATAAAGCGTATTGCCTAAACTAAACTAACCAGGTATAAACATGGACTAAACTATTAATAGTTTTTAGACAAACCAGGTCAGAACATGTGACTAAAAAAATTGAATTCGATATCTGTAAGAAAATTCTCATACCTGCCATATCGGCCTGAGGTCTCTGGTAGAGCATGGTAAACTCATCGGGATAATTCTCCACCCAGTTCCAAAACGCCTACAAGAAAACCGTTTCGTTTAACACAGAGAGACAGAACAAAAGCAGGTTCAAACCAGAAGGACTTCAACCAGGTCTACAACCAGGTCTGCAATCATAAACTCCAACCTTTTCTAAACTGTTGATGACTGCGAGTTGGGCAGGTTTCTTTAGGGCTCGAAATTTCAGGACGGTTTCTGAAATAGGGTAAAAGATTGTTTTAAAAATATGATAACATGTACATATATACTGTGTGTGTTTTTATGATTCTCCTGTACCTTGCAGCAGCCTCTTGAGTTTGGAGCAGTCCACGTTGATGTACTGCATGAGTTCAATGTCGTGGACGTCGACATTGTCCTCTGAACACACAGTCAGCTCCTGAAGCCTAATGACACAACAGGACAATTCTATGTGTAAATATATATTTTCTGTATTATTATTTATTTCATTCATAAAGTATAAAAAGACAAACAGTGCCATTATGTCAAACAAACAAGAAATCAATGAAAAGGAGCAGAAAGATGAGAACACATGAACAGTGAGACACAAAAGACACCCCGACTGCTGTATGCACTTGACCACAGCGAGTGAAGTATGAACTGCAGAGGATGTCACAGTCTGACCTGGTGGAGATGCGACTGAAGACGGCGTTGAAGTTGTTGCAGCTCAGAGAGAAGAGCACAGCGGAGGCGGAGGCCCTGAGCTCGGCCGCGTGCTGCTGGCCCTCTCTGAACGTGTAGATGAAGTGACAGATCTCAGGCAACAACTGCTTCACCAACATCGTCTCATCCAAACGCAGACAGTCCTTCGATTGCTGAGGACACAACATGCATGAGGTCATTCTTCACACAAATCTGAGTCCCCAAAGATTCTCCCAGAGATTCTTAGAAAGATGTCCAAAGTGGATTGTGTGAATTATAATTAAGGGACGGCTTGTTAATTACTTCTGTAAAGTACTTTATAATTATTATATTTTTATTATAAGACCATAGCTTCTCACTTAGATGACGGATGTGGTTTGGAACCACTTGTGTCGAATATTTGACTGAATTAGAGCAAAAACTCAGTAAAACCAGCAGGAACTTAACTGTAAAAACTGGTGGTGAATAGAGTGAACAATTCAAATCAGTGTATTTAGAACAGTTTAGAATGAGTCACCAGATCTTCACACATGCTTACATACTCAGGAGACACTAATATTTAAGATGGGCATTATCAAGGTAGATTTACAGTCAAAAGTACTGCTTAAGGAAAAATGGGTCAATTCACTTGGAAGCCTGAGGGCCACATTTGGCCCCTGGGCCATAGTTTTTTCTAATGTTTTGACTCAATCAAGTTTGACTAGCAGCTAGGTAACAATTTCGGTTTTAGCACAGGTATCATTTTGATTGTGGTGGAATTTACAAAGAGGTTAAAACAACCAAATCATTGTTTCAGATACCTGCCCTGAGACAGACAGACAGAAGTGTGGCTGCAATTCTGTGACTTTGGCCACCGACCAGCACACATGAACACATTCTTACACATGAACACTGTACTCCTGTAGTGGGGATCAAACTGAAATGCCAGCTACTGCTCAAACAGGTCTAAATCAAAAAGATTCAAGACTTTGACTGAAGTTAAGAAACCTGGACTAAAGAGAGACATAATAAAAACAGCAGTATTGTAAATGTTGATGCCTGTAAACAGGGACATTTACAAAAGTGAGTTATTCTCGAGAGCCCTAGAATATTAAACCTACTCAGTGAGCAACAGAAATGAAAACGTGGCCTTCCACTTTCTCCAGACTGAAGACAGTGTAGTGAGTGGAGGAGCTCAGGTAGCCTCCCACCAGTGAACGGTGAGGAAACGTCTGCAAATGTAATCCAGCCTGTTCACACTGAACTGCTGCATGATACATGAGATAAGTGCTTTTGCAGGGACCGCGCAAAAACTCAGGCAAAATCACCATAACTCTACGAAGGCAGGATTCAGCCCCTCTCCAGTTTAAAGAGAAGTGCTGCTCTAAACACGGACTCACCCCAGTGAAAGCAGGACTAAACCAGAACTAAACCAGAACTAATCCAGGTCTAAACACGGACTGACTCCAGTAAATGCAAGACTAACCCAGAACTAAACCAGATCTAAACATGGACCCACCCCAGTAAAAGCAGGACTAAAATAGAACTAAAGCAGAAGTAAACCAGAACTAAACCAAGTCTAAAACATGTACTCGCCCCAGTGAAAACAGGACTAAACCAGAACTAAACCAGGTCTAAACATGGACTCACCCCAGCCAGACACTTCTCCAGTGTGTCCAGGATGATGAGCTGAGAGAGGTACAGGTTCTTCTCCGATGCTTCTCCAAATATTCGCTAAAAACAAAAACAAGACACAGAAAGTAAGTATTTCTGACGCAGTTTAATTTACTACCATTTATTGCTTGCTTACTACTTTAAAGCTGTTGATTTTTTTTAAGTATAAACCTGATTAATACTTAAAAAGATATTGCACTTCTTTGTGAGCCCCTCAGTCAGAATGCAGGTTTTCACGGTAGGTCTGTCACAATCATTCCTATATGGACTTCTATTTCAATGTATGAAAGCTCGAACAATATAGTTTGGGTTCAATATTTTAGTGTGTACACTTTTGGCAGTACTGGTGAGGTGTTTGTTGTAATACAAAGGTTCAACATCCGTGGATCATAAGTTTGGAAATTTCTTGTCAAAACTGTGAATCTCCCCTAGACTAATACAGGTCCCTCCTCTCCATCTGAAATCATCACATCATCATTTTCTAGAACATGAACCCAAGCTATTGATATTTTGCAGTGACCTCGCACTGGGGATGTTCTACATGCATCTCTATGGTGAATTGTTCAGCAGTTACCATGGAGAAACAACGCACACATTTTCAGGAGTCTGAGCAGTACGTGGTTCATGGTCCTGGTTAGGTGTTTTGGTGTCAGATAAGGCATAATTATATAACGTAATATGTATAGAAAAAAAATAATAACATTAAAGTAATAGTAGTCATTTATTTATGGTCAGACTGTGTGAAATTAAATCTTAGGCTACGTTCAGACTGCAGGGTTTAATGCTCAATTCAAATTTTTTGTTGTGAAATCCGATGTTTTTTCGAGGTCATTCACATTTCCAATTAAATGTGATTTGTATGTGACTCCAGTGTGAACATTAATCACCCCAAAAGTGTCCCACGTGAGCACTGGAGACACGACGACGTCAACTGCAGCGAGCGTGCTCTGTGTTTACTGAAGTTGTCTAAACATGGACGCAGCATTGAGCACCTGGAGATTTTAAAGTTCCTCTCGTACCGGAGCCAGAACATGAACAACTTACTTGTTGTAAGGAGGAGATTGAGAAGGAGGACGACGAGGTTTTTGGCTGTGGCGTTTTGTGAGGCAGTCTGCTGAAAGGAACGTGTGGATGTAGATTTTAAGTTCTTTTATTAGTTTATAAAGCTCTTAATGGTCTTAGTCCTATTTATTTATCTGATCTGCTTTTATCATATGAGCCCTCTCGGACTCTCAGGTCTTCAGGTAGTCTTCTTTTAACTGTCCCAAGAGTTCAAACTAAAACTCACGGTGAGGCATCATTCAGCTTTTATGGCCCCCGTTTGTGGAACAGTCGACCTGAGGATCTGAGGTCCACTGCGAGTGTTCATATTTTTAAAAGTAAGCTCAAAACCTATCTTTTTAATTTAGCTTTTAATTGAAACTTTTATCTGTCTTAACTTAAATTATTATTATTATTATTATTATTATATTTATTTATTCTAAATTAAATTATCATTACTGTTTTACTTTGTCTCCATTTGATTTTAGCTCTCCATTTTGATTTTTATAATAACCTTTAGGAGTTTTATGTTTTTGTTTTTATGTTTATGTTTAAATGGTTGTATATATGGATGAAACAAAGGGATGGGGTGGGGGGTTGCTCTTGATTTTAATTATTGTATTGTAATTTTTCTGTTGCATGTGAAGCACTTTGTGCTACATTTTAAATGTATGAAAAGTGCTATACAAATAAAGTTTGATTGATTGATTGATTGATTGATGTGGAGACGTAGCCAAGAGTGGTGGGATAGTGATGTGCTTCGCTTCAGTGACACGGAGTTCAGTAATAATTTTCATATGACGAGAAGAATGTTTGTGTACATTTGTTGCTTGTTGATAACGTGTAGGTGGATGAATGTGCTTTGACCATTCAGACTGAAGTTGCATGTCAAAAGATCAGATATGTATCGGTTTCAGGAGCACATATCCAAGTGTCCTGGGTCGCATTTGAAAAAAATCGGATCTGTGTGGTTCAGACTGTCATTAAAAGATCAGATACAGGTCACATAGGGGCCAAAAAATCAGATTTGGGTCACTTGAGGCTGCAGTCTGAACGTAGCCTTAGATTAAAGGTGCACTGTGTAACTTTTCAGGTGGAGGCTCCGTCAAATACTTTTCTCCATGGAGATGTTATTGCTTTGTCTGGAATGTTTCACAGTATGACATTAAACCTTTCTATCTTCATGGAGACCAAACTACACCAAGTTCCAGGTCAGATCTGTGTAGAGGCGACCCCGCACACAGTCAGAATCCCTGTTTTTCTATGCATCTTTGACATTAAACAACCTGTAATTTAATAAATATAAGGAAGAGCTGTTTAATGCCATATTGGCCACGTTTACATGATGTTTTTAATTCCAAATTTATTGTTCTGAATTAAATAGTTTGGAATTAAAATGTTCTCCTTTGAGTTTACATGGAAAACTCGTTAAATCCTTTTTATTTAATTCTGCTCAGCGTCTGGGGGTGGGGAAGGTTCTGACTGGACAGAGACACGAACGTTTTTACGTCGACCGGAAGAAAACACGCACTTCAGCTGCAACAGGCGTTTTTGTCATCTCAGTTTGTGGTTACGCCACGGACACAAACATGATTCAGACTTTTTCCGCTCTGGCAGAAAAGCTACACAATGCACCTTTAAAGTCGAACAAAACCTCAGACAAAGCTGTGTCTACAGTTAGCATCACCCCCAGAGAATGTTGATGATGTCAGCTGCAAAGTCTCACTGTTTCCCTCGTGTCTCACCATGTTGTTGACATTCTTGAGGATGTTGGTGAGGCCGCTGATCACCAGGGAGAACTTGTACTTGGAGATGTTGATCAGACACTCTTTGTTGTGCTCCGTGCTGACTTTAGTGTGAGTGTTCTGGTGTCCCACTTTGATAGGAAGCTGGAAAGAGACACATAAAAAATTAGATAAACTTACAAATATATTAGGGGCAGGAAGAGATACAATTTCCACAAGACGAGACGAGACGTGAGATTGGCTACACAAGAATAAGATAAGACGAGATTTCGACATTGTTTAGAACAAATTGTACAATCCAGCTCCCAATTTTGGGCTCCCCATTTTTGATTTACTTCATTTAATATTTCTGCTTTCATCACAACACTGCTTTTTGGGACTACAGCTTCTCAAAAAATGTAACTCACCAGTACTTAACTCTATTTTTTATCCAATCCAAATGTAAAAACATGGGGAAAAAATCTCACGAGATCATTTTCAGCATGTGTGTAGAATCTCATGGCAATTTTGTCTTGCGAAATCTTGTGGCACGAGATCTTGTCCCGTCCCTACATTATATGCGTGAGATTTGACTAGGCCTGTCATTGGAGATGAATCGATACCAATACTGGTTCAAATATCGGTGTTGATCCAGGAACATGTGGAGTATCAGGTGTCGGTTTCATGTTATCGATTCAGGGCCTGTTCACACGAGAATACTTGCAGGTAAAAATGAAAAAATATTTTATCAGAAGTGTCTTTTGTTTAGACGGTGACGGTGTTTTTGGGGATTAAAAACGCAAAAGTCTGAAACCACCCTCCAGAGTGAAAAAGTTGAATACGGTTCTCTGTAGTGTTTCCGTCTACACTGCCCAAGACGCAAAACTCTGGTCAGATCTGCTCATGTCGTGTACGCGTTTACCTCGCATACATCACCACCTTGCGTCACCACCTAGCCTCCTGGCATGCATACCCAATCCAATTCCAGACACTTCTGCGACACAGTATGCACGCAGATTTCCTCCCGAAAATGTTCGTCTAAACCTGGACTAAAAAGTGAAGACGCAATGCCACTTTTGCGTCTTCTCTTCAGACTGTCATCATTAGGGCTGGGTATCATTAAGAAGTTGCCGATACGATACATACCGCGATACATAGGCCACGATACAATACATATCTCGATACAGTGAGCTTTTGATTCAGTACGATATATTTCAAATCGATTCGATATGGTTCAATAAAAAATAAAGTCTAAATCCAGGCTGTGACACTAAAAGTCTTTGTTAAACCACTTCTTGTGCAAAGTTCATGAGAAACGCAAACATTTTAATCATCAAAAAATGAAAATGTCAAATGTGTTGCATATACGAGTTTCCTTTCTCTAAACAAGCAACAAAACTGTGGCACTGAAACAAAATTATTTAATTAAATATACCAAAAAATACTCTACTACTACTACTACTACTACTACTACTACTAGGGATGGGCATTCGATGAAATTTTCTTAATCGATCATCGGAAGAATTAACGATCGATTATCGATTAATCATTAATGTTTTTATATTAAAATGATCATCATTATTATTACTATCTGCACTACTAATCTGCAGAAATAAATTCAACTTTACGACATATAAACCGTAACCACTCTAGAGCCACATCAGCCCGTTTGACATTATAATGTGTTTAATTCAGTTTTGCGCAACTCTCACAGAAACAAAACTTAAAACCGCATCGCTAATTTGCATAAACTCAGCGAAGATAAAAACACAGCTCTTGTGTCGCTGATGTGGTTCAACTTCTGTCAGATTAAAAGACATGACTCAGTGGAATATAGGTTAGTGTGACCAGATTTGCGTTTGTCAAAACCAGGACACCGTACGGGGGGTGGGGAGGTGGGGACTCGTCATCGACATTGCGCGACTCTCACCTGGTAAAACTTTTTCCCACTGGACACCAAAACATATGTTCCTGCTTTATACACTGTGCACATGGACTCACACTTGTCCCGAACGCAACGGAAAGCGTGGAATTTCTTGTACAAATCATCGTTAAATACGCATTTGTGCTTCGGTACGTTGCAGACTGTTTGTGTCTGCTCGCTCCTTCTGATGCAGAGACACATGTACAGACCCCCTTTTGGTCACGCTACACACAACAACCTATATTTGGTTTGTCGATTAAAATGAACGTAATCGATGAAATTCTTAATGATCAATTATCGATTTATCGATTAATCATGCCCATCCCTAACTACTACTACAGCAGACCATGATATCGATACTGTATCATCATATTAAATGATACAATATCGATATTTCAATATTTTTGCACACCCCTAGTCATATAAACGTAGCCTCAGTTGACATCCTGGCTTGGACTCTTGACTGACGGAAGCTCAAGACGTCTCATGATGTTTGAACTTTAATTTGTGCAAAGTTGTTCAGTTACTTGCAGGACACACAACAGTTACACAACACACTCAGATCAATTTTGCAATAAGCTAACTGTATTTTGAGAGAAAAACATGACATTTTCAATCAACACTTAAAGACATAGATAAGTTATTAATATCTGAACGGAAAAATCCCTAAGTCACGATAATAAATTACGATATATCGCTACAGAGAGATGGTGATGAACATTGAAACTAGTTTATGTCACCGATCCAAAAACAATAATACAAGAGAATCCCAGTGAACCATTTGTAAACAGTATCATTAATTAAGAGGCCTGAGCTGCAGCATAGAAATGGCAGAATGAAGCAATAATTAGCCACAGAAGTTACATTTTTAACCCTCTACAGCTCAAATCGTATTGTATCACAAATACCCTAAATCTACCGACTTTTATATCGAAATTATACACACATTCCGAATCCCAAAATATACAGGTTCAGTTTTCATATATTGAATGATAAGTATATATATATATATATATATTGTATTATTATTTATTTGAGCAAGGTAAAACAAAATCAGCAACAAAAACAAAACAAAACCAAGGATATCGTCATGGTATGAACCTCACAGTATGATATTTATTGTGATATCTTGGGGAGGCTCATTATGTAACAATATCCAAATCTCTCAGTACGATATTTTCACGACATACATCTCGATATTTTTTGCGATATTTTGTAGAGGCAAACAAAACTGTGAATATGCTATTTTTTCCTCTTACAATGCCTTGACAAGACTTAATCCAAAGAACTAAGACTTAAAAGTGTTAGAGCTGTTATTTCTATTATCTGTTACAATCTACACTGAAATGGAGCAAAGGATCATGGTCTATCTAGTTCCCTCTGTCTTTTTTTTAGCTATTGCTGCACCATAACTCTTTGTTGAAGCAAAGAGACTTGTGATTCGATATATTGGGATGAATCCGTGTATCATTCGTTCATTTGTTTTTCAATATAAAACCAAAAATTTTAAAACGAAAAAACAACAATTTTCTTCATTATTTGTCTCCAAAACCAAAATGAAAAAAAAGGATAACGATTAGTTTTTTCAGTTTTTGATTTTGTGTTTAAATGAAAAATAGAAAAAACGGATAACGACTTCCATGACTGCGATGCCGAACAGTTGCACCGCGTACGGACTGAACCAGGACTGATCCCAGAGCGGGACTGAGACCAGAATGGGACCAGAGCAGGACTGAGACCGAGATCAGGTCTGGTCCCAGTCTGGTCTCAGTCCCGCTCTGGTCCCGGTCTGGTCCCGGTCTGGTCCCGGTCTGGTCCCGGTCTGGTTCCGGTCTGGTCCCGGTCTGGTCCCGGTCTGGTTCCGGTCTCAGTCCCGCTCTGGTCCCGGACTTGGATCAGTCCTGGGTCAGTCCGTATGCGGTGCAACTGTCCGGCATCGCAATCACAGAAGTCATGTCACGGTCGTTTTTTTTTATCATTTTTCATTTAAACACAAAATCGAAAACTGAAAAAAAGAATCATTATCTGTTTTTTTCATTTAGGTTTTGGAGGCAAATAATGAAGAAAATTGTTGTTTTTTCGTTTTTTAATTTTTGGTTTTATATTGAAAAACAAATGAACGAATCATACACGGATTGTGATGGTCCACAATATTATTTTGAGAACTTTGACGATACGATATCACAATACTTCCGTTATTGTTACACCCCTAGTTTGTACAGCTCTAATCTACAAAGTTACCACTTTTAAACAGAATAAAACAGGAGATTTTGTTGTTTGTGGAGGAAGCAGACTGTAAATGGACACAAATAACTCGCTAAATGCGGCGTTCCAAATAGGAAGTCTGTATGCGGGCTCTTCCGGCTCTTACTGACTCCCATTGGAATATTGTGGCCCCTCTCTGCAGCTCCCTCGTCATCTTGGTCTTAAAATGTTCGTATTAACCCGCTCTACGTGATCTTGGTGTTTTTATTTCTCTATTTTGTCCATTTCTCGTATAGGGCCTGGCTCCAAATTCACTCCTGTAACTGTAAACATCACGAGCTTCTTTTGACTGGAGCTGAACGCTGCGGTTGACGTCACACTCCCTTAGTCCACTTCTTTACACGGCCTATGGGAGGAAATGACGGCTCTTGAAAAATTGCAGCCTTAGTCGTTTGCCAGTTGCATTTAAGTTTCAATTGCGATTAAATCGTTGCAGCACTAATATTTTTAATCAATAATAACGCTGCAGTCAACAGGAAATTTCTGAGGATCTGTCCCTTTATGTAGCACAGGTCAAAACTGAGACATAAATATTGGAAAAACTTTGGATTTGCGTTGGAAGAAGGCAAAACATTATACAAAATACCAACTCAACGTAAAACTTTGGGGGGCAGGAGTGCTACTTGGATATTAAAAAATTGTGCAGAATTGTCCTTTCGGTGCTCTTCAGAGTAGGGACCAGTCTCAAATACAAAGTAGAAAAAGCTGAGGCACTCAAAAAGTACAAAATAATGAAAAGCCTTTAATACCACATGAAAGATAAAGTTTAAATCAAGCCAACACGCTTCGGCTCGTCGTCCTTCTTCAGGGCAAACTTGAGAAGCCTATCACAGTGCACATTTAAAGTCATAGGTGTAGGTCACATGTTCCCAGTGGACTGGCCCACAGTCCCGTGGTGCATGATGGGACATGTAGGCCGAACAGATTTTAGTTACGAGCTATTTAAGACAAGATATAAGTAGTACAATTCCCAACA